TCTTCTGTGCATTCATTCACTCCATCTAAATCAGAAGCTTGAAGCATACGTGTAAAGAATATGTCGCCCACTGTGGTCATCGCTTGATCGGGGAAGTTTCTGGAATCTATAGTGACCTGAAGACCTCGAAGCATTGGATTTTCTAAAACCGTTCTTTGCATTGCATTCTTCGGAAATGTTAACACAACATCTGTAACATTATGAAGAGCGTATGAGAAATCTGAGCTAATACCTTCAGGAGTGATGCAACCTCCATTTAGTGAACGAACGTCAATATGTTGAGCTGGAATCATGAATGGATCTTCCTTACTGAATAAACGTGGTATTGCTTTAACTGATTCTTCAATTAAACCGTATCCTGGTGTAATGCATTTATCCTCTAAAACTTCCATCTTTGTGCATGAAATAATAACGTCATCAACTGTTGCGTCAGCAGATGTAGCGGCTAAGCTTGTAATTAATTTGGCAGGAAGTCCGATTTGTTGGAATTTGCGATCATATTTATAAACATGATTCATAATCTTTTCATAATTTTCATCAGTTATCTTTTCATAAACGTAATTTTGTAAATCAGCAACTCTTAACGGGTCAACCTGACAAAATACTAAAGTATCCCTGAAAACATAATATTTAAGAATGATATCACCAAATGATTTAGGATAATCATCGAACGCCTGAAATGCTAACAAATCATTTACCGGAATAATCATATCAAAAGTGACATCAACTTCTTCATTTGCTTTCTTGAAAACTTCTGAAGGGTCAATATATTTACCACATACTGAGTTATCATATTTTTGAACATTATTATATAACGAATGAACAAACTTTTTAACTTTCCTTTCTGATTTTGGTTTATATGTTGCAAATGCGAAAGATTCACGGGCGCAATCCATCTGAAGATAACCGGCATCACCTCTTTCGGTTTCTACTTCTAATTGTTTAAAGCTTTGATTTGATGATTTGTAACCAACGAATAAACGCATGCATTTAAAAGCGGCATCACATGTGAAAGCTTTATTTGAAACTAGAGTTGCTTTAACTTTGCGTTTAATATATGTGTCACCTAATTGGTTCACATCATGAGCGGATTTGTAATTCTTAAATGAGTTTGTTTATCATCAAAATATGGAGCATCAGAGTCATAGCATGAACTTTCAAGTTCTCTATAATATCTTCTACCGTCATTCTTTGCGAATATTTCATTTATCTTTTCGAATGAATGAAACACATTTCCATTAATCGGTTTAGTGTTTGGCACAAATAGTTAGTCGTCATTTATTAATAAATAAAAAATCAAAATTAAAAGATGAAAATGAATTTTTAATTTTAATGAAATAATCAACTATGGCTGCGGGTATATTTAAGAAACTGTGGGATAAAGTAAAAAGGGAGCGAGTAAAGTTTGGGAAACATTGAAGAAGGGAGCAAATTGGATATTTAAGAATAAAGAAGCAATTAGTGACATTGCTGAATCAATAACACCAAAAGCTGCCCCAATAAGAGAAGTTTTAAATAAAGGAGAAAAAGTTTATCAAAGACTACAACCGATACTAAGATAAAAATAATTTTAAAATAATTTATTTTTCCACTATCTACCCCTATTTTATTAAGTATTCCTTCAGCTATTCCACCAATTGCGTTACCTGCTTGTGCTCCCATCACCGGATTACCTGCTTTAGTACCTAATACTCCACCTATGATAGTTCCTGCCGTTTTCGCTACTGGTGCCAAAAAGTTTGCAATGGGTTTAATAATCTTTTTATGAACCCAACCCGCAGCTTTCTTAATTCCATCCCATAATTTTTTAAAGAATCCTGCCGCCATTTCTGATTTAATATTAATTAAAAAATATATTTCATCACTTATATTCTAAATTTTATTTATTAATAAATGAAACCAATTTTAAAAATAAATGAAACAGAGGAGGAAGAAATAAATGAAAGTGAAAATGTTCAACAAAAAATAAACGTTGTTAAACCAATTACTGAAATAAAAATTTTTTCATCTGTTGAAGAATTTAATGACTATTATGCTAATAATAAAAAATTATTTGAAGAATTGACAACATGTAAATTGAATAAAATGTTTAAAGTTGATGGATTCAAAATTTCAAAAATAAAGGGGATGGTTAGTTTGAAATCTATTCCTCAATCAAGAATCACCTCATTAATGAAAATAGATGATTTAACAAAAAGAATAGAAGAGATTGAAGAAAGAATGAATCAAATAATTGATTTCATAAATTCAAATAATCATTAGTTTCTAATTTCTTTTACTCGTTTATGAGGTCTTTGATTATGACTTCATTGATTCCATTCAGGATTTAAACAATGTTTAATTAATCGCGGAATATCTGACATCATCTATATATAGCTTCTTTTATAAAAGATAAAAAAATAAATTATTTTAAAATTAATGTTAATTTTTTTAATGATTTATAAATAAATATATTTTAATGCATCGTCTATATATAGATGTAACAAAAAAAGTCACTAAACCCGTCATATCCTACTACTAACCTCTTTTTAACGTGTTTTGCCACGTTTCTTTATTAAGGATACCCTTACGTGTCAGATTTTTTGCGCATACAAAGAAGTCATGCTAGACATGAGCTATAAACCTGAAATTTTAGCAACATATTTAAAACTTTTTAAACTACAATATACTTTAATATTCAAGAACAAAAATATTCTTTTTAGAAATTACATAATTATTTTATGTGAAATCTATATAAAAACATATTTTGCGAGCGTAACTTTTTTCTTTATAAGCACCTTATATGACTGATAAACTGTGAAGGCACATAATTGTTAATTCATAGAGTTGATATGTTTCCAAAATTGAGAGGAAATTTGAAAATTGAATACCCTTTCAATTCAATTTTCAAAAGATATCAGCTCCTTCAATAATTGAAGGACGATTTTGATCATTTGCTCTTAAAACAAGTATGCCATGGAGAAAAAAGTTACGCTCGCAAATCTGAAATATAACTATCATATAAAAAAATTAAATTTCTAATTTTTTACTCTATAGATATTATTGGCCATTTGTGTAATGCATAAAAGTTTATGTCATATGCATACATTTGGAAGTATGGGAGACGAGGGAAATTACTTCTATGAGGCACTAGGATTTTTAAAAATTTCTCTATCGGACTCACCATTCAATTTCTCGAAAATTAAAAAAAATCAATAATAGCTAAAATGTATTATGCATAACAAATTTTAATGTTACACGGTATTTTTTGAACTTCATGACATGAATTTTCTTTATATTATTTTTTTTTTTTGGATTTTCTATGATTTATGCGATAGGCTGGAACAACATTGTAAGTGCAATGATATCATTTATAGAGAAATCTAAAACTTCAGCATTCAGAACTCGCAACCACAAAAATATTCATTTGCTAAGTAAGTAAAGTTGATTAAGTTCGACACTTAGCTTTTATACGTAAAACCAAGTGTGTATTGTTATTTCTTGTTAAATTATTGAGAAAAAAATAAATTGTAAGAGAAACGATACTGATTATTGAAATAATATTGAGGGTAGCTGCAGATTTCTTCATTAACATGCCGGAAATTTGTTAATCTTGGTTTTCTATCATAAAATCTGTCGAAGAATCTAAAAACGGAGATATGAAATAGAGATCATGTAAATCTAGAGTATCCTGTCAGAAAAATAGACTAAGCATGTAACCCTTTTTTGGTCATAAACACTTTTTACCACTTAGTCATACAGATGATCATTAAATTTAAAACGAGCACTTTTTGTCAGAATAGATTCTTTTACAAAGACAGAAGATTTTAGTATTATTTAATATTAGTGCTGTAGCAAAATTCAAAAAAACGGTGAAAATTCAGTGAATTTGTGAATTCACATTTTTTTTTCGACATTTTTCTTGATATATCCATGCACATTAAGAAAACAGCTTTGATACGCTTAAAAAAGCATATTTCATATGAAATTGTTAAAGAAATAAACAAATTTATTAAAATTGCACTTATGGGCAGTTTAGATATATAATTTATATATAACATATATACAAATCCATAGACAAAGTGCAATAACTACAATGTTGTAGAAAATTTACAGCAGAAATACTGACTTTTTGAAGGATAATAAGAATTCTTCTAAATGTTGTATTTTTATAATTTGATTGATTTTTTTTTACTATTTCATTAATCTTTTATGAATAATAATTATTTTTAATATATGTGCTATTAAATTTCAAATTTTGACTAATATATCTAAGTATCTGAACGAAACATTTAGAAAATATCATACTTACATTGAAATAGCAAGTAGAGCATATTAATAGCAAGTTTCTTGGCTTTATATCTATCATCTATTGTTGTTTGATCAAACAAAATTCACTCTATTATATGGTGTCAATTAATTAAAACAATTTTTAATAGTTATTTATTTAGTGCGAATAAGTGCAAACTCATAAATGAATAACTTAATAGTAGAAATGAATTATCTGATATAAATCTCACATTTTGTCCATCAGAAATACTTTAATTGCATACGCATAACTATTAGTAATACGTCTGGAGTGTCAATTAATAACAATCCCACAACAAGTAAAATTCAGATTTTTATTAAACTTATTTTTTCCTAAAAGTTTTCTCAAATTACTATATATACATATGTGGATAAAATAATAGTAATATTGTAAAAAATTAGATAATTTTTTTTATTTGAGAACCTCTCAAAAGTTCATTCAATTTATCAATTGTTTCAGTTTGATGTATATTCATTTCTGGAGCCTAAAACTTTAGCAATCATGACAATATCATATTCTCTTTCTAACTACGCAATGTAAGGGTATCCTTAACTCATATTTTTATTCCTTTCATATATCTTTTTTTCTAAAATTAATCAGGTTGTTCATTCCTTCTTTCAATTGTGAAATTTTTCAGAACCTTTGAATTGAATAAGTCCTCACAAAAATGTCAGACCAGTATTTTAAAGACCATTAATTGTTTCTAACTAACATGTCTTCTCACTCCAATTGCCATTCCTGCCGCTGCTGTAACATACTTATTAGTGATACTCACAACTGTCACTCTGTGATGAACCAACAAGCCAAGAATAAGGATGAAAACGAAGATTTTCCTGTTTATAAACAATCAATTAAAATTAATGATAACTCTTTCATAGAAATTGATAACATTGATTTCCTCAGGTGCAACATCCGCTGTACCAAATGTAACAATTGTCTCACTTTAACAAACAACCAAAATAGAACATTTGGAAGGTTTAAGCGTTCCAGAAGGTCTTCTGACTTCAATTTCTCTCATACCGCTTACAAATTGAACGTTTTGCCCAAATGTTTCAAATCCCTCATCGTAGATTCATCTGAAGAACAAGAAGACAATGCTGATGTTTATGATTGCAGATCGGACAATGATATCATTGATGTACCTTCTTCCCAAGCTGACTCGATTTTCGACTCCGATGAAGATGATTTTAACTACATGTTCTCGAATACGATGCCAACTTTCGTTGGATCATATGTAGAAAGTTTATTTTTAGTCAATGAGATTATAGCCTAATTGTTTTTAACAAATTTTTGGTAATTATCATTATTTTTAACTTATCTTCAGATTATTTATGTTTATAAATGTTTCTTTCGGAATCTTATGTTTTTGTTAGCCTGTTTTTTGAGTCCCAAACACTAAGGACAAATAATTTTTTTATCAAACTTCGTTAACAGCAAATTGACTGTTTATCTCTATTTAGTATATATAAAATATGAATGTAAGAGCTTTTCTGTTGATTAGCATTATTAAAAGTATAACCTCATAAGCGAATAATGAAGCAATAAATTAAATCATATAATAATTCATAATTAATGATTTAATTATGATATAAAAGGTATGTTGACATCAAATTTAAGATCTGTAAGGAAAACTAAATCTTCAAACCTTGAATCAATTCTCTCAATCTGAAAACATAAGTTTTCACTTTAGATTTTTCTAAATTATTAAATACCTTCTTCATATCTTGCTGCAAACAGTAATTAATAATGGAAAATGCAAATACGACATATTGCGAAATATTTGAAACATAAAACGAAAAAAATATTGTTTCTCACTAATTGACTACCAAAATTTATCCCTAATAGATGTTATTCTTTATTATCTGAGGATCAATACAAAACTATTTGAGGGTCAATTCAGATAAGAAAGTCATTTGCTATAGAATTATATGTTGATACTAAAATTGGTTTGCAATGTAAATATAATTATGTATTAGCTTGGATCCAATTATACCCCATAAATAGTTTCGTGTAAGAATTTGAGGATTCCTTTAATTATTAGTAATTTTAAAACAATAAAGCTAAAACATAAGAAATTCAGCAATGTCTATCAGCATATTCACATTTTATTATTATTTTATCATTAATTTATGGGAATATTTCAATAAAAAAAATAAACATAATTGTTTTGTGTGATTCATACTTTTTCTCAATGTATGAATCAAAGCATGTATTAACAGGAAAATTCGACTCAAATATAATTTTAGGGATCGTGATATTTTTCTCAAGTTTCAAAAATAAGTATCTCCTTAAACACTCCAAAAAGAAACTAAGGACTGTAAATTATTTCCATCATCATTTCTTGCTTTATAATTCGAAAAAAAAAATTATTTGTTAACATCCATGATTTTGTGATAGTAGAAATGAATAGAAATGAGTACACAATTATGATCAGTAGGATGGAGCTTGTTAATATTCTGAATATATAAGATCAATTAAAAACATTTTGCATATTTCTGTTTTCATTCGTTTGACCCTAGCTGGAACATGACTTTATCAATTTGGTTGTATGACTATGACTAGAAATTTGCTGTGATCTTCTAAAAAAGCAAGAAAAAATTTTTTTGTCTACGAAATCTACAAAAAAAATATTTTGAATGAAAAATAATCGCACTGGTTGTTTAAAAATTATGGCAGAGAATCCATTTGCATATGATGGATATGATCAGGCTGAGCTTCCTGAGTTCTCAACTGAACCACCTGCACATCAAACAAATACTACACATTCAATTACGTCAAATCCTCAATTATCAAAAAAGGCAAAATTAGAACAACTCAAAGCACGCGAAGCAGAGCTTTTAAAGAAGCAAGATCAACTTAAGGTTCAAGCAGCAGAAGTTACACTCGTACCAAATTGGCCTTCTTTCTATCCAATTGTTAGATACAATATTGATAACGATTTAAGTGCATCAGCAAAGCCTACCGTACAAAATGCTTTTTATGGACTTGTTTCTATAAGTATTGCTTGCTTTGTAAACGTTTTAGCAGTACTTTTAGTTACAGGCTTAAGTCAGTACTCTAAAACATCAGCTTTAGTATTTGCCATCATCCAAGGATTCGCTACTGTCTATGTTGGCTTGAATTTTTCATATATGGGAATATATGAAGCTTGCAAGAGACGTGACGTGCCTTTCAGATGGACAATCTACCAGTTTTGTTTCGTAGGATGGTGTGGCTACCGTACTGTTGGATTTCCAAACAGTGGATCTGTTGGTTTTGCAGTATTATTAGATTTAATCGCGAACAACTCAAAAGGACTTTCCAAATTTATAGCTTTTATTAATTCTGCGCTCTCTGCTGTTGCTTTATACTTCGAAATTAGAGCGATGGTCGAAGCTCAAAAATACCAAAAGGTTTCTGGAAGAGTTGACGAAGTCGCCTTAAATCCAGCTGAAACCGTCTAAGTTATTTTATTTGTTTCGAATGTTAAAAATATTTTTTTGTATTTTTGCGATTTTTCATAACTATTTATCTATAAAGAGCTTTTAATATCATAGGATGTTTGAATGTGATATGGAAAATATTGCAAAACTTATAAATTCGGCAAAATCTAATCGACTTTTCGAGAACTATTAAAGTTTGAGAATTTTAATCAACAATAAAATATTTTCAAGCTAAAATAGATGATATTGTATGATATCATTTCTTGTAATTCCATACTCTAAATTCCAAAAAAAATCTTGTTTTTAAAATTTTCATGATAATTTTGTAATTTTTGATAATCATTTTTTGAATTTTGAAAAAAATTTGGAAAAATTCGAAGATGTCATTTTAAAGAATAACAAATAGTATGTCTAATTTACATCGAAAAATTGCTTTTACTTACATTTTGATTTTTATGAATTTTAATTCATAAATTTCATAACACCATTTTGCTTTACATTAGTTATTCTGGTGTTTTCAAATTCAGAGTCAACTCTTTTGGAAAATATCGAATCAATATCGTCTGAAAACTAAATGAAGAGTAATGATTCATATGAAAGTAATAAACATTTTTAAAAGTAAAGTAAATAATAAATGACAGAAAAAAAAGTTAAATTATTTCTTTGAAAAGTTGAAGAACTTTTCAATATCCTTCTTGAAATCGAATTTCTTTGCAGTCTTGTGATCGGCGGTCCAGCACTGGTTTGCGAATTCGAGAACAGATTTAATATCTGTAATTTCTAAGTTTTGTAGAGCTGAAATTGTAGTTCCGTAGTCGCCTCTTACGAGTCTGCTTGATACACTTTTGACGTGTCCGATACCTACGTAGTAAATAAATAAGACTAATTGGTCGAAATGAGCGAATAAAGCATCCCAAATTGCCAAAAGAGAAGGCAAATCATGTTCCTGTGAGAACATCAGGTTGAACCAACGATAGCAGTATAACAGTGGGTGTAAGTTCAAGCCTTCTATGATAGAGGCTTCATTTGGAAGATGCTTCTTCATAAGGTTAACAAAATCGTTCAATTTGTGTAGGATAATGGATGAATGATCTGTGGTAGTGTATAAATCGCAGATTTCGGTTTTTGTAAGAAGCTCTTGTAAACAATGGAATGAAAGAGCTTCAACAGTCTCCATACTGTTATCGAACAAAGTTTCTTTGGCATGGAGTAGCACATAATAGAAAGGAGGAAGGAGTTCGTTAAAACCTTGCATATAACCTAATCCTCTATGGAAAGAAGAGAATGTATACAATATACGTTCTAAGCGGCGAGCATGAACTCCAAATTGGAATATGTTTTCGTCCTCAGGGTTTGGAGTTGCGTTTGGAATCGGTTCAGGAGGGAAGAAAAATATAGTTCTGCCTGTACGAACAATATCACCGTGAACAATAGTCATCAGTGACTTATTTTGTAGATTGAAATTATCAGCACACATTTGATTAGGCATGTGTTTAGTGTGCCAATCCTTTAATTCATCGGGAACAAGTGACCAATACTCAGCAACAAGATTTTTCTTCGTCTCTGGCCATAAACTTGGATTCATAGGATATATACCTAGCATAGCTAACCAAGCATATGCGCGATCTTCTGGTGGAAGTCCATCTAAAGAATGCGAAGATATTTGACGGATCTCATCAATTGCTATTAATTCTCTATCAAATGATGAATGCATCAAAGGCATGATCTTAAATTCAACTTCCTTGGTGTTCATTTTACTTTACGTGACGGTTGTTGGATGACAAAAACTTCCTCATTTATTGAATATTATATAAGGATTATTTTTCACATCCAAAATTTCTAATCCAACTAAAAAGTGACATTTCAAATACTGCCATCAATTTCATGATCTATTCTATTTTAATTTTTAAAGTCATTCTTTATACGTTCAATTTTCATCTTCTAAAATTATGATAGTTACAATTTTGACTTTTGATCTCTTTATTTGATCTGAAATTCCATCCCAACAGTAAGAAAAACAGAGTAGTACACTCAGAAATAACTATTTCGCATATTATGCACGATATTTTTTAAATTTAATTTCATAATTCTTTTTTTATAATATTTAGAGTAATAATTATAAACCTAAAGATCCTCCAAAACATTATACAACGTAGCAAAAACATTAAATAAATATAATATTTAAGCATAACATGAATATCAAACAATTTTATTCCTTAAAAAGGTCACGAATTTCCTGCAGTTTAGCAGTAATCTTAGTTGATCTAACCTTAGTTGTTCTTGGTGTTGAGCGGCTTGTTGTCACATCAGATGTTGGAATTGGCTTCATATCAAATGAAATATGGAATTCATAAGGGAATTGAAGCTTCTCCATTAAATCTGATATGGTGTCATTAGTATCTACAACATTTTCTTTCATCTTTGTGAGAGATTCATCAAATTCTATGAGACCATCGATCAAATCTCGTATTTGCTTTGTTTTTATAAGAACATTGCTTTTGTCTCTTGCTAACTCAGCGCTTTTCAAGCTGAATGGCTGTGGAAGAGGCTTAATTACGGCTTCAACAGCATCAATAATTTTTATGCACCTAGAAGCATAATCATGTATTGAAAATTTGCTAGAAGGTGGTAGCTCCCTCATAGAAATGAGAAGAGTTTCCCTTTTGTAACTTCCTAATTCTTCATCAATCCATTTTTTCTGAGATTCAAGGTAGCTATCCTCTATTGAAGTTACACGAACAAGAGAGAATACGCTTTCAAGTAATTCAGTCAATTCAACAAGATAACCATGTAAAATTTTAACCAAAGGGATAATTCCTTTTAATGTAGTACGATTCATTAGTTGAACAAAAGATATCCAATTTTCTACAAATTCCTTGCCCGATTTTGAGAGTGCTCCAGAAAACGGAATCTTACTTTGAATTTCTGCGTAAGAAAGATTGAAATGGTTTTTAGCCATGCTTGCAAATGCTCTGAATGTTGTGTTTACATGACCAAATTGGTAAAGTAACTGATCATTTGTCGTTTCAACTTTACATGTAGCGACAAACATCCTAAACGCGTTACAAAACAATTCAAATCTTTCAATAGCGGGGTTGAGATACAAGAATATCGGATGTTCATTATGATATACCTTTTGTACACGGGCAGATCTACATTGTGATTGAGATCTTTGCGCCATTGTTCGACTTGAAGAGGTGAAAAAAGTTCTTTGGCTATTAGGATGCGGAACTGACTTAACCATAGTAATATCTATCTTTGGTAGTTGTATCTGAGTCTTCATAATATTTCAAAAAGTGACAATCGATAAAATTTCGTCACTTTTTGTAGAATTTTGAGCAAATTGGAACTTTCCACTCGTTGCGAAGATCAAATCAAATAGATAATATTTACGATCCTAGTGAGCATGTACACTTAATGAAATTATCATGGCTATTGAAGAGTATGAATTTCTTAATCGAATTTAAAACTTCTCAATCAAATGCGAAACATGGCAAACGAACACTAATCAAAGCACGATTTGTGTATAAACTTTTGATTTTAGGCTAAATTTTAAAATATAATTGTTTTCTCATTGAAATATTCGATTGTCATCTATACCAACATATTAGAAAAAGGAATTATAGTTCACGGGATAAATATTAATAATTTAAATTAGTAATAATTTAAAAATATATAAAATAAAAAACATTATGGGATGGAGCAACTTCGGATGCTAACATATTTTGAACTTTCTGATAGCAGTCGCTTTCATATTCTCTTGCCTTCTTCAGGTCGATGTCAAACCAAGAAGGAGCTGTTAAAACCATTCTCTGGTGAGAGTTTGCGTATATATTTGGCATAAACTGCTTGCCAATGAATTCCTCAGTGGGACCACCGATTGCAAATATGTCAATATTGATTCGGATTATCTTTCTTGCGATAACCATTGGTCCCTTGTATTCCTTTACCCACTCTGGTAAAGTGTCTTTATTGTTTACAGTGGCTTTTGGCAATTTTTCAATATTTGCCTGAGGACATTCAAATTCACCAACTTTTACACCTTCTTCTTCAGTTGGCCAGTTAACAATGTCAATATAATGGATTTCTCTTTTAGCAAGCTCTTCCTTTGTATATAATTCTGCATCATTCTTGATGAGATTTTCTTCATTGTTTTGGAATTCTGAAACAACTGTTGTAACCGTCATGTTCAATGTCTTCTCATTATCTTTTAGTACGAAATGAGAATGTTGATATGGGAATTGGTCATAACAGTCTTCAACTAAAGTTGATAATGTGTTTGGAAGTACCCATCTTAAAGCAGATGGCAATTTGTTTGCAAAACTGTATATATACTGAGAGTACAATGCATCCTTTTCATTATACTTCCTCATTTCACTTGAAGTTCTTTCAATTCCTTCCTTATCATTTGAATCTTCAAGTGTTTTCTTTGCTACAGCATATATTTGAGCTATTTGATACTGTTGTACTGTCATTGGAACAATAACACGCCATTCAATGATCCTCATTTCCTAAAAAAATAAAGTAAAGTCAAGGAAAATTTTTTCTTTCAAAACTTCATCGTCAAAATTTAATACAAGTCCTTCTATTTTTTATACCATAATATCATATGAGATCTAATTAAAGGGACATGCGATTTTTTATATAATATGTCAAATTTCAACTTTTCACTGGAATCTAAACTTTACAATTATCAAAAAATTTGGATTATAAGAAATTAAATTTTGTTCATCATGTTACAAATAATGGAAATACATATGTTTGACTTTCAATAGTTGCGACTACTTTTTCATTCAATCCAATTATAAACTATTCAAATTAAATCAATGCATAAAATATTGGTTAATCCCAAATTTTAAAATAAAGGTCTTATATGCAAATTAACAAAGTTTATTTGGTCAGATATACAAAATCAAAATTGTTATAAACCGAAAATAGATTTTTTCGGTTTTCTCTTCAAATAATTGAAAGAATGATACTATTATAGGTTTATTATATTATATAGCATATAATCATGCTATAGCCGAAAATTATAAGTTTTGAGAAGATTGAATATAACACAAATAAATTTGAATGTAAGTTAAATTGCTTGTTGTTTTTAATAGCTATTTAATGAGAAATCCAATATTGCAAAATTCAAATTGAATGATTGAAAGAACAGAAAAAGTCATTCTTTTCAATTTCGAATATGTTTCATTGTATTTATAATTATATGGCAAATAAGATATTTACACTTGATTTTTGAAGGAAAATTCACAAAATTGAATAAATTCAAATAATTTTTATTCAAAAATAAACTAGTTATTTGAGTTTAATACTAATTATCTATTCAAACTACAAAGTTTGTAATTTAAAATATTTTGTGAGATCAGATTGAATTAATTCAAGGTTCTTTTCAATTAATATTAATGACCATATTACGCATTTTCGAACATTCTAAACCAAATATATAAAAATGGGAGACGAATGTTAAATTTGCTAGACATGGGGGAGTTGTCTGCAAAGTTTTAGCTCTTATCTCTAACAAAAAATTAATTTTTAAAAAAATGACCGAATACGTTTCACAGCGAGAAAAAAATAAAAGGCAAGATAGAATTTTCTAGACATAAAGAAGTTGTTTACCGAGTTTTAGCTCTTATCTCTAACAAAAAATTAATTTTTTAAAAAAATGACCGAATACGTTTCACAGCGAGAAAAAAATAAAAGGCAAGATAGAATTTTCTAGACATAAAGAAGTTGTCTACCAAGTGTCAGCTGTTACTTCTTCTCAATACTGATATAAAATAAAAATCTTTATTATTTATTTAACCTTTATTGTTTCATTAAACTTCATTTATTTTATATTATAGTTTTATTCTTTTAGCTACTTGTAAAATAATCTAATTTTATATCATCATTTTACCGGATTATTCTTCAGTACATCAATTGTGTATCTAAAATAATATCATTATCCTTATTCTGTTTTTTCCAAAATTCTTTTAAATATCTTTTTTGGTTAGATTACTTTATACTTTTTACTTTTATTTTTTAATTTCAAAAAAAAATTTGGTGATTGTTCTATTCTGTTACAATGTGCATTATCATATTCTAATGAATTATTCATTACATACATTTAAAAAAACTTGTTAAAAATGAAATTAAAAAATTATGTTTATTATTACGCTGTGAATGTGTCAACAGCGGTCATGCCTGTATCTGTATCCAATATTTGCCACAACCTTTCTGTATCTGCATTTGTGTATTTCGGTTTCAGCTGATACATTTGATTTGGCGTGTAATTTGTTCCAATTAATGGATTAATTGGGAGATCTTCATGCGGTGTGTTATTATTGTACTCCCAAATAAAGGCAGGAATAGCCTGAATGCTTTGGCAGCGCTCCAATGTCGGCCAGAATCTCTCAATCTTCCCATTTTGGTAGGGAGAAGTTAGTATGGTTATGTTGGGTATGGTGGCACTGCGTTTCACCTTACCCAAGTTAACCTTAAATATTTACAAAACCAGTAACGTATATTTTACAACACAAAACGACAACACTCACTTAACCTTAAATATTTACAAAACCGCCAACCACTTCACTAACGAGCTCACCAACATTTTCACTAACGACTTCACTAATGAAAAAATAAACGTTCTCACTATCGTTCTCACTATCGTTCTCACTAACGACTTCACTAATGTTCTCATAAATTTTCCTCAATATCTTCATCATCAGTGTTAACCCTATTGTAGTCATACTTGAAGCCATAAACTTTCTCTAACTTCTTAACGTACAATTTACATAACTTACCTTCGTCATCGTATGGTTTAATGATATAACTATTTCTATCTTTATAAACAGTCAATGAAAAGTCAACTGGTCTCGGATGTATTTGAAAGAACATGTTATGCTCAGGAAGGAAGAATAAATGTTTAAATGTATGTTTGTTATATTTTTCGATTTGTATGAGTTGCTTTTGTTCTGTCATTTACATCCAAATAAAAATTTTCAGTAAACTTAAAAATAAAATATAAAAATAAACGTTGTCAGAGGTGAAAAATAAATTTAGGTGAAGTGGTGAGATGTCACCTGTTTTTTCACCTGTTTTCTCACCTCTTGAATTCATTACTTTATAACTCTCTTCCTTTCTCCAACTCTTCTAACTTCTTCTTAAGTTCAGCAATGTTGTCCTCATGAAGTTTAATCTTTCTCAAAATTCCTTCTTTATCTAATGGTTGCTTTATCTTTCTAAACTGAACTCTACCATCCTTCATAGTATGAATGTAAAAACCTTCTGGAATAGTTCCTGATTTAATGTATTCTACCAAAAACTTTTGTTTCATTGCTTCAGTGACTTTAGTCGTCATTTCAATCAAATAAAAATTTTAATATTAAATAAAAATAACGTTATTTTTTCAGTAAGGAAACGCAGGAGTTTTACGATTTATTTGAGGCGTGGGTTCTGGTTTAAATGTTGGAGTCGGTTTAGGAGTTGACTTTTGAACAGGAGTTTGTACTTCCATAGGTTCAGGAGTTATTGAAGGTTTTGCTTGTGAAGGCGTTGGTTTTGGCGAATGTGTTGGAGTTTGTTTAACTTCAGCTACTTCAGTATTATTTATAACATTTGCTTTATTTCTTTTCAACATCATAACTGCTCCTGCTGTAGCTAGCAAACCTAGTGGGAGACCATATCTTATATAAGGACTTGACCAAATGCTATTTTTGACAGGAGCTGGTGGAACACCTAACCTTGGTGAAACTGCTCTTTGCCATTGTGCAGCTCGTAAGAAATATTCAATAGGTGCTCCATAATCGTTTGGTAAAGTTTGTTTCACAGATGGTGAAGGTTCACGAGAGCTTGATGAAGAACTCATTTATAAGCTTTAAAAATAAACGTTCATCCTTTATTCCTCACTGTCGTCCGCTGCTAAGTTATAGTCATCTAATCTTATTATGGGGATGCCTGACTGTCTTACTTGTATTGCAAAGCAACAATCCCTCATAAATCCAATAAGTGGCTTTGGTACGTTTTCAGTTGCTAGTTCAATAGGTCCTTTAACAGACAATTTGTATGTTATTGGAGCAGTAGATGTTTGACCTTGCTGGAAGCAAAAGTCCACTTCTGTTGGAAAACCACATAAGAAATGTGTGTTGTCATAGCTATCCCATTTATGTTCCACACTACCATCATCCACCAATGACCTCATAACATCTTCATTAAATCCTATCATATCATTGTTTGTATTGCAAGCGTTCGCAACCATTTCATAAAATACAGGTCCATATGATTTTTCAGGTTCTGCAGGCATATTTCCATAAGCTCCCATGGAAAGCTGAAGATATTTAAACTTAGGGTTCTCAAAATTAACATAATAGTTGTCTTTCTTTCTAAATAGTGCCCAAATACTTTTAACATTAATAGGCGTATAAGCTGCTGTAAATGTTGCACTTGAACTATCTGTATTCTTTGAGAATGAACCGTCCATAGGAATCCAATCCATAACTTTAACAGGAAAACATAAAGCCTCGTTTGTATAATGTTCTACAAGTTCTGTATAAATGTTAGGGTCTAAAGAGAATGACTTTGGATGAATGAAACATTCATTAAAATCCATCTTTGTTCGAAATAGTTGCTGGGTTACAGTTGTAATAGTAACTGTTCCACTAGCTTCTACTGCCTTCGTTATCATAGTGAATGGTTCATTCCATGGAACAAATTTATTTGTCGGTGGATTTGAATCTGAAGCAAATGCAACTTTAAGAGTTGGATTGAAAGCAATGATATCATTTACAGATATAGATGTGCATTGTAAGGCGTCGCTACTGAACTTTACTTTAAGCTGAATGTTTCCTGCAAAAGCTGGAATAAATCGAATAGCTTCTAATGGAAGGAATCTTCTAACAGGAATTCTTAAACGAAGCTTAAAATCAAATGATTTTCCTGCTGTAATTGGACCACTAACAATTTGTCCTGTTCTGCATGTTCCCGAATGACTCCATACATCTTCATGTCGAGTCTTTGAGAAAACATCTACTTTCTTTATTTGTTCGGTAGTTTGTGAGTTTGAAGTTATATATGCTTCTTCTCTTGCGTTGTCTTGAGAATATACGATACGACCATTTGCAAGGATTTGATATCCAGCAACTGCATAGAAAGCGTCATCGAAACCAATCCAAAATCCTGGTGGGTTTGTTTTATTGGAACCTGAACCAATTTCTTTATCTACAATAAATTGACCTTCCATTTTATACGTAATGAATGTATTGTAAAGGTCCAACATATTTTCACCAGGAGGTGAGAGATTGAATGTTACCCATGTGTTATCTTTAGCAGTTCCAGGTTGTGATGGAATCTTTGCGTCAGAATATTTTCTATTAGTGTCACCAATTTGAACTGCATTGTCTATGATATCGAAATATGAGCGAATCTGATGAATATGCTCTGCTGGAGTAAATTCGTTTAGCTGTTCGTTCTGCATGTATTTACTTCAGATAAAAATATCTATTTACTTCATTATTCTCACTCTTCTTCTTGGTATTCGTGGTGGAAGTTGTTTCTTGACATTTTCAATGAACTGTACATTCTCTTTTGTCTCAACTTCTTTCACTGGCGGGTCAGGGTTCTTTGACTCGGTTTGTTTTTCAATGAAATTCACGAACTTTGCAATAAGCTCTTGGTTCGTTATTGAAAGTACATCTGGCTTCTTTTCTTCTGGTTCTATTGACTTTTCAGTTTGAACAGAAGGTTTTATATGGGCTTCGTGGACTTCACCCTTGCCATGCACCTTAATGTTGTCGCTCTCTGCATTCGCTAATGGAACCTTTCTTTTTCTTACGTATATTTTACCATCTTTACTCTGACTTACGTAATAGAAAGGATGTTGTATTCCTCTTGCGTCATTTAATATAATAGACTCTCGCTCTGATTTTGACAAGCTCATTTTACATCGGTTAAAGTTTTAATTTAGTTTTTTATCTGCAGTCAAATGACTCAGACAAGCCCTACGGACAAGACCCAAGGTGTCATAGATGTTGAAGCATTGAAGAAAGAAATTCGCGAGCAAATTTTATCCGAACTGAAGGAACAAAAACAAGAACAAAAGCCAGAGAGACCAAAGAGAAAACTTAGTGAAAAACAACTAGCTGCATTAGCTGCTGGAAGACAGAAGAACCCACGTTTGCTGGCGAAAAAAGCTAGAGAAGAAGCAAAAGCTAAAGAAGCTGAAGCAAAGAAAGAGTAAATGGTTTATTTTTATCCGAATTAAATGTATAGACAAATACCTTTAACTGTTGCGTTCAGTAGTGAAAACCCTGACGTCAAAATAAAGGGGAACAGAGTAACGTTTAAGTTTCCAACAGACTGGATTGTGAACATAAATGAAGAGAAGTACATTGGCATAACATCTATGTATATAACACGTGCTTTCAGAAAGGTTGACTTTATACTTCAAGTCGAGATAGAAAATGACGAACAGTCTTTAAGCGCCCAAAACATTCACATATACAAATACTTTAAAGACGATACAACATTGCAACAATGTATGATTTCATTTAATGAGATGTTCGAGAAAAAGTTCAACATTGAAGTACAAACTTTACAGCCTTTACGTGAGTTTCTTGCACAACTGAAAGAAGAAGGTAGTCAGCCACAACTTATAGACTTTCATTATGAATTTAATGAAAATGAAGATGGAACTCATGACTGTCAATTCATTGTATTCTCACCATTCAATGAAGTCGCTAAAAAGAAAGAAAATCCATTACGTATAAGATTTCAAATCTCCGAACCAAGTGATGATTTTAAGAATGTTTTCAATTATGATGCAATGCTTCCGAGGAAAAATGAATTTTCAAAGATTGTAACACCTGGCATTTGGGATAGAAAGCAAGCAATACTTTACTCTAATATAGCCAAAGGCGTTGAAAATGAGTTCATTGGTCATACAAGAACTTCACCACTTCCTAACCCTAAATACTATAAATTAACTGGCTTCAATCGTGAGTTTTGGATAGACATGTACTCCACTCATGACCATAAATGTCCAGTGTTCTTGCCTCCAGATGGGAAGGACTGTCTCTACATTGAAGCACAACTCTTAAACTCTACCATCGCAGTATTGTAAAATCTACGCTAGCTTTATTTTTATCACGAATGACCTCATTGCTGACAAAAATAAATGACCTCAGAACTTCAACTTACGAATAAAGCTTGTTTTAGTCGTTATTGAAAAGTTGAACTTTTCAGCAAAGCAAGGTTGACATGACTTACATAAGTCGAATGCAATCTCTTGACCATCATGAAGTGCTTTGTAAAGTTTCATTAAACTGAACTCAGAGTCTTTGTCATATGTTCCAACAGGTATGTGAATGTTCTTATCTTCATTGTAATAGCATTGTATAGCTTCAGGAAACATTTCATTAGCGGTTAAAGCAATAACATCTTGCTTCACGCCTTTCATTCTGCAGTGAAATGCAACTTCATTTAAATCGTTAGTGAGTAAGTCTATGTAGGTCTTCTTTCCACAGAAAATACTTTTATAAGCTAAACTTTGTTTTCCAGGTGTTATTTCTGCAAAGTCGCTATGAAATTGACCAAGGTTCTTTCCTATAAGTTCGCGACCATATCTCTTCTTAAACTCTGCTGCAAGCTTTGGGATGTCTTCATTATATAAGTGCATACTGTCGGTATCCTGGTAAAAGATTTGAAGTCCCATGTCCTCTGCAGTACAGAATACTTCATTCATAATACGTTTTGACATAGACAGAATATTAACACCAAGTGGACAGAAGTTAAAGTGTCTGCAAATGCTTTTCGTTAGCTTGAAAATAGTTTTATCTGAACCATCCAAACCTTCGAACTTCACTATATGGTTGTAATTTCTTATAGCATATCTTATAGCATCTTTGTCATCTACTATGGTTATTTTTGACTCAATAGGAGATAGAATAGTTTTGCCATAAATGCTGTTCAGAATGAGTTTTATAATTTCTTGTAAGGGGTTTTCTTCTTTCTTATACTTTAACCTTAACTCAAACAACTTCTTTACTTCATCTCTTATTCTCATATCTCTGTTTCCATCGTAATAGTATCCTTGCAACACTTCACATTTGACACCTTGATATTTTATGAGGTCTTGTAATGTTATATGGTCAACATACATGAGACAGCAAGTGTTTGAACTTCTTGGAACGTTAAGTTCTGGATTTAGTTCAGGGTCGCAAACTATTAAATGAAAGTGTCTGGGTATACCAATCTCTGTTATCTTAATGAGAACAAAGAAGCCAGACATAAACTTTTCACCAATGGGTTCCTTTTGGTCGTCATCGAATAAATGTCTCATGAGATACTCTGTGCTTAACATTTCTTCCTTCAATACTTTTGGAATACCTTCTAAAGTATAAAGTCTTGCTATAGCTGAAGGATATAATGAAACAGTGTCGAAGTCAGCAATGAGTTTCTTTTTGCTCTTTTGTTTCATGTTATCTGACAACATACATCTTCCACCTTGAATGCATCTCGAAATAAATTCTCTTGGTTTATTTGAGAGGTCATAAAGATTTCCATTCGGGAAGTATACTCTGTTCTCAAACAATTTGTTAGCAATAGAACAAATACTAACGTAGTCATAAACGTTTAAATCAAACTCTTTCAATAAGTCATTGCGGAACTTTACAAAACCTTCTCTTAAAATTCTTACATCTTGTTTGCAGTAAAACGTGCTATATTTTTCTAAGTCGAAGTGGTTTTCATCTATTCTGCAACCTTTGATGGAATCTATGTTCTTCATAAATGTATCTGCATCATGGATAAACTTACATGCTTCAGAAATGACACCAGTTCTGTTGTCATTTGCTAACAAAACACTGCTGTAGTAGTTATATGGAAATACTTCTTTCGGTCCTGTTTGTAAGTTAAACATAGCAGGAAATAGTTTAAGCTTCTTATTTATAACACTGTAAGAGTCTTTTATAATAATTGCCCTTCCTTTATATAAACCAGTTATTTGCATTGTTCGTGAACCTTTAATGATGGGAGTTCCTTTCACTTCTGTCATGTGTCTTAAGATGAAGTTTATGTCATAACTGAGGTTATGGAAATATATTAAACTCTTGTCAGGAAGTCTTTCCAAAAATTCTGTTGCACAGTTTTGACCCCAAATACTTTCACTAACTGAACCATCTTCACTGTCATAACAGATGTTAAAAGCTTTATGAAAGCCATCCGTACTACACTCAAAGTCAGCAAAGAAAACGTGCTCAGGTATGAACTTACATTTAGCTTTATTTACTTCTTTTGACTCTGCTTTCTTCTTCAGTTGTACACAATACTTTGGAGCATATGTCAAATCTTTAAATGGTGCAAGGTTCTGTTTATATAAGTCAGTCGTATATGTGAAAAGTTCTCCATAAGAAATAGGTTCAAATATTTGCACTCCCACAATGTTTTCATAACATCCCATAGCGGTGTAGTTCTATCATGCGAACTACATATTTATCTTCTCTCTTTGTATATATTTTCATCTGTTTTTCAATGTTCATTCCACCACACTCCTTCAAGATTTCTATATAGTTTCGAATGAAATATGTTGTCATTGGAAGTCTTTCATTTAGCATGTAGTGGTCTTCAACAAGAAGTAAGTCAATAGTTCGAACAGTTTCACATTCTTTTGGTATGTATCTCTTTATTTCATTATGTCTTGAGTCATTGAAATAACCAATGGTAACATTAAATGCTATATGTTGCGTCAGAAATTTCTTGTACTTTACTTTGAGGAAAGTCTCTAACACGAATGACTTCTCTCATGTGGTCAATAGTTTCTTCATTTACTCCAGCCTGAATGCAAGCATAAACGAAACAGTTATCTTCTGTCATAAGTGTTGCAGTTCTTTTGTTCAGTTCATTGAAGATTTGGTAGCGTTCAAGATTTATAGGTAATGTGCAAAGATACTTCCAGAACTGACCGCTTCTCTTCTTATAAAACTTCTTTTCACCATTATCTTTCCAAAAGCTTTCTATAAGTGCTGGGTTTCCTGTTTGCTTAAGAGCTTCCAAAATGGCTTTCTGGTCATTTGTCAGTGTGCTTTCATCTCTATATGGTCTCTTTTTTGGTTTGCCTTTCTTTACATCTGACATCGTTAAGCCTTCATATTCTGTTAAATCATACATCTTTATTTCGTAAGATTCTTTATGTTTGTCAAGAAGAAGTCATAGTGCATTTCAACAATACCTGCAGCATTTGCTTCTATCTCTGATATAAAGTTCTCCTTCAAGAGCTGATGTAGTAATGTTCCAATATTATTGAGGTTTAACGTAGAACATTCATACTTTCCACCAAGTTTATAACATACCATCCATCTCTGTTGGGAGTTTATTTTAATTTTCTCTAAGAGTCTCATGAAAACCTTACCGAAATGTTTGTGTAAGTAGTCTCTGTTTGGTTCATCTAAAGCTTCGATGTTAAAGTCAATGAGTCTATTGCCTGACTTCACATTCCTCTTCCTATTTTCTTCATCTTTCTTTAACCATCTCTCACCTTCTTTTGGTTTGTCGTCAATGGAACGAATGACATTATTAGCTTTGCGAACTTGTTCTATAGCACTTTTAAACATCTCTCTTCTCTGTTGTTTCAGTGTGTCATCTCTCTTTCGTGTTTCACCAACGTTTGCATTTGTTATGTCAAACATTTCTCTTCTTACTTCATGTGGTACAGCTCTTCTTGTTTCACCAACGTTTGCATTTGTTATGTCAAACATCTCTTGACGAACGTCATGTGAAAGAGCTTTACGAGTATGACCAACGTTTGCATTTGTTATGTCAAACATTTCTCTTCTTACTTCATGAGGTATTGAACGTCTATGATATAAGTCAATAGCAACGTCATTTAAAGGAAATGCTCTTGCATGGACTTCGTCCTCGCCGCGTTGCGGCTTTATGAACTCATGAATTCTATCATAAGTTATTTCACCATTATAGTCATTGAGGATGTCAGCGAGTGCCTTTTTGTTTGTTGTGTAATGCTTTGCAACATCTATATTAGCTTCTGTAAGAAGTTGTTTTATTTCCGAGTGTTCTAACTTAGACAACTTCCGATACATCTTTAGTAGGAAATAAAAAAATATTTTTTGAAAAAATAAACTTAGAAAAATTATTTCTTTCTATATTTGCCATTCCGAACTTCGAAAAGATGTTTTATACCAGCATAGAATTTTTCTCTAGAGCTTGGTCTTATATTGTTTTCATGACAATATTTTCTATATTCTTCATATAAAGCCTTTTTTTCATACATTTCATAAGGACAATCTAACCAGAATAGTGCATATCCAGTTTCGTTATCTAGGTCTCTATATGTTTCTTCTGTTTGTAGAATTTCGCTTTCTTCTATTTGTAGAATTTCGCTTTCTCTATTTAGTTCTATGACTATATATTGTGGCTTAAAAAGATGTGGGCAAGAAGGGTCTGGCGCTATGTAAAAAGTTAATTTTTCTGTCATCTTTTCTATCGGATAAAAAATATTTTTGAAAAAATTAGATTAGATTTTTTTTAAGTTATTTTTCAAAATAATTTAATATTTTTATTATAATGAAACACATGCAAGATTGCAAGTTCTTTTCATACAATGCTCTCGCTAATGCCATCAAGAATGAGTTCAATGGTGCTTCAAACGTTAATGTTATCTTTAACAAGAAGTTTGTGAAAGAATCTAAGTTTGGTCAGTATGTCAGACCATTAGCTATCGTCATTGACCGCAAACGTTATACTTCACAAGAGTTAGCAGTAGTTTTGAAACAAAAGAGTTTCTTCGTGAATGTCAAAGATACTCATTATACTGTTATAAAGAACTCTAACATTGACTTCTTCAGTATTGCTATGAATCTTTCCGAACAGAAAGAATATAAGAAGGGTGAAACAAATGTGAAATATTATCCTTCATCTCTGAAGACAATAACGAACAAAGATGTTATACAGAAGCTCCTACCAAAGGTTGAAGAAGCTTCAATTGACATTGACGAAGAAAGTGAAATGGTTGAAGAAATTGACCCTGAAGCTATTTAAGCAAAAATATATTTTTGAATAACTGATGGTGTCACCACGTCACCATGTCACCAGGTTAATTAACTTCTCTTAAAAATGATGACAACATGACATTTTGACAACAGGTATGAAAGGAGGAGGGCATTCATGTCTTACATTTTTGAATAACTGATGGTGTCACCACGTCACCATGTCACCAGGTTAATTAACTTCTTTTAAAAATGATGACAACATGACATTTTGACAACACAGCAGGATTAATGCAAAAATAAATTCCAATCATACTTTATAAAGCTTCATTTACAGGTATTTCATCATCAGTAAATGAATCCTCATTATTGTTTGGTTCAACCTGTTTATATAATCCTTTCATTTCTTCTTTCAAAACATAACACCATGTTTGTTTACCATCTATTCTTCTCTGTTTCCTATCACATTTATCCTTAATGCTCATTTGAAAGTTTTTGTCTTTCATGTCTGATGGTTTGCAGAATAGAGCATTTTTACACGTCATACCTGCACACAATTCATCATAATGTGTATTTATCCATACATCTAAAGGATTTGTTGATAATTCTATTAAATCTTGTTTGGCTTCAGTCATCGGTATGATTCGTACATTAAATGATGAAAGGTCATATTGCATAAAATACGTCAGTAAATTATCATAAAATTCCTTAGTGCATGAATTCATCAAATTCTTGAAATAATCAAATTGACCCTTGAATTTACCATTAACTCTTAAAACTACGTATCTTCTGTCTCCAACTTCAATTTTGACAGGGTAGACGTTATTAGTTACCAAAATGAAGTTTGCAACGTTCTGAGCAGTTCTTCTGGGTTGATTCTTTTCATTAATTCTTATCTCATTATCTGTTATAATTGATTTCAAAGCGTTGAAGTTTGCGAGTCTGTCTTCACCAACATTCTTGAGTTCATTAAGTACAAGAAACATTTTATTTTCAACTACTGAATTGAAATTACCCGTTAGCTCACCTATTTCGGTAATGTTTTTACATGAATAACCGGCGAGAAGTTCAGAAATAATGTCTGTAAATCTGTTTTTGCCTGTTCCCTGAAGTCCTTTCAAAATAATTGCTGTTTCATTCTTGATACCAGGATGTTGAATCATTGATGCAATCCAGCCGAGAAGGTATTTATACACTTCATCGTTATTATCACAAATGGCTTCTTTAATGAAATTCATAAACATCTCAATTTTTGAGTAATCTGGTTTTTCAAGAACGTTGTATTTATAACCTTGAAACGTTGAGAAAACATCTGGGGAATCAGATTTAAAGCAAACACCCTTAACGGTTAATGAAGACAATTGATTTAGTAGTACGTCCCATGCTGTTATTGTTTTACCTTCTTCTTTAAATAATTTAATCATTTTGAGTGACTCTTTCATGGCTGATTGAAGAACGAATGATATTTGATTCATTTTGTCGTGTATGTTGTAATCCTTTTGAATGAAATATTTATTTCCACAATCTACAAAACGGATTACACGTGATAAATCCTCAATTACTTCAGAACTGTTTTTATACTGATGATTTTCAGCCTTGCGTCTAATATCTGTTATCAAAAACGAGTCATCAAGTTTTATATCAAATGTTATTTTTGGCTTACGTAATAAAGGTAAAACGTATTCATCATAATATTCTTTTTGATATAGTTTTAGAATCTTCACTAAAACAAATGGAGAAGTCATTAAATGTGCGTATCTACTACGTGCTTTTTCAAAATTACTTTTTGCATTTTCTGTTAAACTGCAGAAGTTATAAACGTTATCGTATGCTTCATTAATTAAATGATTAGGTAACGAATTAATAGCTTGAAACAGTGTGAATAATGTTATTTCTTTTTCTAAATTCATGTTTCCACCGTCATTATGTACTTCAAAATCACAGATGCCATCAACTATGCTCTGGGCAAGTTTATCGTCAATGTTTACATCTTTGTTTTCATTCATTATACTCTTTATTTCTTCGTTCTTCTGTTCAACTCTTACCTTAATATTCAAATCATTTAATATATCATTCACTGTTCTGGTTAATGTTGAGTCGTAACTTCCACGAATGAATGAGTATGTATTGATTGGTTCTGTTGCATTCTTGCGAACTCTTGAATCAGCCATAACTACTAAAGAACGCTTTGAATCATCCATAGAAGTCATTATGTCAATATCATAATCATTGCAGGAATAGCATTTAATCATTCTGTTCGAAACTGAATAGAAGAAATTAGTGTTACAATAAATGTGAAGACCTCCTGAAGCGGTTTTAACGATAACATCTTTATCCGAAAGTTTTGATAGAATGTCTTTTCTAACTGTTTCTTTAAGTTCATCATTGTACGATTTATTGATATCAACATCTATAATCGTTAAATTTGAAATTTTATTTACTAATAAAGCCATACCAGTTTTCCTTCCTCTTCCTCCATCGTGTTTGAGGTAGTTATGTAAATCAATCTTGTTTTCACCAATTCTTTCGTTGAGGGTTTTAGTTTCTGCCGTAACTAATTCCTCAGCTAATGAATCAATAACTTTTTCATCAGAAACGATATAGTTGCTGTTGTTGTTTGTTGCTGTCATTTATATAGGAATAAAAAAATAAAAATAATTTTAAAACTAACTTTATTTTTGGACTGCATCATATTTTCTGTGATGTTGTCAAAATGTCATGTTGTCAGTAATTTTAAGAGAAGTTAATTAACCTGGTGACACATGGTGACGTGGTGACACCTAAAAACATTCATGAAAACATTTACGAAACATTTACGAAACATTAACGTAAACATTAACGATAAAATATATTTCCGGGACTGTTGTCAAAATGTCATGTTGTCAGTAATTTTAAGAGAAGTTAATTAACCTGGTGACATGGTGACGTGGTGACACCTAAAAACCATTAACGATAAAATATATTTTTGGTCGTTTATGATAAAAATAAATGGTTCATTTACTCACAATATTTTTTTACAAAACGACCCCAAACTTTTAACTTCTTTTCTGCAGCTTCAAATGCTATCTTAGCGAGTTCATATTCTCTAAATTCTCTCTTTAAATCTTCTTGTTCCCATTGGTCTAGTTCGTATGGAGAATCTCTATAACCATAATATATCTCACGTTCATGTTCTAATTGTTTTTCACACATTTTTCCAACTTCTTCTTCGAACAAAGGTTTAGCATTCTCCACTGTATCTTCGAGTTCTTCTTCATCTAACTTCTCATGAACTTTCTTGTCTATGGAGTCCATAATATCTTTGACATAAAATGCATACTTTACAGAGCACCATTCAGCAACAAAATGAACGAGGTCAGCATGTATGTAAATACCTTTGAATTCATTCATAACGCCCTTAGTAAGCTCATAAAATGCTTGTTTTGAGGTTGAGCCACTTTTGGCTCGACCGTATTCTTTCAACCAAAACTCAAGAATTTCCTGCATTTTAGCACTATTGAGAAATCTGTTTAAATGGTTTAACTTTCCTGCTTCTCTCGCCATCTTTGTTGCATTAATGTAACCATCCTTGTCTCTACGTAAGACTTCAATACCATTATAAGTGCCTTTTGTGAATGTTTCACCATTAGATTTGTTCGTGAATGTTTTTGCTTCGACTGACATTTCTGTTCTTACATACAAAATAAAAAAATAAATAAAAATAAAACTAACTTTATTTTTGGTCTTTTGTGAAAATTCACGAAAATTCAAGAGGTGAAAAAACAGGTGAGAAAACAGGTGAAATCTCACCTCTTCACCTATAATATATTTTTGTCTGATTTACATCTAATGAAAAAGTTTAGAAGAATTTTCTTATTCTTTCTGGCATATTTTTGTCTTTCCAGTACTCCCGCTCTAATGGTCCCAGATGTGTTGGCTTTGACTCTCTCAAGTTCTTAGATGGTATAACATCTTCAACACCTCCTTCATATCTTACTTTATAAGTGTCATCGTTTATGTTGTAGTCAAGTATTTCAATAACCACTCCTCGCTTTGCTTCGTCAATGGTTTCAGCAAGTTTGCCATTACTACTTTCAACTAACTTATGTCGAGGGTAAAATGCTATGGAGTCGTCAGCAGCTTTTATAAGATATCCATTACCTTGTGTAGAGTCTACGATATAATAGTTTCTACTTAACCTTAAACGTTTCTTTGTCAACGGTTTGTCGTCAAGAACTACACGAACTTTTGTACCAGGAATGAGGGTAAATTGTGTTGAATTTCTGATATTTTGTGTTTGGCTTCGTTTCTTTTGTATATACTTTTCTTCTTGTTGTTGTGTCATTGAATTTGGTGTATGTCCTGTTGTAGAATGTGTTGAGGAATTATATACTTCGAGAAAATGTTTCATTGTTTCTTCGGTAAAGTCTCGCTCTTGATTTAAATCTCTGAGCGTTCTTATGAAGCGGTTTATGATGCCGAGTATGTTATGGTTATGGTCTTCAGTAGTGTAGTGAGTTATGTTATGCTTAATGAGAAATTCTGTGATTTCATTGCTGAGGTATGCACTGTCTTGGTCTGATGTTAAAGTACTTGGGTTATGTTCTGCTACAAACTTTTGTAAAACTCTTAACACTTCACGAGTTCCTTTATTTTTCATTGGATATGCATATGCTTTACGAGTGTTAACATTTATGAAGATGAGGAATGGTTTATGTCCTCCTTTTCTGCTTTGAATGAGATGTCAAATTGGTATGCGTCAGGAGTGTTGGAGTAAATTGGTAAAAAAGTAGTCGTAAGGGTTTATTTTTGTTTGATGTACAACATTTTTGTCAAAGAACCTTTTCACTTCAGCTCTGTTAGTAAATCCCCTCTTTGCAGCTTCATTGAATTTCTTAAATGACCTCCATGGATGTTGTTCGAATACTTCTTTCAAGCTCATTTATGTAAAGTTAAAGATTTTAACCAACTCGTATCCAAGCGTGCATTGTTATATAAGGAGGCATATAATCTTTTCCATTACCTGCTGGGTCTGTAATACCAGCTACAACATGTGTATGATTTCCTGCAGTTCCACAGAAAATACCTGTGCTAACATCTTTGGGGTCAGTTGTGATATCATATCTATGCATTCCCTGTCTATCCGAACCCGCTGCAAGATTTGTATAACCTCTTTTTGTTATTGAATGTGAATGGTTTCCTTCCACAGATGTTCTTCCACTGAACCTATGCATATGTGAAGGAAGGTTTTCAATACCTATTTTTCTTTGAACCTCCCATCTTCATTGACTGAGTATTAGTGTAGAATGGAAAACTGTCAACTATTTCATACCATCTACCACCAAATAAAGTGTTTGGATTTATTGGATTCATAGACGTATAAACAGCTCCTATAGGATATATTAAATCATATATGCTCATAACTCTATAAACATATTCTAAAGAACTTATGTCATTAAATACCATTTGGAATGTATCTCCCGGATGAAATGTTGCATTTGTTCCACTTTTATAATGTAATGTTAGTTCAATAGAATTATCCAAGAAAAATTCAAAAGTATCTGGTTGAAGACCTCTAACAAATTCAAATGGAGTTGCTGGTTCACCATTTATAATTTCTGTTGTAAATGTCATTGTATCTGGTTTCGAAAATTTCTTTGTTAGTTCTGCATCCACATAAGTTTTGTCGGCTTTCTTATCTAACATTGCTGGTAGTTCATATGCTTCAAAGTTTCTGGCATGACCTTCGATATTCCTGCAACTCTTATCTAAATTGTTAAGAGTATCTTTTACGCTTGTACTCGGATTCTCTAATGGTGCACTTGAACCAAGGTCAAAGTTCAATATTATGTCGTCTGCTCTAACAGTAGTGAAGGATTTATGTGTATGGTTCTTGTCGGCTTTACTGTCTAATGTAGCTTGAAGTTCATTTATATCGGAGATGTTGTGTTTATGAGATTTCAAAACTTTGTTCGTTGCGTCAAGTTCTGTTTTGTCAGCTTTACTTTTAATAGCATCTTCAAAAGTTATTTTTGACTTAACTCTCAAAGTAAATCTTGGTTCAACTAATACACCGTTAACAAAGAAGTATGAAGCATAAATTTCAGCGTTATAACCAAATGATTGTGGTGCTATACCTGTGTCATACTGTACAGTACAGTGTATGTCATAACCTTTAGCACGAATGAATTTATATCTTCTTTCATTAACATTTTTCGTATTCACTTTTTCACCCTGTGTTAAATATCCATGATAGTCCGTTATAATCTGTTCATCAGAACTTATATAATGAACATGGTTTTTGTCTGCTTTATTGTCTAAAGAAGTTTGAAGTTCATTTATATCGGAGATATTGTGTTTATGAGATTTCAAAACTTTGTTCGTTGCGTCAAGTTCATTTTTGTCCGCTTTACTATTTAATGTAGCTTGAAGTTCATTTATATCGGAGATATTGTGTTTATGTTCTTTATCTGCTTTTTCGGCTAATTTCTCTTCTATCTCATTTATTTCAAGTTCATGCCTACCACCACCTCCCGAAGAAGTATTTTTCTTCAGCTCTTGAAGAACGTCCCATTCGCCATCTTTGGTGTCAATAATGAGACTTTGAGTTAAAACCTTTCCTGTCTTAATGGATGTTTGTAAAACTTCTTCTTCACCGTGTTCGGGTCATGGTCGTCATCATATCTTGTGAAATCAGAGATGTTGTCATACATTAACATATCTGTCTCAAAAGTTCTGCTATTTGAAACTGGAACGAAAGATATACAGAACTTTCATCATCTCCTAAAGTCAAGTCTGCTTTCTTAAGTATTTCTTGAATGTATGCAATGAGAACAGAGTACCTTGGAAAATATTCGAACAATATTTCATTAGCTGTTGGTTTTGGTGGTTCTTTTGGAGTTTCTGTTGTTTCAGTTCCTTCTGTAGGTTCTGTTGGAGTTTCTGCATCTCTTGACTTCAATGCTCTTGCTCTCAAAGACCTAAATGTTAGAGCACCAGGTTTTACAAAGGACTTTATAAATGCTTTAATAGTTCCTGGTAAGTTATTGTTAGCATTAAGTAAGTTCCTTATGCTTCCATCATGTACGTCCATAGCACTATGTAAAAAATCTATACTTTTTCTGTAGTCAGCAATAGACTGACTGTGATTTTTTATAGATTTGTCAATACCTTTAAGCCAATCTTCATGCATGTCTGATACTGAGCCAAGAATATCATTTGCTTCCTTTAGTGTATTTTGTGCTTGTCGTAAAGTATCCAATCCCGTACGTGCATTGTTTGCTATACGTCTTACAGTATCTATTTGACTCCTTGTTTCTTGCATCCAACCAGATAAAGTTTTAATAGTATCCGAACCATTTGAAATGAAGTTCAAAGCATTTTTAACGTCATTTAAAACTTCTTCACCAAGTACCGCCCATATCTTTCCGATTTGGTATTGAAGAACTCCATATGAAGCAGCTGTTAAACCAGTATTTATAAGGTCCCATATCCATGATTTAGCAGTTTTTCCATCCTTTCCATCCTTTCCATCCAAAACCGTTTTCGCCTTGAGGTCCTTGTATTCCTTGTATTCCTTGTATTCCTTGTGGTCCTTGAGGTCCGGTGTCACCCTTCTCTCCTTTCAGTTCATCTTTATGTTCGTTATAATATTCTAATGTCATAAGGTGTACATCATTACTGCTACCAGCAACGCCGAAGAATTTTTGTTTCTATTCATGACTAAATTCTTTAGGCATTTAATGTTGTCGTCAAATCGAAAGCTCTTTAACAATTCAATGAGAACATTTAATACTTTCACTAATGAGGCATCTACTGTAGAATTTATATATTGCACCGTTCCATCATTTATGATGGGAACCTTGCTTGTTGTAATGAATGGGTCATAAGTGTTAAAAGTATCGAAATCAATGACTTTTTTAGTTTTTCCATCGTCAATGACTAAATCATTGCCTTCAATGGTTAAAGTTGAGTTTTCGTTTACTAGTTCATGTGCTCTTCTTGCTTCATTTGTTTCATACGCATATGCAGCAATAGTCATATTTTTAATGAGAATAAAAATGTTGTCTATTTGCAAAGTACAGACCCAAACGAATACGGGACAGTAAAGCTACAAACAAACTTAGGTCTTCAGAATGAAGCGCTTGCTTTCAGAGTTGTTGACTTCAATACTATCGCAACTTTTGTCATAACAGATGAAACAGATTTCATGGAGTTTGAAATAGATGACAAAAGAAGTGTTGTAACATTTCCTAACAGAGCCGAGTACAGAATAGATAAAATTGCTGGAGTCATAGATACTCTCATAAATGAAGAAACTATTGACAACATAGGTCGAACTCTCTTCTGAGGGAACATTGAAGTTCAGTAGCAAGAAAGAGTTCAAGATACCAAGAATGAGTCATAGAGTACAACTTCTTCTGGGAGCATACCATATGACATTTCCTTTGAAAAGTGTTGACAAAACGATTGAGATGAAATCTGTTCCATACGTATGTTATGGTAATTGTTTGTACGTTGAGTCTAAAATAGCTAATGTCACAGGTATTTCAGGAGTTAATAGTAAAGGTTCAGTAGAATATAATCCTTCTGTTATGCAGTCAATTCAATGTTCATTCCAAACGTTCCTGTCATAGCAACTCATTTAGGTAAATGGGTTCGCATTAGTCCTCATAATTTGAAAGACATGCAATTCAGACTTGTTGACTTTCAAGGAGAGCCTGTAGAACTGAAGGCACCAGTGCGAATGACTGTTGAAGTTGACTTTTTAGAAAATATTAAATGCAACAGCTTACAAAGAACTCAGAGCTAAAATATAAAGTATGAATGTTATGTATTAGGTCATGAACTTTGGTTGTTGCTGTTTGATGAAACAAATGAGTTAGTTATGCCAGTCAAAGAGAACAGAAAAAGGGCGTCAAAGGCGCCGAGCGCAAAGCGCTATATTGTGTTAGTGAAAACTGCACCAAGTCAATAAGATTAGGTTTGCATTATGAAGATGAGTTCGATACTGTTGAAGAAGTTTTGGACAGATATTACAAATTGCTAACTTGAATTTTTTTGACTGACGGCGCAAAGCGCCAAGATGGGCTCAAAGAGCCCTCCTGACTGCTTTAATTTACTAAAACATATTTCAAGCAAAGCTTATAGTAAGTAGATAGTTTTGTATACTCGTTCGAATATTTATACTTAAACTCAACTCCTGTAGTTCCTGGTGTTTCAATGATGCGGATGTTACCTATTTTCATGAATAGTGGAGTTTGACCACAGCATTCGATTTCAGGGTCGAGATAGTCAATGACACATTGCTTTCCTGTTATTCGTGATATAACATTTTCAAGGTCCTCCTTTGTTAGAATTATTTGGTTCTTGCTTATAAGATTTGTCAAAAGCTTCTTATCGTCTTTGAGTAAAATTGTTTGGTATAACTGAAGAAGGTAATGGTCTACGTTATCTGAAGGATTTGTTTGAACATTTGTGTAAGGGTTGTCGTTGGCTTCTCTTGAAAGAATTTGGTCCAGTGGTGGATACTCTAACTTAACATCTGATGTAGCGTTAGCGTTTGAAGCTGAGTTTAAATTCACGGCGCCATGCGCCAAGATGGGCTCTTTGAGCCCTCCCGACTTAAGTTCTGGTTCTTTTTCTTTCAAACACTCTGAACTATAGTTCTTTATGACAATATTGTTTGTCGTTCGTGAGTCAACATTTGATGTTGGTTCAATTGGAACATTAACGGCACCAGCTAAGATGGATTTGCTTCTCATTTCATATAGAATAAAAACCTTTTATATGTATGAAATGAACAATATACTCGACAAGGGTTTGAATGTAAAGCTAACGAATGAAAATATTGTTGAATTCACTGAGACAGGAGCTGTGTATAAAGATGTAGAACTACTGAACAAAAGAGCTAAGGGAAGAAGCAGGAATATGAACAAAGGGTGGAAGCCTATAAAAATTTATGTCAATGATGGCTCAGGAGGTTCAAACATAAAGTATGCAGAAAGTTATAGAGTTTATGCTCTCAAAGGTGAAAAGCCTTCATTTAAGAACAGCTATTCTAACACATATCCTCAAAAGCTAACGGATGGGGAAGTGGATGATATGAATGACAGCAAAAATATTAACAGAAATGGCGACAGAGATGCATGGAATTTGTTTACCATCAGTCAATTGAAGGTTAAACTTTAAAACAATGTTGGTCGTTCCCATGGAATATTTTTGACTTTAATGGTATTAGTCATGATATGAATCTCAAGGTATGAACGAGGAGAGATGAGAGACTTATATGCTTCCCAAATTTCTTCAAAAGGTAATGTTATACCTGACTGTTTCCAAATGAGTTCAATATCATAACGTGAGAAACCTTGAAAGATAACGAAATCAGTTATGAGACGTTTTATGTTTAAAGCAAGGAAACGCCATGTTTGCATAAGTATTGCTACAGTTAAATGGTAATGTCTGACTTTAGTTATGATGTTAGCTAATGGTGAGTCTGGTTTTGACACTAAACCTTTTCCGGCGAAGTCGTCACAAACGAGCAGAGTATTTGAAGGATATTTTTTGAAGGGGTATTTTGAAAGTTTTGATAGAATGTAGTTTGTCAGTCGTTTCATATCGTAAACTCCTGAGTATTGACGTAAGTGGTGTTTGTCAATAATTCTTTCCATCTCTTCTGAAGTCTTTTGCATTCCTGACTGTATGAACTCTACAATAGCATAATATTTTCTCTTACGTCGAATGTAACGTTGAAGAAATTCAATGAGTTCACTGTCTGGAACTTTAACGACAGAGGCTTGAACTTTTGACATAAATGTTTTCGCTGTTGAGTCCATAGAGTCTGAAGTTGCTGATATAATGATTTGGTCATAATATGAATCTTGACCTAAACGTTCTGTTATGAGTATATGACGAATGAGGTTAAATGTCTTACCTGAACCCATCTTTCCACAATAGAAATACACACCATTTGAACAGAACTCATAGTCCTTACTGAAAGGAAGAATGAGAGAACTGTTGAGCTTTTCACTGCTTTCATTCATGTCTTCATCTACGTCATGTATTAAATGCTTCATTTTATCTCCATTAAAAATGCAAGTCAGAAATATTCAGAACATAGCACCGAGTCTAACTGACAAGAGTATAAAGATATACTATGAACACGTTATGATGAAACCTACCAAAATTCAAGAAAGTCAGTATACTTATGAATATCCAAGGCACTGGGTAGAGTATGTAGGAGGTGAGAAAGCTATTGAAATCAGACAGGTTCGAAGTATTCCAGCAGGAAGAACAATATTATTGAAGAACTTTAATGTTTTGAGGTATAATGATGAAACAAAGAAGCAAGATAGTTTTCCTGTTGCTGTGTATGTGAACCTAGACACAGGAGATGACATGAAAGTTTTTAACACAAAACTTCAAACGGTAGTGAGAGAACAACTGACTGCGGAAGGACATCCATTACCTTCAGAAGTTACATAGCATATAATTTTGAAACAAACTCAATAGATTTTAAAGTCATCTCTGCAAAGAAGTCAGGTTTTACATTTAATGAAGCAGATGTATATTCGAATGAAAACTTCAAAGCTATTGCATGGTTAGATAATGACGATTGCTTTAAGAAAATATTTAAATTCAGTGACTCAACGATGTCAATAGATGACCTTCGTGGAATGTTACCATCGACGTTTACAGTTGAAGGTTCAGCAGGATTGCTTACAAGATTGTCAATTGGTGGTATTTGGTCTCGTGAGAACATTGTTATAAAATCCAGTATAAGTGAATTTGCTGAAGAATCTATATTATGTCTTTCAAACTACATGTATTCGCCACCGAAGCATTATAGTATAACAAACTTTGTCAGTAAGTTTAACATAAGACTTGTCGAACCTTCTTCAATGAAAGATGTTGTGCTACCTAAAGATGGAAAGGATGGACTCATTATTGAGATGATTTTAATAGCATATTAAATGAGCTTGTTCTTGAAGGTCATTCATGATGAAATAACTGTTGTAGAAGATGTTAGCAATTGTTCAGACATTTTGAAGCGAATAGATGATATAAGAAGAAGTTTATGAATGAGAATGTTTATGTTTCATTGACTTTCTCCAGTAACGAGAACTTTTATGAGATAATATTGAAGAGAGATGATTTTAATATGGTGTAAATGGTAGCTTGGGCAGCTTTAGGCGCAATGGGAACAAAAGCATTAGCATTTGGAGCAAAAGCACTTGGAGCTTATGACGCAGTAAATAAAATGAGTGGAGGAAGTTTCGAAGACATTAGATGCAAATAAAGGAAAGATTGGAGGCTGGGTTGCAAAGAAGTTAAGATTAAATAAAATAGGACTCATAAATAAAGCATCCAATTTGGTTGCGACTGAGTCAGAAAATGCTTTAGGAAAGGACGATGAGTTTGCAAAACACGCAAAAGACTTTAATGACCAGATGAAAGGTGAAACAATGCATTTAAATAGAGTCGATGGAACTCTTCCTCCACCAGTAGTTCTTCCGTATGGTCCCTATGGAATGTATGGAAACCCTTACGAAAGACCATTTGACCCATTGACTGGTGGAAGTAATTGGTATCATTACGGACGAAGAAGAAAGACAGTCAAGTTGGAGACAGACGTGAAGAAAGCAACTAAAAAGAAACCAAGGAAGAGAGTTATAAAGCAATGAATTCAACAGGTTAGAAAAGAGGTTAGATATCGGGTTAGATCTAACCTTCTACCCTAAATTTATTTTTGTGCTATGTTTTCATACGTGTGCGGGTGGTGATATCATTAATTTTTAAGTTTATTTTTTATTTTATTTTTATTTTATTTGGATGTAATGACAGAACAAAAGCAACTCATACAAATCGAAAAATATAACAAACATACATTTAAACATTTATTCTTCCTTCCTGAGCATAACATGTTCTTTCAAATACATCCGAGACCAGTTGACTTTTCATTGACTGTTTATAAAGATAGAAATAGTTATATCATTAAACCATACGATGACGAAGGTAAGTTATGTAAATTGTACGTTAAGAAGTTAGAGAAAGTTTATGGCTTCAAGTATGACTACAATAGGGTTAACACTGATGATGAAGATATTGAGGAAAATTTATGAGAACATTAGTGAAGTCGTTAGTGAGAACGATAGTGAGAACGATAGTGAGAACGTTTATTTTTTCATTAGTGAAGTCGTTAGTGAAAATGTTGGTGAGCTCGTTAGTGAAGTGGTTGGCGGTTTTGTAAATATTTAAGGTTAAGTGAGTGTTGTCGTTTTGTGTTGTAAAATATACGTTACTGGTTTTGTAAATATTTAAGGTTAACTTGGGTAAGGTGAAACGCAGTGCCACCATACCCAACATAACCATACTAACTGGAGAATGAGAGTCTGTATGCCGCCATTGGACGCCCCAAAGATCAAGTAGATCTTGAAAGGCGCCCCTATTTTCTGAACCGTTGTCGGTCCAGAAACAATAAGGGGCGCCAAATTCAATGAAGGCGGAAGCCGCAACGTTCGCTGTCGTCGCTGCCAGCATATCTGGTATTTGTATACACGCTAGGACTTTGCGGCTAAAATCGTCGATTATGCCATAAATATACTGGCCACGAACACCCCTAAAATAATGAACATCTGCGTGCCAGATAAGATTGGGTGAAAGCGCCCAATATCTTACTGCTGTTTCTGGCCCGGCATGCTCTAATCGCGTCTTGGTGAAATGATTTTCTTTGAAGTATCTGCGTACTTCTCTATAAGATACATCAATTTGTTGTAATTTCAAACGTTTCCATTGTTTTGTTTGACCACAGGGAAAGGCCCAGTGGTCATGTATCACAGCAAGAACTTTGATTTGGTCGTAGGGATTGACCCTACGACCTTTCTTGCCTTTAGGCAATGGGATATTCTGTAAGCTAAATTGATTTTGTAAAAAAGATTTTGAAACATCTAAATATTTGAAATCATTTGATTGAAGGGTTGGGGCGATGGGAACATGGGTGCAAGCTTCTTCCCATGTCATTTTACCTTCTTCAATCTGATTGGAAATACCAATTAGGTAAATTCGATCGACATACCCTTTGTAAGGATTCATTCTAATGAAGTACGTTAACAATCAAAATATTCTATAAGTGTCTAGTATGGAATTCAAAAGAATAAAGAAAATGGTAACGTAAATAAACGTATTATGAAATAATTTATAATTAAAATGAAAAAAAGAAAAAATAATAAGTAAAGTGACTGGAAATGAAAATGAAAATCAGTGTACAGTTTTATTTTTTTCTCGCTGTGAAACGTATTCGGTCATTTTTTTAAAAATTAATTTTTTGTTAGAGATAAGAGCTAAAACTTTGCAGACAACTCCCCCATGTCTAGCAAATTTAACATTCGTCTCCCATTTTTATATATTTGGTTTAGAATGTTCGAAAATGCGTAATATGGTCATTAATATTAATTGAAAAGAACCTTGAATTAATTCAATCTGATCTCACAAAATATTTTAAATTACAAACTTTGTAGTTTGAATAGATAATTAGTATTAAACTCAAATAACTAGTTTATTTTTGAATAAAAATTATTTGAATTTATTCAATTTTGTGAATTTTCCTTCAAAAATCAAGTGTAAATATCTTATTTGCCATATAATTATAAATACAATGAAACATATTCGAAATTGAAAAGAATGACTTTTTCTGTTCTTTCAATCATTCAATTTGAATTTTGCAATATTGGATTTCTCATTAAATAGCTATTAAAAACAACAAGCAATTTAACTTACATTCAAATTTATTTGTGTTATATTCAATCTTCTCAAAACTTATAATTTTCGGCTATAGCATGATTATATGCTATATAATATAATAAACCTATAATAGTATCATTCTTTCAATTATTTGAAGAGAAAACCGAAAAAATCTATTTTCGGTCTATAACAATACAAAATCAAAATCAAGAAATAAATATTTTCATAAATGAGTAATTACCATGGTATTTTATATTCATAGAATTCCCACGGATTTAACCACTTTTTAATTTTGAAACGAGTGATCGTTTGACATCATATCATAGTTTTAATATGGCTATATTAGTAATTCATTTTTTATAAGAAAAGTTCCCTCTTACATTTACAAATTTGATATTTGACAAATCTCTTCATGTTTAGCTCTATTCTTGAATATTATGAATATACAAAGCATGGATTTATCATTTCCAAATTTCAAAGTATATAAAATAAAGACATTTTTTTTTCAAATTACTTCATGATAGATCGAGCAATCTCAATATAATTTTCGTTACGTATTATCATATTTTATCCCAATGGATATTGAATTAGCTCATATATGCTGGTTATAGAGAAGATCATCGAATTTGTCGAACTTGGCCTAGGCTAATGAAAAAATCTTCTTTGTTTTCATAAGTGTTGGAAGATAAAATCCAAGAAACACTGTGTTAAGGGAGATGATACACTAAATGAAATTCATTTTTTTATTAAAATATACTGTTTGTGCATGTATATGACAGTTTGCGATCTTTGCTAAACTCTAGAGAGATAAACATGCCTCAAACACTCTCAATTCTCTATCTTAGATCATTATTTTCCAATAGGATCTATGATTTAGCGCTTATCGAAAAATTTGAATAAACAATCATTTATGAGCTCTAAAGATGATGAAACATAGGCTTTCAAGACTGACACAATCTAGGAAGGGATTCTCCACAATAGCATCATATATTTTCTTTGAATTCAACTTCAAGTAAATAAATATAAAATTAAAAACTCCGATGAAACTTATTTGGTCTGATATAGAGAAAACTATATTCATATAAATGTGAAAACAATCTAAATTTGAAATAGTTAAGGATTATAAAGCGAATTTATCAATTTGGAATTTAATAATTCAAGATATTGTTCGGAAATGCCATGTTCATTATTTATAAGAAGACAAATAACAACATGTGCAAGATTTCAAAAAAGAAACAAAAAAAATTTTTTTTCGAAAAATATAATACAAACAATTTTAATTAACATGAAATCCATCACCGCTATCATCTGTTTCATAAGATGCTAGGAAATCTGATGTTAAGTCTTCATCGGAAATATCATCAGATAAATAATGCGCAGTTCTCAGAGCTCTATATGACCTTACAATATTTACTATTGTAAGGATCACAACAATGATAATTAGAATCGTTCCTACAGAAACGTTTACAAACGTGGTTTTCTTCGGAACCTGTGTTTTGATGAACTCTGTTTGAATCGGAGGATGTGTCTCGTGAATTTCAGGGACATCATCACCTCTTATGATAACATTTGGTTCATCTTCGTATTGACCGTCCCATGTTTCTTGGGGAGTCATTTCAAGTGTTTGCTCTGGAACTTCTGGGTCTGGAGTTTGTTCCGGAATAGGAGTGGGAGTAGAAGGAGATTCAATATCACTTGAACTAGAGTCGGAACTTGGAGTTGAAGAAAATGTTCTGAAAGGTGTTTTGTCGTTGGTACGGAACATTGTTTTGAACGGAGTGGAGTGAGCGGTTGAAAATGGAGTATATTTCGCAGTGAAGTGAGGAGTTGAGTGCATTGTTGAGAACGGAGTGATGACTGGTGTATATGCTGCAGTACTATGTGGTGTAGAATGGAAAGTACTATGAGGAGTTTGATGAACAGTAATAATAGGAGTTCCAAATGGAGTTTGCGCGGGAACAAGAGATCTTTGGCCAAATGATTGATAATCACCTCCGCCTTGAATATTCGTGAAATCGAAATGAAGATTTTCAGGACTATTTCTAACTGCGAGTTTCATTCTAAGAACTTGTGCATCTACTGTTAAACTTTTCGAAGCTCCACGATTAATTTGCTGAATAGAATATCCTGATGCATATGATATTTCTCCGTTAGAAAGAGTATTGGTTATAGTAGTTTCTGCATGCTTATGGACAAAGTATAGGCAAAATGTTGTTGATCTTGGTTTTCCTGAGGCTGCGAGAACTTCATCCAAATCAAAATAATCTTTTATTGAAAAGTAAGTATCTCCACTGCAAACCATGTCATACGTAAAGCCTGCTCTTGCGAAAATCTGCCTAGATGTTTTCGGACGCACTAAAATAGATATAACTTGATTTTGATTTGATGCAACAAAAACTTTCTTGAGTTCGGATTCATCAGCTAAAGTAAATGAGTTATCATCCCAATTATTCGGATCTGTTGTCCATCCATAGTTATATTTGATTTGATCCCCTGGTTGTAAGTCGTAGATAACAAGATATGATCTTGAATTTTCTTGTAGAGACGATTTAAATAAGCATTCAGTTCCTGGTCCGCAAGTAGATTGGAAAACGGTTCCGTCGCCGGGAGAAGTTACAGTAGAAATGCAGGCGGATAAAGGAATCAGAAACAGCATCAAATAGAAATTGAAAATTGAGAAAGCATTGAAACAAATAACTTTGAAAATTTTGTTATGAAACAAATCATAAAAGATAAACACAGCTAAAATAAAGGAAAAACGAATTTGCAGATTGAAAGGGAAGAAAACAAATGAGAAAAATGAAATGCATTGTATTTAGTAATGCATTTTTGCTCGAAAATTTAGATAATAAATTCAAAACAAAAAATTTGATAAAAGTGTAAAATTGTAAAGTTCACAATCGGAATAATTTATGATAGAGTAATAGATGTTATGATAGAATATTAAAAATTAAAATTAAATAAATTCAAAAATGTTGAAATATGTCAAAAATTAAAATCAACATTTATAATACGAATTTAGCTATTCAATAATAACAATTTTTTTGTTCAATAATTTTGCAAATTACCTCAGACTTTTCAGAGGATTGAGTGGCAACTCAATCCTCTGAAATAGTCTGTGGTAATTTTTAGTCTCTACACTATTTCAATATAAGCTTCATTTTTAAACAGTTTTTAAAAATCGAGCATTGAAAAGTGTGATGCGACTTTCAGTTTTTTGAATCGACTTTTCGATTTTGAGAGAGTTTTCAATATGAAAATTCAATCGGAGTTATTGAAATTGTCTTTCTATTTTAAATTCTAGTATAGGGCATGAAAAAATAAAATGAATCGTAAAATTTTATGACAGTAAGTATTGAAAATTTAAAATCGTATCGAAATAACTAATTTAATATTTTAAGCTCAATGAAAAAATTACGTGGAATTATTTTCAATATTTGACAAATTTTCAATTCGAATATTAATTTTTTTATTTTATTATTCGACACGATTATATTGTGTGGTATTAATTTTGAACTTAAAATCAATTTTACCACTTTTCTATTTGAATCCATTTTTCTTTACATTTCAAATCCACACATTAATATATCAATCCAATTATATATTATTGTTTATTCCTATTAAAAATATATTTCTGTTTCATCATTCTATCAAACAAAACAAACTTTTCATTTAATATCCACTACTACAATCACGTTTCATTTTGTTCTACTAATTTTTCACCTAAATTAATCATATATTTATGGAATATGAATAATTTTATTTCATGAATATACTCCATAAAATTATTCAACCAATTCATGATTGTTTAAGATATATAATTGCGGTCTAAATACGCAATGATTGAGATTATCTTTCTTTAGATACAATTTGGATTGAAAAACAATTTGACACTTAACCCAAGTTCTAAATAATTAGCATAAACCTTGTTCTAATAATTTTCATAATTTAAATTCGTTATATCCAACAATTTTATTTTGATAAATGAATTCTAACTTAATTTAGCTATAATATATTATATTTTTCATACTTACATATTAGGGTGACATTTCCTATAAGTTAAATTAATCTCGGAACACATTCACTATTTTTTTTTATTCTTCTCCAAACTATTGCATTGATCCAATATGGATGTGAATTTAATCAAATAAAAATCCATAAAAGCATACTTAAACTTTTAAAACATGCATATTAACTTTTAATTTTGTTTTTGATTTGGTCAATTGTTGGTTTTATATAAAATTAATCATTGCAATCAATGGATTTAGAATGTTCATATTCTTTTAAAACTGTTTGGGTTCCCATGACAAGCTAGGAACTGTAAATATTTTTATTCAAAATATTACAGGTTTTCATCGAAACAGAGCAGAAAAACCATTTCCAAAGGTAAGAGATAAGAATTTAGTTTTAAAATTCTTCGAACATGGATTTTACAGAAATAAAATTTGAATAGATACTTAATTAGATTATTGCGTCACAAACAATAGTATACTCTCAGATAAGCGTTTTTTGTTTTTGATCACTGAAAAAGGATAAAATTTCAAAATTTTATATCACGATATTTTTGTACAACGTGTTCAATAGAATAATTGCAAAAGCGCGTAAATTATTTTTTGAGGAAGCCTGAAATTTTTTGAATAGTAATAAATTTAGAGGTAGGGCAACGATAGGTCAAAAAGGCTTCTCTGATAGATTTCCTTGCCTTTTGGATATGCTATAATATATAGCCTAGCATGATAGGATATGATGTCAAAAGTTAGAACATAACTTAGGATCTTGAGAAAAATGAAAAACAAAAATTACATAAAAAAAGAAAAATTTTATCTAATTTGTTTTTTTGGACCGAATAAGTAATTTTATTGAATTTCAATACGACACATAGATTTTATTATTAGTAATAAATATAATGGTTTACTATTAACAAGGAACCTAAACTAATGAAAATTTGATTTCAAATATTGTATATGATTATCATAGATTACCAAAATATATTGCTATTTATGAGGATATAATATTGATTATTAGTAAATCGTATAAATTTAATAAATATACCATGAATATTGAATGAATTTCTTGATTCATAGGGGTAAAACGCGCTTTTATATGATTTAGACAGAGAATTTATGAGATGTAAATAACACAATAAAGGTTTATATTGAATATTTTCTAAAAATAAATCGAAATTATAAAAAACAATACATTTATTCATTGAAACTACTTGGACAAATATGAAACAAGCATTCAGGCAATACTTTTGAGACTTCAACGCATCTGATAATTTTTATATAACTTCACCTCTTATGCTTAGAGTGGAGGTATTGAGATCGTATAAGTATAGATGAGCTCACATTCAGATATGATGTGTGAACTTCTGTTTTCACTGCAATTTTGAATCAGAATAAACTCAAAACAAGAATAAAATGATATACTCACTCTCTAAATGTGTTAGAGATTTAAAGTTGTATGAATAAAACGATTCATCTTTCGAAGCCTCCCATTTAATGAGAGACTTCGAAAGATGAATGTATTCATGTAGATGAAATACTATATATGACCATGTGTGATACTAAAGATATCAAAATGTTCATTTTTAAGTGCAATAGAAGGGTTATCTCTCGTAAAATCTCAATTTAAGGAAGATTTAGAAAGAACTCCTTTCCTAAGTAGATAGTGTGTGGTTTCTGTCTTTTGGTTGATCAGGAACTATGAAATTAAGTCGGACAGAAAGAAGTTCTTTCTAAAACAGACTCCAAATGAGTTGTTCGAAAAGAACTTCCTTCTGTATATGGATAATTGTAGTTACCGCACTGAAGTATGTGATTGTGATGATGGAGTTCTCGATAAATCTAAAATCGGATTAAGATTAATTGAAAACTCAAGTAATTCTTTGAAATCTTGTGTTGTCTGGCACTATAATAACCAAAGAATGAGAATATTATGTTGAATGATGAGTACGTGTGCTCGGCATTCGCCGAGCGAATTGAGTTTAACGTACTATGAAAAGTGACAAATTTGGGCTTTTTTCCTAGGGTTATGATCTCTTCCTTTCTGCTCAATACGACAGAAATGAAAGAATGAATTTGTACTCCCTAATTGATTACTACAATCTGTATCTATCTTTAACATAGAATTAGCTGCATTGTGATTTATACTCCAGAATTATTCAATTTAAGATCAACCTCGTAAATTTTAATCATATTGCACCAATACTCCTACGTTGAGATAAGAACATGATTATACATACCAAAGCCCCATATTAAAAATCAAAATTTAGCACCTCCATTATGCAACCACATTATTTGTCGCAAATAAGTATATTTACGCATATTATGATGCATATTCACACAACTCGTATACATGAAAAGTTATTAAAATCAGACAAAATTATTGCAATAAGGAAAAAAAAACAACTTTATTATATATGTTAGTAATGAATTACAAATATTTCTACACAGAATGCTCAATACTTCATATAATCTTCGAATATTTCTTATTACAAGTTAATACATTTTGACTCGAACATGATAAACAAAAGCTGACACGCTGATTACTACATTTATGAAAATATAGTACGTTTCCATTCATCTGTTTACTTGTTTTTGTTGGAATAAAATCATTTTTTTTTCTTTCATGAAATAAGAATTTTGCTGCGAAAGCAATATCTCTAACAATAATTAATACATTACGTCAACTCTGGAATGAGTATTTATCAAATATGATATCAAAATCAAAAATTAGTTGTTTTTTATGAGTAAAAACGATGTAAATTGATTATTTGACTAATTATCAAATACTTTGATTTTCCAAATTTTTTTTGAAATTGATTTTTTCTTGTGAAAATTCAAATTGTTTAATTTCATTTTTGAAATTTTGAATTTTTTTTGGAATTTTGAGTTGATCAATTCAGCAGAATTGATAATGCTATTGCTTTAGGGCATACCACAAGGTGATGAATAAAAGGTGAACATTAACAAATTATTTTAAATCACAAATATCATCCTCATCAACTTTAATTCTAAAAAGAACTGTACTGAATTATGAAAATGCATGATTTACATTATTAAAATCTTTGAATGAAAATAGTACAAGATAAGTTTTTATTCATTTTTAATTAGATTTAAACGAAAAACTACTCCATATTAAAATTTAAGTCGAGAAATCGTATTTTGTTCTTATTTGTTAGCATTTTGTAGACATTCTAATCTTGAATTAATTTGTTACATGATATTATTAACAAATTTAACTGAAAAAATATGTTAATATGGAATAAACCATGATTATATAAGCTATCAATGCTATATATACATATGTAAAAGATTCATATTAACTCAATTAACAAAAATGATAGATTTTCATAAAGGTTCAATCTAGGTTCGTCCGAAAATTTTGATTTTTATATAGAAGACATAGTTTCATATACATAATTAAATTTTCAAACAAATTTGATCATACCATTTATTAAGCAGGATAGTATATTAATTACTATCAGTATAAAAATATAAAAATGATTATATTTAATTATTGCATAATTTAGTCAAAGAGTTATAAGCCTCAAGTGATCGTTATCACCTTCAATGCACGTATATTTTATTGATTCATAGATATTTAATCTATGTTTGACATGTTGTTGTCGTCATTCGTTTTGTTCCCATTCTTCCTAAGTTAGAATTAGAGAATACACCATCCACATCATCTAATTTGGTCCTCAGCGATAGATTGGTTCATTTTGGAGGAGTCCCATCAGACAGTTTTCGAGCACCAAATATCAAATTTTAATGTATACAAATCTTTAGTGATTTATCTCTTTTATGATGAGTAAAAGGTTTCTGCTCATCAACATTTGATTTCCGACATATATGATTTCTAATTGCAATTATTTACTTTCTTTTTATAATCTAACTCTGTGACTCATACCATAAATTAATTATTGGAAAGTGTCAATATGTTTGGCACAACGCATGGCGGAAGATACCGAACCATGCAGGGAATATGATACGTTTAAGATCTCCGAACTTTTTTTCCAAAAATTTTCTATCGTTGCCCTACCTCTATAAATTTAACCTCTCAGAAAATTACATATTGTCAAAATCTCAATTCAAATATATCTTTGTACAATTTTATATCGCCTATATAATACGTGTGAGATACTATTAAAGAAAACTATATCTTCAAGTAATAAAATACGTTTTACTATTTAAAGCATTGAAATGTTTAAAAAGAAATTGATCAACGCACATATCTAATCAATATTCATCAATATTTTTGAATTATAGTTTGAAATTTGAATGCGTTTGTGAGAGTATTCAAATACAGAAATTGAATATAAGTATATAATTTGAATTGAATTAGTCGATTGAATTTTTTCTTTTTAAAAATAAAAACTCATTTCTTAAACAATGCAGGAAACAGCAATCACAGCATCATCATCACTACAAGATATATCTAATTCTGAAAACACCAAGCTAGAGCAATTGATTGATGTGCCTTTTACAAAGAAAGCAATTGCTGCATTGTTAAGGTTATTCAACTATTTTGACATTTACGCCCCAAGAATACCAGCTGTATATGATATTATCACCATTATAAGATTCTTCCAGCTTATTGGTGGTTCTATTATGGCAGCAAACACAGATTTGTTCAAACCCGGTACTTTAACTTTCAAAGTAATGTCAGTAATATCAGTTCTATTTCATGTAGTACCAGTTCAATACAGAGATGCAAATCTTGTTTATATTTTAACTGCAATTGATGCGATTCTTATTGTATTTGGCTTTTACTTAGTAATAACAGTATTCCAGTATAAAACAACTTCTAAAGTTCCAAGAATGTCATTATTAATACTAAGCTTCTATATCGCAATCGGTCCTTTTATCATTCTGCCACTTGCAGCCCAGTTTGTGGGCCAAATGATTTCAAATGAAATAGCTACAGCTTCAAAACCAGATAGTATTGAACTTATCCTCGCAATTGTGACTGTTACACAGTTTGTATTCTACATTTGGATGATGATGAAGACCTATACAACGACCATCATTTTCAGAGCTACAAGTTTACAAACATTAGAAGGAAGTGCTCAAAATAAAGTGTTTCTTGTCACTCTATTCAACACTTTAATCTGTGCCATAGCTACAGATATGGATAGAATACCTCAGACAGTTATAACAGCCATTTCAATGCTGATTTACGTCTTTTCAATTACTACAGTATTCAATTGCGGAACTTTCATAAGACATTCCCATCAAATAATGATTCTTGGAGGATCAATTCTTGGAATTGTCATAAGTGCCGTTAATTTCTGTCCAGCTGAGAAACAAAATCAATAAAATTAACAAACAATTCATAAAAACAAAGAACAGACTAAGAAACATTTGGGACCTAATCTTACAAGGAAGTACAAATGATATGGATTCCCCAATTAAAACTGCTTATCAAAGTGTCAAAGAATGCAAATCCGATGTCTTATATTTAAAGATGATTTATCCCAACAATAGATTTGCCTTAAAACTATATGCAAGATATTTACTTGAAATCAAATCAGATGTTGTTCAATACAGGAAAACATTAGATAGTATAGCTCTTTTACAACGAGGTCTTAAAATTAACAACGATACAGTTCATGATTTGGGAATGGAATCTTTTCCATTGATACCTGAAAGATTGAGCGATTCTGAATTGAACATTAAAACAGGAGAAAACGAATCAGGGGTATTAGACGAAATTGAAGTTGAAGAAATTAAAGATGAAGATTATGAATCTATTGTCAAACTTATTGATGTTCATAAGGTTCCAGCTATTCAATATTTGTATACAACTACAATAATAGCTTTCATATTCTTACTATTAATACCAATTATTGGAATTTGCGTTAGTTTTGGTTATTTCAAACAGAGTTTAACAGATCCAATAACATACATGGAAGGTGTAGCATATACAAGAAACATTGTTAATGTTATTTCATGTTTTGCTGTTCGTTGCTTATTTGAAGAACTCAAAGATCCAAATAATCCAACACAAAACATTATTGGTCCTCTAACAATGGTTCCAGGATTTCCAGCAGAAGCTTTTGGTGGAGAATATGTTGGAAGAAAAATTATTGAATTTTATGCCAAAAATATTGGAACGATGAACTCAATGATTTCAGGATTAAGATCATTTAAACCAGGAAACAAGCACATCGAAAAAGTAAGAGACTTGTTGTTTGCCAGGAATATTATTTATCACTTTTTCATTACTAAAGAAAATGTCAGGAATATCCCGTCATCTGCTGTTGATATTTCTTACCAATTGGCCTCAACTGTTGGAAGACTTTTGGATCATGATGTACTTAATGTTGATGTTGCCAAGAGTTCAGATTCTCTAACAGTCCGAAACAACAATGTATTAATCACTGAAGCCGCAAGTAAAGCATTGACTTCAATTGTCCAATATATCGGAGATAACCATGAAAAATATAACAAGATATTCTGGGGATTATTTGCCTTCTTTTCAGGCATGAATTTTATATTCATTGTTCTCATCTTTACATTTCAAAAGAAGAAATTAGAAAAGAACAAAAATGCAATTATAACAGCAATTTCAGAACTTCCAAAGACAGTCATTTCAAACGTTTCTGCAGCATTTAGTAATCTCAAAGGCAATCAGTCAACAAGTCAAAAAGCAAGTAATGGTCATGAATCAGAAACAAACAGACAAGAAGAATCAATTATTAAATTATTCTCTTCAATATCAGATGGTGTTAACTCATCATCTTCATATTTCGTTCTTTTCTGTTATGTTATGATCATTGCTTTGTCAATATTATGTTTCTGGTTTGCTGTTCAATGCTTCTTCAGTGCTTCAGATGTTGTTTTCTACAATTGCCATCATATCAATTACTTCTACGGTTCCATCACTTTCTTATTCGCATTGGCATCAAGACTTTATGATATTTGCCTTGCAACATATCATACTAACTTCAAAGATACAATTTTAGATGTCAATCAATCTATTAATGAAATGGAATCATATATTCCTTTAAAATTAACATACTTCCATTCGATTCGTCTTGGTGGAAGAGGTAAACGCGAAGTTCCATTTGAAGGAATGGCAGAAGCACTTGACCGAGCTACATCAATTATCAAATGCGACGATCCAATTAAGCCTCCAGTTGAAGTTCCTGAATCTACAAGATGTTTTTCTGCATCAAATACTTTATATATTGCAGTTTGTTATTTCAAACGATTTGTCAAATTAATGAAACAAGGTGTATTTCCACTTCCATGGGGATATCATGTTAATGATGTTTTCCAAGTTGGTCCATTAGAATTACATGAAGCTTTCTTCTCAAAGACAGGAGGAGAATTAGTTCCTTATATGATAAAATCAATCAGAAAACAAGAAACAAACTTAATCAGGAATTCAATACTATTTGTTCTTGGTGCATTCATCTTCCTCATTTGCATCTTATTTACAATCAACAAAGAAAACACATTGATTAAATTTACAATTGATCAATTGCTAAGAGTTCCTCCATCAGAGATATTGCGAAATCAACATATTATGCGACTTCTTACTGGAGATTATTCTGAAGAAGCAGAAGAAGATTTCAGTGGCAAATATATCCAATTTGCAAACGAAGTTATCAATAGATTAAATGATATTTTCATTGTTTGCCAAGAAGAAACAGGAAAGGTTGTTCAAGTCAATGCTTCTTTCACTAATATGTTCGGCATCACAAATGAAGAGATGGAAAATACAAATATCAAAGATTTCTTCATCGAATCTAGATTCCAATCTGATGGAAAACTTGATAGAGTATACACCAGAACAATGAATGCTGTATATACTAACGCAAATAATGAAAAATTCTTTATCGAATTCTCATCAACAAACGTAAATGGAAGAAGGATTTTCACAGGTAAAGATCAAACACAAAATGTTATGCATGAGAAATTGATACAAGATGAGAAAGATAAGAGCAATAAAATGCTTGCGTCAATTCTTCCTGCTAGTTTAGTTTCTCGCGTTCAAGCTGGCGAGAAAGACATCTCTTTCTCTGTTCAATCTTCTTCTGTTTTGTTCTTAGATATCGTGGAATTCACTCCTTGGTGTGGCTCACATGATGCTCATTATGTTATGAGAATGCTTAACATTTTGTTCAAAGAATTCGATGCAATTTGCAATGCACATAAGACAATGACAAAGATCAAATGCATTGGAGATTGTTACATGGCTGCCGGAGGTATCTTTGATGAAGTAAATCAGCCAGCTGTTCATGCAAAAGAAGTTGTTGACTTTGGATGCGTTGTCATCAAGAAACTTGAAGAAGTAAATATGAGCGAGAACGAAAAACTGAGAATAAGAGTCGGTGTAAATACAGGAGGTCCGATCGTTGCTGGTGTCATCGGAACAGAGAAACCAACATTCGAAATATTAGGACCTACGATCAATATCGCACACGAAATGGAACATCACGGTGTTCCAATGAAAGTACATATCTCTAGACCTGTTTATGAACTCATCTATGGCCAAACTTTTGACATCAAAGAAAGAGGTGAAATAGATGTCAAAGGAGGAAAGATGTTTACATATCTAGTCGATCCATAAAATACATTATCATGCATTGTATTGTATATTATAAACTATTTTTATATATTTAAGAAAATCAATATGTAAATTTCAAGGTAACTTATTGGCATAAAAGGCAATTTAACCAAGGAAAATATCGTTGTATACATATGGAATTGTGAATTGACCAGTGATTAAAGAATTTGATTAAGATTTCGGAAAGAAATGCAAAAAGTGACACTTTAATTTTTTTTGAAAATCTTTCTCTTTATTAGACCTAAATTTACCATAATTTAGGGCTTCATATGATTACCAAAGAAATTTCTAATTGTTTTTTGTTTAAGATGACTAACATTTGGCTTTTTGGTCAACTATTTTTATTATTTCTTATAAATTATTCAATTAAATTATGATTTCCAACCTTACAAGCCAGAAAAAATAAGTAATTTCTTATATGAAAATTGAATTCTAATGATTTCCTCTGCATTAATATTTTTTTTTAAATTAATCGATTTAAGAATAACTTATTGAATAATAATAAATTTATACACCCCAAAACTCACAAGCATAACAAATTGGTTCAAATCAATTATATCCCAAATTCATTCGATTTCGATTAAAATTTATATCCCAGCTATCAATTTTTTTCAACTAACAAATGACATATAATTGGACTTTTCGGAATCCTGACTATGGTTCATATTCTTATGATGTCTCTTATAAAAATTATAGAATTGTTAAACAAGGAATTCAATTCTATCTTAAAGTAGATAATGGATATGAAATGATAATGTCTAAAACAAAAGATTTGACTGTTGGAGATATTACAGCTTCAGTATCTTACAAATTATTTGGTGATGCAGATTATATTAACATTATTCACACGGTTAAAAACAATGGAACTAAATCACATAAAATCAGTATGAGAGTTGAGGCAAAAATAGAAATAGTCGATTTAAATGAAGGATTTAGTGGAGATTATTATTGTAATCAAATTAATATTGATGGATATAAAGGAGTTGAATTTCAAGGTGATGATAATCATAATGTTAGATTTATACTTAAGAACTCCCCTATGATTACAGATGTTGATACTTACTCATATTATCTTTGCCCTGATTATGGAGCATGGAATAATTGTACAGATTGGACCAATATTAATGCTGCTGCAAGAATTTATTTTTCATGGAAAGATCGAGAAATTAAACCAAATGAAATACAAAATTATTCATATAGTATTGGTAAAGGTAAATATCTCAAAAGAAAAGTTATCATACAAACACCAATTGAACCATGTTATGATAATTCAAACAAAATAAATCTTTCTCTATCAATTGAATCATTAAAAAAAGGTGAAACATTTTCTATATTCAGACAAGTTTTTGATAGTTCATTCAATTCGGTGACAGATAAATTGGAAATTGTTTCAAATCAAACAGACGATGGGAATACATTTAGCTACATAGATAAATTTACACTTCCTTCCTCCCCAGGAAACTACATTATTTCATATACAACACTTGATTCAAATGGGGAGAGGACCACATCAATTCCTATCGTGGTAAATAAAATTCCAAATATTAAACTGAAACAAAATATTGAAAAGGAATATCAATACAAATCATTTATCCCGATTAAAGTAGAAATCGATGATGATTCATTTGTGAATTTATCCATTCTTGATGATGGTGAAATTATAGTTAGTTATTCAATCGCATGCAATGGCAATAAACAAACTGTTGAATATAACTTGCTTCTGAATGGAAAAGATGATAATTCAGATCATAACATTTCTATTTACGCTTTCGACGAGTTCAACTTTAAATCAAATGTTTTGGATTTCAGGTATAAAATACCTAAATTAATGCCTGAGATTCAGATTTTATCACAGTTCTCTGAAACATATACAAGAAATGAAACCTACTACTTTACTGCTTCTGTTTTTTGCAAGGATGAAGTGAATTTCATCATGCTTGATGACAATCAGTATATTTACTTTTATGATAATGTTAAATGCCATGGAAAGACAATTGAAATGATTAAATCATTCTCAATTCCTGATGACTATGAATATGATTCTTCACATAAAATCTCCATTTTTGCTGAAGATTCTTCTCATGATACTTCAAATTACTATAACTTTTCTTATAAAGTTTTGCCAAATAATCCACAAATCAAATATCATGGCAACAGCCCATTATATATTAGGAGAAATATGACGTTGCAAGTTCACACAGATATAATGTTTGATATGAATTCCAGATATGGCGAAGTTTATTCTTCAATTAATGAAGAACAATATTCTTTGGTTGCAAAATTGAATGATATTACAGCTAATACATGGGGTTATTACGTATTCCAAATAGACATATCACACACTGGAAATAGAAATGGAAATAATACTATTAATTTATATACAATTGACTCCGATAATTTGAAATCTAATATTATTGAAAATAATTTTGGATTTTTTCGTATCGAGCAAACATGTTTTTGTAATCTTGTATGGAAAAGAAACTCCTTCTTTTTCTCACTATATAATGCAGTATTTACTGGCAAAATAAATAAATCTTTTTAGAAAAATTGAGAGAATATATGTAAAAACTATTTTTCATATAAGAAGTTACGACATTTTACTTTTTTCCCTAAATGTTTCTGATTTTTTATATAGGCTTTTAATAATAATCAAATTCTTTTCCGTTTCCTATTAAAAATTGATATATTTTCAATAGTTTACACGGAATAATAATATATTAAAATTCCAGTATGATCTCAATTCAATCATTGAAAAAACATGTAATATGATAGCTTTTACCTTCATTTTATTTAGATTGAATTGTAAATAAAAACTAAAAAACACATTAAATTTACACAGGTGTGGATATTCATATGTACAATGCGTCTATTTAGATTTGTAATAATGTATTTCAAATGCCAAGCTATGAGTCAAAAATAAAATGCAAATGAAGATTGTATTAAAGAATTTTATTTTCTTCAATTCGTTATCGATGCATCTTATAGGATGCGTAGCGTAATAGACCATTACTATTTTTGTAAAAATAAAAAATCAAATAAAAAATAACAGTTTTGGCAACAAAATCATATGATAAAATAGTTCGTTATATATAACATATAATCATATCAAAAGTTTCATAAAGTATGAACTTATTTAATAAAATTTTACAAATCAAAATAAAATCATTAAAATTCTGAATAAAAATAATATCAGAATACAGTATGAATGATTTTAGTAATTTGTTAAAATGAATTTTCATTGTAAATAATTTAAAAGTCAAAATTGAAAATAATTATATATTTGGATGGAAACACTATTGCATATGTAATTTAACAATGCCGAGTATAAATTAAGAAGATTTATTTTTTTATGATAATTAATTTCGTCGAATTTCTTGAAATAATGTATAATAATTAATAGATAATGCATTTGTATTACATGTTCTTCAAGAAAAGTAAATATGTAAATATTTTTCAGGTAATGTTCATGCAATATTTAAATAATTGTGAAAGAAATCAGGTTCAGAAAAATTTGTGAACAACCGAATAAGACCATGCATTTTTGTGAGATGACAGAAATTGCAAAAAAATCAAGATAAATTCGTTAAAATATTATCCATAGTATAATAATACAATGATTAATATAAACTGTTACAAAAAATAAAAAAAATTGATTTAGAATAGATTATTTATTAAGTTTAATCAATATAAATTAATTTAGACAAAATAAACTAAAAATAACCAAAATTTAATTTGAGAAAGTTATTTTAATACATATCATAAAGTTATAAATTATATCAATTTATCAAAATATTTTGGCAAGTTGATTTTTGTGAAGATGAAAAATTTTCTCAGAAAAAATAAAAAATATCAGCTCTCAATTTTGAAAAAGAAATTACACGGGAAATAACCATTTATTAGAATAGAAGCTTAATTATTTTTATATTAAATACAATTGAAAGATCAGGAAGTTAACAAAAATCACTTTTCAGCTTTTGAGTGTCAAATTGATCTATTTTATTGGGTAAATTCGATCATTTAATTTGAATATGGAATAATAATCTATATATGTTCTAATTTTTCATCTTTGGACATTTCAACACAAAGTGATTGATTATCAAATGATTTAATATTCTACATAAACAGTCAGATTTTCTTCATGGCAATCATAACATGTCCTTTCAAAAATACGAATTCAGAACTATTCAATTTAAATCGATTGAACTTAAAATTATCGTTACAAACGTTTGATAAAAATATGTTTCATGCATTTACAATTTGTCCATATTAATTCACTAAGAAAAAAGCAATTATCTAAATCTTTTCAATTTTTCAAAGAACTATTCATTTTTCGTTTTTGAAATTTTATGATATCAATAATAATTCTTACGTTCATGTATACATGTAACTTCCAAATAAAAAAATTCATATTCTTCGGTTTTTTTTAAAAATTTCTAAAAAGCCTTTTATTTTTCACTAGAATCAAATGAATAACTTCGATATGGTACAAACTCTTGTTTCAACCAGGAAGATTCGGAAATTTACTTTAGTATCTGACCAGAATATGAGAGATCATGATGAAATCCAATTAAGATTAGAAAATAATGGGGTAAAAATAGATCTAGTAACAGAGATATTAGAAAATAAATATGGAGGTAGAGTTACGGTAGAATGTTTATTGACTTTGGCAAGACACATGTCAAAGAAAATCAACATCAGGATTGATAGACTTGCCAATAGAAATAGATCAGCAATGCTATGTTGGTATGCTGAAAATTGGAATGATATCTACCCTTATATTAGAGACTTTGTTCCCTACAAAAGAAATTCCAAACTCACAAAATATAAGGAAGAGATAAAGAATGAAAATCCAACAATTGACCCTTCAGATTTACATCAACTTCTGAATAGACATTGAATTTTCATTTAGAAATTCTTATATTTTCCAAAATGTATTTATAATATTACCTTTTAATTAAAGCTGTAAATGTATACTATTCAAGTCCCAAATCCAATATATAATTTTTCTTCCATATCAAAGCTTATTAATAATCTTCAATTTTTGATCAACATATAACACCTTATTGGTGAGATCAAACATTGAAACAAGTCTATAATATTGCAATAATACATATGCAAATGGAAATTTCTAAATTGCCATCTAGGGATGCCAATAATATTTGCAAAAAATCACCAAAGAGTCTCTTTCATATGCGCATCAATAAGTTCATTTATTTTTTTCAAATGAAAAGTGTTAGTTACAGGTTATCATCTTGAGGAAACAAGGTGCATAGACAAATGATTGAAATCATCTAACTCAGCAAGAAAAAAAAATTAAAAAAAAGTATGCTTTCAGTGAGACTCGGACTCACGACCTTAGGATTATGAGACCTACGCTCTACCTACTGAGCTATGAAAGCTTACATCCTTTCAATTTTATATAATTTTTTGTACAAAAATGAAGATATTTAGCTGAAAAATAACCTCAATACTCCGATACATTGAAAAATTGAAAAATTATTACAGACCACATTAACATTATTGAGATCCTACACTGATCTTTAATTGACTAATTTTTAAAATAACGCCAAAGCACGTTTGCAATTTTTAAATATTTTTACTATCTTCAAATATCGTTTTCCTTAAATATCTATATTTAGCTATTCAATAACAAAATTGAAAACACATTCAAAACTGTTCCGATACATATTATTTCCGATCTGTATTACAATTATACAGTATAATTTTAAAATTAAAATCTCCAAAAATTTGAAAGACTATTCAAAATAACTTCTTCTGATTTATGATAACGTTTACAATCCATTCAATTTCAATTTATATTAAATAATAATCTATTCTTAGTACATGAATAATTTTCTTTGTTCTCCAATTTTTTCCGATAAATAGAATTTTGAATTCAAATTTTACAATGACGAATTCTCGAAGTACACGTCTTCTTATTAAGGTAATATCAAATAAATACGGATCAAAGATGTGTACCGTTGACCCAAATCATTGCATCTCCACTCTAAAAGATAACGAATCAGAAGAACATGTATTTATTTTCAAAGGTCAAATGCTTGCAGATAATTTTACATTTAAACATTATAGAATATCTGATGGGGATATAATTTGCTCGCTTATTGGATATACAACTCCACTCAAACAACAAGAATTGCATTTTGAAAAATTAAGAATGCAAGATATGGCAATAAATAAGTTATATGGCAATCAAAATTTATATAAGAAGGTTTCAGCTGAATGGATTCGCATTTACGAGACTAAACTAGCACCAATTTCGCTTCATAAACAAGTGACACTAAAAGTCCCTGAAAGATTGAAGACTCCTTCAAACATTTCACTTCCTGCTTTTTGGAATAAATAACTATCATGTGTTTGTTTTATTAAATATGAAGATAAGAAATCCTGCAATAAGGATTCGATTTTTAAGAATATATCTTAATCATCATAGAAAAATATAACAAATGTGCGATTATTTAAATCTCATAAGTAAGCAATGTGATGCGAAATCAGAAATATGTTTATATTCGATAATTGCAACATATTGTTAAATTTTGTCAGTATATTCGCTGTGATACAATAAGAAAATTATTTTATGATTTTATTCAATCTGATTTTAAAAGATTACCTTTATGCCCTTGAATTTACGCTGGTATCACATAATATGAAGATATATACAGTTATTGAAATAATATTAACGCCAAAATTTTGGAAATAGTATCATTTATTCAATGTATTTAACGTTAGACTTAATCTCCTTTTCTTGAAGGTGATCCTTCCATTCTGGAAGTGCCTTTCCAAGAGCAATTGAAAGACCAAGGTCTTCCTTTGGAATGTTAAGTGCTTTTGCAGTGAATTCTGAAGCGGCTGGATTAGCTGGCATTAAAACAGGAAGAGTATTATAGCCAAGTGCTTCAGCAGCTGCAATAACGCTCATTCCGGCTTCTCCCATATTCATTTCTTTAGAATCAGCATGGAAGTTCTTTGTTTTATTGGAAACCAAGAAAACAACACATGTTGCATCGCACCATATTGTTTGCTTAACATGCAACTCTGCGATTCTATTATCTAAATAATGTTCGAATTCTGGAATGTTATGATGAAGCTGATCTGAAAGGTTCTGCAAAAGTTCTTTGTTTGTGCAAACAACAAAATCAACTTCTTGTCTTCCATAAGAACATGGATAATTTTGTGCGGCTGTCATGATTTTTTCGAGGTCCTCACGTGGGATATTGAAATTTGGATCAAACATTCTAACAGAGCGTCTCTTTAAAAGAACATCCATTGTTTATAAATGAAGTGATGTTATCAGAAAAAATTGAGATATCTGACAATTGTTCGGCCAATTGTTTTTTAGGCATTTTTCTATAATATTCTGCTATTACTACATTGTCAGATCGTGTTCTATTTAAAACGGATGAAAACGAAATTTCTTAATCGTTAATTTATTATTAACTATGCATTTTACTATCTGCTCATTTAAAATTTCATAACTATAAGCAAAAATTCTTCTAAGAAAACGGTTTATTGTCAATTTTCAAGTTTCTTTAGTCTCTAAAAATATCAAAATTCTTTTTACCAATCAATATTCAAGCAGTTTTGGTCAAACACAATATACTTTGATATGTAATAAATCAATAACATACAAATGATATATGATATTTTATATTTCTATTCAATATACACCAAATAACATAACTGTAATGGCATTGTTTTGATCTACAATAGCGTTATCTTGATCAATAATAGCATTATCCATATATTTTTGATATTATATTGATATTGATTTATCAAAATGAGCTTTTACTAATAAAACAATGAATACTGTTAACAATGAGTAAAAAATAAGACAATGAACAAACGAAATATTTATTAAAATTATATTAAAAACATAATTAATAATTTTAAAGAACCTCATCATCAGTTGCGTTTAAATGTTCGTCAGGCATATCAGTATCATCATTCTTGGACTTTTTGATCTTATTTATAATCAAAAATGCAAGAGAAGCAACAATTACAACAAAAACAATTGAACCAACAGAAGCACCAGCTATTATTATAGCCTTTTTATCTTTATCTGCCAATTTGTCAGGTTTCACGGTTGGTTTATCTTGATTTGTAGTATTTGTTGAGTTATCTGGAGTTTCAAAGCAGTAATCTGGTATAACAATAGGAGCATTAGTATATCCAACAGAATTATCAAATTTTTCGTTTTGATCGTAATTTTGAAGTGTAAATAATCCTCCTTCATATGAAAGAGTACCTAAAATAGTTGGGAATAACCAATCATCAGAAGCTTGTGTACTTTCTGTTGAAATTTCATATGAAATTCTTAGTTTCGAGTCCATATTTTCTGATTTTGTGGGAGTTGATTTAACAAATAATGATTTCCTAGTTGAGATGGTTCCAGAAGGGTTTGTGATAGCACCACTTTCTGTTGATTGATCATAATAAACAAATTCAGTATTTTTATCGTTGGAATAGTCAAATTTACGCATCTTACTGTGTGCAAATAATGCTACAGTTGAAAAAGAAGTTGAACTATTTTGATAATTCTGCAAATTTGCACTTCCTTCTGGTGACGTTGAGATTAATGCTTTTTGTGCTATTGTTTTATCGGATATATTGAATGCATATGAAAATGGGATTGTCATGATCTGTATATTGCACGCATCATTTGTTTGTTTGCAGGTTAATTTAGTGATTGGCATCAACATTTTAGATTTATCAGAAACATATACCGAGGAAAGCTTCAGTAAGACAAATAAAGGATTATTGACTGATTGAGTTGATTTTTGAATGGTTGTTGAATCCTTATAGTATGGAAACACAGAAGATGCAGCAATCGTACCATTACTGCTTATCATAATGTTACCGACAATACAAATGAATTCGTCGTTTTCAACAGTGAACGAATTTGTGAATCCATAGATTTCTGATGCGATAAAAATTGATTGATTAATAGTACAATTAGCAATGGAACCATTATAATTGAATGGCGATGTTAAATCCATGCTTTGAGATACTTGCAAGATAAAAAACAAAAATACCATAAATCTTTGTCACTTTTATTATCTAACTTTCTTGATCAACGTCTTGAAATGGAATAAGGCTATGCAGTTCTAAAAAAACAATTACACATAGTAACAATACACAAAACAGACAAGCAAGTCTTTATTGATTCAAATTCATGCTTTAAGGGTGCACCTGTATGTACGTTTATTTGAGAGGAGGAGGATTACCCTCTCAATTTTGAGGGATTCGTTAGTTTATTTTCTCGATGAATATGCAATAAAATTTGATTTTTACCTTATCAATATACTTCATATAATATACACATGTTCATGTTCATGTAAAAACTTTTTTCCAAAATCCTCAGGAATTAAGGGATTTTTGAATTTTAAGAATTTTTTCGAATTTTTTCGAAAAAAAAATATTTTCAGAACAGCCTTAACGGCTAAGATTTAGGAACAATGTTAAGTATCAAAAAGAAAGGAGGTCTGATATAGACAACATATATCGTTGAAGGTTGAAAAAATCTCTAATATTTGAGCCCAAAATTTCAAATTTTAATTTTTTGAAAAAAGAGGCCACCCGTATGTACGTTTATTTGAGAGGAGGAGGATTATATTTTTGAAAGGGTGAAACATTATGAATATGTTAATTATATAATAATATGTATTATTATAAAAAAAGAAAATAATGCACGTTAAAATTTTTCTTTCTTGATTTTTTACAAAATCTACTTAGAATTATGCAAAATATGACTAAATAATTATAAATTTCAAGTTAAATTTTAATTTTGATAAATAATTTAAATTTCAAAATATCAAGTTCAGTTCGACTATGTATGTAGTAATTCCTCAATAAAGTGCCAAAACCCTATTAAAATATATGAACATTTTCAACATTTTAATGTTTTTATTTAAAAATTTGTTGGAATATGAGCTTCAAACAATTATTATGTAAATAAAAATAATTAAATATATGTATTTATTCGTATTACAACCGGAGTAAGTCGATTCTTCCTTTCTTCTACTGAGTTTTGAATTTGATTTCGAATTGTAAAGAGATTCAAAGGGAAAATACTAGCGGATAAAAACTACCTCCATGAAAGGGTCATAATGGAGTCAAGTTGTATTTTTTGATATTTTTTGCTTTTCGAGCCTAAATAGGTAGCCAAGATAATGCCTAAAAATAAGGTTCTAAATTCTGAAGTTTACATGATCCTCTCGTGTGCACCCTTAAAGGAAATATTTATTTATCGACTTATTTCATTTTCGGAAATCAAACACAAAATGCAGAGGTTCACAATTAGAATCATTTATCATTAATTTATTGAAATTAATATTATATTGTATAAAATGTCTCTAAATTATAATATTCATATAAGGGCAGTACTTTATTTAAGTTCCCAATTATCCTGATATCTTCATTATTTATGAAGTTAGATATTTTTTATGAAATAATTTTTTTAATATTTCCTCCATCAAAGATAATTTTGATATACCAGCTGAATTAGTTGATAATAATAATTATAAATTTGATGGGTGTTTACAAATATTTTCTGAATAACATTTTTTCCTTATGAATATTAGTAAAAAGTTGATAGTCTGCTAGTATTCAACTTAAATATCGACATCAATGATTTTTTAAGGGTCCACTGTAAAAATTGAAAGTCTCTCAAAATTGAGAGGCAATTTGCAAATAATCGTTATCGTCTTTTTTCGAAAATCCACTTTTCCTAGTGTTCTGATTAATATTTTGTGAATGTAACAATAAAGTATATGTTTTAGTAAGATGATAATACATTCTATCACTTCAAATCACATAAAAATTGTAAAATCAGCGAGTTTTATAAGAACATGATTTTTTCGAATTTTTTCGCTTCTGGATGCGTGTTTTGAAAAATAGATATTTTCGAATTTTGATTTTAATTTAAGTATAAATTTTATATTAGGAATTTTTTTGACCTATTTCCAATCATTAATTCCTAAGTTTTTCTAGGAATTTAATTGAGAAGAAATTAGGAAATTCGCTTTAATGCCATTACATCCTAATATTGTGATGCATGTAGTTTATATTTATTGAGGCTAATGCCGGAATATCGTGCATTTTATAAAAAATTCAAAGAATTGACAATTGGATAGCACAAATTTAATTCTCTAGACAAAGTATTATTGTTTATATATTCAAAGCATTATCCTTCGTTTTGAAATGTTGGCCAAAAATTTTCGTGTTATTTTTTGTGTTTCAGCATAAATTATGTATTGACTTATGAAAGATAAGCATTTTATTCATTATCATAAAGATATACCAAAACAAATTGTTTAAAATTTTAAAAAATGTGTATTTTAGTGGGTATTATTCTGGCCAATGCCCATTTTTAAACGATTTAATATTGACCATATCAATAGCCAACTCAATGTAAAAATTTAGATATAATTTTTTTCATTATTCAAACTTTGATAAATTTTAGTATAATGAATGATTTTGTTTCGTGTATGATACAGAAATGAAAAGCTTGATTAATATCATTTTGCATTTTTTCAAGAATGTTAGAGTACATCTACATTAAAAAATCGGATTCGAATTGCGATACTGCATCAAATTGTTGCACATCTGATAAGGATCTCAAAAGAGTAAAGTCAATTTTTTTGTGTTTTTTTAAGTTTTGGGCCTTAGTAAAAACACCATCTTGAGCAATATTTTTGGGACGACGATAGGCCTTATTTGGCCTTATAGTGTCCCCTTAAAGATTTTAAAATATATCTAAATTTCATTTCTGAAAAATCATCGAATTTTGATTGAAAACTAATTAACCACTAACATAAATAATAATTATTAATACAATAGGTGGAGAATATCTTTCAGTTAAAAATAAAATTAACTGACACTTTTTTCTTAAAATTCGACCACAGTATTGCCCTTTTAACTTATACTTATTTATTCATTATGCCAGAGATTAAACAAAAATTGATCCCCATCATTCAATTGATAAAATGTTCTCAAAACATATATTTGTAAACATCATAATTTATAAAAAACATTCAAAATTCTGAGGCATTCAATATTTCTAGAATACTGATTAATATTAATATATTAATATTTTCTAAATTTTTTTGCTTGATATTTTCAATGGTAATCGATTCGTAAACAATTGAAAATTGAAAACTTATCTCACTAAAAATTTTTCATTATTTTTTTTGAATGTTTGCTTCAAGTGAGAGCCTATCAAAGAACAAGTTTTCTTATGCCGATGACCGCCGCTTAAAGAAATGGGTAAAGATACTTGAAAATAACTGGAAGGAGATTGCAGAAAAAATGCATAATAAGAATGCAAGACAATGCAAAGATCGATGGGAAAAATACTTATCTCCAAATGTTAAAAGTGAGCCTTTTAGCATTGATGAAGATATTGCAATTCTGAACAATTATCAAGTAATTGGTCCAAAATGGATTGAAATGTCAAAATTAATTCCAGGTAGATCTGATGTTAGCCTTAAGTCGAGATACAAATTATTACAAAGACACGGGAAAACCTTGGAAATGCTTTTAAAAGTTAAATCTAATATGATTAAAATAGAAAATGAAGAAAAATTAGAAACCCAAGATGCTTTACTCCAGCTTGATGAATTGTTTAATACAAGTGATCCATTATTGGAAGATTTCGAGTTTGATTTTTAATTATTAAAAAAGAACTGATTGTTACTTTATTAAATTCAATATGTTTTATTTTTCTATTTTGTTTTATAAACATTTCGAATTTAGGATTTAGAATTTATTTAGCTTATATGCTATGAACATGACCATTATTATATGTATAATATTATACAGCGTTTCGAGCCAATTAATTCAAGATTTTTAGGTATATTTTTTTTTATGATTTTTTTCGGCCAATCAACATACTTTCTAGAAATATTTTGCAAACATACATTGATAAATATGAAAAATCACTCAGTAAGAGCAAATATCAAACATACAAGATATTTTATTCATCAAACTTTATTCTTTATCTAAAAATACCATAAGACAAATCAACATGTTTTGGATAATGGGTCGGGGCAAAAAATCAACAGATAACCTTCTCAAAATTATAATTGTTCGAGAGGAGGTGTTCAATATTTTGATTAAAACCGTAAGAAAGTGGAAGTTCACTTTTTTTGAAGAGGTTAGTTTACAAAGGGAATTAACAAATAATTAGATAACTTGGGTGGTAACTTCTTCTAGAAGAATAAGATATATATTTATTTGCTTTCATTCAATTTCAACTTCATCAAAATTCCTGATTTCAAAAAAACATGATAAAATTAATATATAACATGCAACTATATGTGTTGTAAACAGAAATTCATCAAAAGTGACACCTCAGAAAAGCTAAAATATTGAATTTTTGGAACTTTTGATAGAGCACGTTTTTAAATATTAATTAAAGTAAATGTATATTTTGTAAAGATTCTTTTTAATAAAAAATAAAATTTTGAAGAAGAACACAAAATCTTCTGAAAAATAATATCACATAAACTCATATTATTTTCTAATATATAACTATTTTATATAAAAATCAAATTCAATGATCTTAAAAGCGAAGGATAAACCTCAAAATTTACGAATATAATGAGTGGGAATATAATGCTTATCTATCATAAAACCATATGAAATATCAATTTTTGCTTTACGCCTAATTTTTGACGACAATTAGCAAAAATGTTAAATTTTAACACTCAGTCCATTTGAATATGAAAAATAAAATTGACTTTGATTAAATGTTTTTATTTATCATGCAATTCTTCTTGCGACCAAAGATTTGAATAAAATTTCAAAAAATAAGATAGCTTAAAAAATAATATACGGTAGTGTTTACTAATAGATGAATAGTATATAAATTCTATTAAAATGGATTTGATCCAAAAAAATATATAAAATTTGATCATAAATAAAATCGTTTTAAATTCCTTCTTCATTTAAATTATAACAATTATTTTTGATTTTTATTTATCATCCACATTCAAATTTGAATCTTATCACAAAAGAAGGACCACTTTTATGACTACTGCCAAATCTATAAGCAGAGAATGGCTATTTGAAGCTAAAAGAAGAATAGAAGAAGGTGAATCTTACAAAAGTGTGGGAAAGGAAGTTGAATTGGAAAATGGTAAAATTAAATTGAATGTTGCCGAAAATACAATAAGAAGAGCATTTCAACTTCAAGAAATCGAATTACCAAAAGTTAGTCGCGGCAGAAAACCAAATCCACCAACATTTGAGCAAAAACAATTAATTAATTCTTGTGTTTCACAATATAAAGGAGGAATTTCAAAAACTTATTTATTGATTAAAAGGTTTCAAAATATTGCTCAAAATCCCGATTGTGAGAAAGAAAAAGAAGAAATTGCAAAAGAATTTGAAAATATAGAAGATTTGACAAAAGATCAAATTTTTGACAATTTACAAAAAATAAAGCATCATCAAGTGGAAAAATTTATGATGGAATCAGGTTTATCTTCAAAAAAACCACTACCAAATATCGTGCCATATCAAAGAATTTGATATGGCACTGCGATATTCATTACCTTCATGGTAATGTTTCTTTTCCATTTTTTGCCATCTCGTAAACGAAAAAGAGGATTTGACGCAGTCAAATCCTCTCTCTCAAAAAGTGGACTTTACATGGCAAATTTCAAATGCATGTAAGGTCCACTTTGATCAGTTTCAGGATGGAATTGGAGGCCATGAGGTACTGACATTGCATCAGTATCTCATAGCCTCCAATCCCTTCAAAAAATGGGAGAAACTTTGGTCGAATAATTTAACATTCGGCCAAAGTTTCTCCCATAATTAATGAGAATGAAAGGGTAAGAGGCATATAGGGTCACTATATACCTCTTACCCTTTCATTTTCATTTGGAGGTCAACAAACCCGGAGTTAATTGCAAACAATTAACTCCAAATTTGTTTATGTTAAGGAAGGAATTGGAGGGTAAGAGGTACATAGTATGAATATGTACCTCTTACCCTGCAATTCCTTCTAGAAAGTTCCAAAACTTTGGGTTAATAGTTTGCAATTAACCCAAAGTTTTGGAACTTTCAAGTGGAGATGGAAGGCTTTGGGGTATACATTAATATAATATACCTCAAAGCCTTCCATCTCCACTACAAATGTGAGAAACTTTGTCCGAATAGTTTAACATTCGGACAAAGTTTCTCCCATCTTTCAATGTAATTGCTACCCGTGAGGTACTGACTTGAAGTCAGTGCTTCACAGGTAGCAATATCCAAAAATTTAAAAACATTTTATCAGTTCGTTAGAGAACTAGAGCCTCCTAGGTACTGAACCAGAATCAGTGCCTAGGGGACTCTAGTGATCTATATAAATCTGAGAAACTTTGAGGAAATTGTTCGACATTTCCTCAAAGTTTCTCAGCAATTTAGCGAGGAATGTTCGTTATCGTGTAGATATTTATAATATATACATGATAACAAACATTCCCCGCTAAAAGATGTAAAATCTTATAAGAAATAATTGCAAAAGAATAACAAATTGCAACAAATTTTATATGAAACTGAACCTTATGAGGTAGTGATTCAAGATCACCGCCTCATAAGATTCAGTTTCAATCTCAAGTATCTCAAAAGTAAGGCTTTATTTTTTGCCATGTAAAGTGTCACTTTTCCTGTCAAACCGCTTTTATCGTTTTCGTTTACAACATCCTAACGAATTATTCGAAGTTTCAAAATTTTGGTACGAGCCAGAATGCAAAAATGGGAGTTATATATCAAAGACGAATGAGTCTTAGCAAAATTTGAATAATTACATCATTTTAAATGACTACTAAACAATTTTATTTATGATCAAATTTTATATATTTTTTTGGATCAAATCCATTTTAATAGAATTTATATACTATTCATCTATTAGTAAACACTACCGTATATTATTTTTTAAGCTATCTTATTTTTTGAACTTTTAGTCAAAGCTTTGGTCGCAAGAAGAATTGCATGATAAATAAAAACATTTAATCAAAGTCAATTTTATTTTTCATATTCAAATGGACTGAGTGTTAAAATTTAACATTTTTTGCTAATTGTCGTCAAAAATTAGGCGTAAAGCAAAAATTGATATTTCATATGGTTTTATGATAGATAAGCATTATATTCCCACTCATTATATTCGTAAATTTTGAGGTTTATCCTTCGCTTTTAAGATCATTGAATTTGATTTTTATATAAAATAGTTATATATTAGAAAATAATATGAGTTTATGTGATATTATTTTTCAGAAGATTTCATTCTATATGCCTATGAAAAGCACTCTCAAAACTAACTTTTTCCTAATTATAATTAAATCTAGAATATTGTATTATGCTTAGTATTATTTCATTTTTCTCATTCAATTTAGAATTTACAAATGTCAAAAAATTGAGAACTGTCACTTTTGATGAATTTCTGTTTATTACAATATGCAGTATGGAATTATTTAGATAAGTAATTTGTTCACAAATATTTGTTTATCACATAATCAATTTAATCAAACGATCCTAATATAAAATTTATAAATACTCACCTATGACAATAATTTTAGCCATACAATATTCAGCAATTTTAATTATTATTTTTATATTTTTTTTAACTTTCTTTATTTTAGTAGGGCACACACTCAGTATTAATCAGTAGGTCACTAAATTTTTTTCACATAAGTAATGCCTCTGTTTCATTTGTATAATTTTTATCACTTATCGGCAAAACTATGCTTTCATATATTAAACAAACGAAAGTGACAAATTTTGATGAAAATATCATCTTTAGATTAAATAATTATTGAATATTTTCTGATCTTTCGCAATTCAAAAATTCCTAGCAGAGAACATTAAAAGATCAAACTAAGTGCTTATCACAATGTATTGGTATGAAGAAAAAGTCTTATCTTCCAACGAAATATATTGGGATTAAATTTTTGAACAGCTGACTCTTTTATTATACTTTCTTCATTTACACCTGCATCAGCAACCACTAAATAGTGTTGCTATCCATAATAACAACAAATTATATGCTATTATTTTTGAAAAATTTTAAAATTTGCGTTAATAACACTGCAGTGCGTGATCACCAGCATTGCCATTGAACATAAAAGCTTTTAGACTAGATAATATTTTAATTGTTGAGATAAGCTATTTGTTCAAATGCACACTAATTTTTAATTCAAATTTTCATAAACTTTGACAACAGATATGTATGAATACCACTATATCAAAATACACATTAAAACGAATTTTTAATTCAAAGAAATTAAATGTTATATCAATTGACAATTACAGGAATTATTATGCAGATTATTATTTTCGATTTTTGGGAATTAATACGATAGGAAAAAATTATAGAATTGAGAGAAATGAATTTGCAATCGACCGAAAAACTTTCGGTTTTGTCAAATTATAATGCCTTCTTTAGAGTATCAGGGTTTCTTTCCAATAGAGTCTGATATCTCTATGCTGGACCTAATAATTGCCAAAATTAAAATTGTTGATTTCCATGATCCTCCAATGTATTTTATTTTTATATTCCACATCATGTCGCTTTTTATTTTAATTAGAACAAGAAACAACATCTACATCTCATCGTTATACTTTGGGTTTATTGTATTATGTATATTTGGAACACCAAAAATTAACACTTTTATGATGGCCAACTTCTCAAGCTTTTACTTCTCGACTCCATATTTTGACGAAACGTACATCTTCATTTTCGTTTTCTGGACAGTTCCTATGATTTTTAACTGCTTTTTACTTCTATTCTTGATATTTTTCGATATTTGCAAGCAATCTATCGAAAAACTATTTTAATCATATTATTTGTATTTAATAAATTGTTATTGTTTGTTTATATATCCATTTATTTCTATAAGGCCACAAATTTACCGAAAACATACCTCACTTTCAGCATAATAAAGAATAGATTTTTAGTAAATACACTATATTTTCCAATAGTTACTTGAATAACTCGATTTTGAAAATAATAATTTTTTTGCCCTACCTTTCCTTTCGAACCATTATCAACGTCGTGTTTAAGTTACTATTTTTCATAGTTTTCTATAGTAATACATATAACTTTTTATGGATATTATTTTTTACCTTTGCCTAGGAGAGTATTAGTAAAAAAATCAGCTTATTACTAGTAAAACACGAAATATTTACAAGACAGAGTAGTTTAACTGCAATATTGAACAAAATTAATCCTCAAGATTGACAAAATCAGCATATCTTTCATCTTTACTTAATGCAGTATTAATTGTATCAAACAGTCCTTTTGCCATTTCTCTGTCTTCATTTGTTAACGGATCTAAAACGTTGATCATTTCCATTATAACTTCAACTCTCGAATCTTCTTTGAAGCAATTTTGCTCCTTGTCATACTGAGATTGAAAGAGTAAGTCAGCAACTTTATAACCTAAGCATCCTTTGACGTTATATTTATTTGCTATTTCTTTCATTGATTCATAACAAGAATATTGAATTGTAGGTAATACAGGAGAATTCTTCATTACTATAACTACATTTTTCATGATTTCAGGAAGAGGGATTGATTCTTTGGATAAAATCTCGTTCGTGTTGTTTTGAATCACTGTGGCATCTTCGATCTTTCCTTCTTTAAAGGCTTTAGCTAAAGTTAAGCTTGTTTCTTCATCAAATAAATAATTAAAACTCATTGTTTTGTCACTTTTATATAAAAATCATTTATGTCAGATAATCCGTTGCTCAAGCCTGAGAAATCGATTAAGTTAGGAAACGACTACACAGCAGGTAAAGTCACAGATCCATCAATTGTTACTGAATCAGTTGAAAAAATCTTAAAAAACGGATTACTTGAATATCACTATTTAATGAGAAATTTAACTCTCCTTTACTATTATGCTCCATATAAAATCGACTTAAAAGCTGCAATCTTAAAAGCTATGATTGACGTTGCAAAGAAATCAGATTATCAAGGAAGCATCAATTTTCAGATAGTTAGACTAATATTCGATTCACAATTCTCACTAAGCTTGATGTGCCTCAAGGAAAATTCTCATAAAGAAGTTATTGACCAAATGGTATTATTTATGGGTGAACTATCTTCAGAACAAGATAAAAAGAATTGCCAAGCTCTGCGAATTGTAATACAAAAAGCTCTCAAGGATAATTCAGATTATTCTTTCGTTTTTTAATTCCGTTTAGAAATGAAGATTAGATCACAAGGCTTTGCATGAAGATCTTTATCAGAAAATTCTTCTTTCTTACTTTTATTATGTTTCTTAAACTTTATTTTTCTATATTTTTTTTTCTTTTAATATAATAAATCTATAAAAGTAAATAGCTACTTTTGGATTTAATGAACAAATGTTTGATTTTTATGGCAATATATTGTTTATAAAATATTTTTCATTTCATTGTTCAAAGTAACCATATTTTTGGAGAAGAAATTTATATTTAGCTCATGGTGTTGTTGTATTGTACATTAAATAACAGCACAAAACCATCAAAATCTTATACGTTTATTAAAAAAGATCCGATGTCCAAAAACATGTTCTTTAGCCAGAATATACCAGTAAATACAAGAGTAAACACAATGCAATATGACAAAAGTCCAAAGCCTCAATATAACATGAATGTTTCTTGCCAACAGTACTCGAAAGTTAATACGATTCATCCAAAGTTTTATTCCACAGCTTCTTACGGAGTACAACATCCAGAATCACCGTTTTTACAGAAGATTATGAATTTCTTTGATTAATCAATTCTGTAATCGATATTTTGTTTTGTAAATAAAGATACTTTATGTTATAATATTATAAATTTATCACTTTTACAGAGTTTAAATTGCTATTATATAACAATATATAGCAAGAACCCAGTATTCAAGTTCTGTTTATAATTTTCAGAAATATTCTTTGATTCAACAATCATTTTACAATATATTGTTTAAAATATGAGAAAACCACCACATATTGTATCTACATATCTAATAAAAAATGAAAATTTTATTTCGAGAAAGCAGATATGATTTATTCAGCAATCTTGATTTTTGTATTCATATATAAGTGAAATAAGAATAGGCAATCTTGAAATAATCCTTATTTTGAATATAATCTTCCCATTGAAAGTCTTTAAAGAATTCATGGATGGCACTAATACAAGTTTCTTTTTCATTAATGTGAAGAGATTCTTCTGTGGAATTGAGAGATATTCCTTTTAGTTCAATTTTATTAATTTGATTCTTGTAATACTTATTGGCCAGGAAGTTAAACCATATATCTTCACATTTTCCTTCAAGCTGATTCAAAAGCGTTTTTGGGGCAATTTTACTCATTGAATTATATAATTGAAGAAATTTATAGTTCACCAGGGCGAATTTTGTGCTAATGGCATTATACCCATCTTGTGGATCAATTTCATATTTATTGTTACTAATTTTTCTTACAAAAGGTGTAAATATTTGAGGGAATTGATCTTTGTGAAAATCCAATTTGATTATCATTCTTTCTAAAACATTGTTAAATGATTGACCATTTATGATTACATCATCGTCAATCAATAATATCAAATGATTTGTTAAATTAGGAGGAAAATGATAAAAATTTAATATATTTCTTTGATTTGTGTCAATTCTCTTCAATGGGTATATGGAACTCATGTAATTTATAAACCCAATTTCTTGATCAGCAAAAATATAAATGGAATTGAAAAAAGTTACTCTCTTCAAATCAATTTCAGTTAAAACGCTAATTAACTTTCGTGGATCGTTGGACTTGGCATTTATAAAGATACTTGCCTTCAATTTATTGGTTGGATTGATTCCTTCTTGGAGGTAACAGGGGTTTTTAGTAATGCTCTGCTTGGGCTGAAAGAAGAGATTTGATTTAGATTGAATGAATGCAAACATACAGGTTAACATCTTGTAATATCACCGAATTTAGTTTATTGACGAGATATATCTCAAAAAATTATTTCAATTGATTTCACAAAACTTAATCCCCATTATATTTACCAAAAACATATATAGAATGAATTAAAATAATTTTATAAATTCTATACCAAGGTTCACTATTCAAAATTCAAAATATTCAATTTTTATTAAATAACCTTGTAAAATTTTTTTCACGCTAATAATCGTGATCGCATATTTTTAAATTATGATTATCAAATAATTGTTGAAACTCATTCAATTTTTCAAATTAATTTTAGCACCTTTCGTTAGAGTATCATTGAGAGCACACAATTATAGGCCTGATTTACGTTTCTTGTATAAATGTCATTCCTATGAAAAATTTGCATTCATTGCTAGATTTGTCATTCAAATTCAATACCCCTTATAAATCAAAGAGAAATCGCTATCTTTGAATTTCCGTATTAGAAATTGATAAAAATTAAAACGAAAATTGGTAAATGATTAAAATTATCAAGTCTTTTTCATTAATTAAAATAATAAGATTACTTTGAAGAAAAAATTTTGCATATTTTGTATTGATATTTTTATTGTATCACTTGATCTAATGAATGATACATTTTGGAAATGGCTTTCATTTGTAGAAATCTAATTTTTATTTCAGCGGATAAAATAATTTTTCAAATTAATTTCGATCCAAATTTGATAATATTACGGTAAACATTTCATATACAAGTCAAATGAAAGGAGGCTATTACATTACTCATTTGAAATTACAAGTCATTTATATTTTATATCAGTTTTCAAATGATTTTCGCATGAAGAAAAATAATCATTACAGGTGTGAAGTAACAAATTTACCTAATTTTTAGTGATTTAATATCTGTTCATCATCTGTAGTTCTTTGAATTTACATGAATCTATTATAATTTGCATGCTGAAAAAGCTTATTTTCAATAATCGAATTGTTTGATTTGAAAATACAGACATTTCGATTATAATACTTCATTCATTGATATTTAATTATTACGAATATTTATATAAAACAGAAAAATTAAATAAGAAAAATAATATTTTATCAAAAAAACAAAATAATATATAATGATTTCATTGGGGATTTGTTTTAAGAAGCTCTTTAATTCTGTCAGATGTCATGATATAAAGTGGTCCGTCCCAATTAAAGTGTCTCATTGTAGATCCAGCATTTACAAGCAATTCTACGATTTCAAAGTTGTTGTTTATTACTGCAGCGACCATTGGATCCAAGTTTCTGTTGTATCCATTTATTTTTGCACCTTTTTCAATTAAATATTTCGCAATTTCGTTGAAATTATTCCTAATCGCGGAATACAAAGGAGTTTCATTGATTTCAATAACATCTTCACCATAATCAATAGGAGCATTTCTTTTTTCGATCAAAGATTTCACAAATTCAAACAATCCTCTTCCAGAACAGAAAGTTAACACGCAAAACAAGTCATAATCAATGAAATTAATGTTTTCTAGTAGCATATTAAACAAATAAAATGTTTCATTCTTTGCTGTTTCCAACAAATATTCTTTTGTCAAAAATTTTCCTTTTTCAACATTTTGAATGAATTTTGTTGCGAAAATTAAATTATTCTTTTGAAGAACGAAGAACAACAATTCGTCATATATATCATTATAGACGAATTTCGGGGAGTTCATGATCATCAAAGCATTTTCATCATCATAACCATAAATAGCAGTTTTCAAAGGAAAATGTTCAACAAAAATATTTGGATCTGCACCATTTTGTATGAGTAACTCAACCATTTCATAATTATGAAGCATTACGGCACATGAAAGAGGTGTTTCAGGCATCTCTTGACCTGTTAAATTGATATTAACACCTTTAGAAATCAACAATTTCATGAATTCAACATTTCCTTTTTTCGCAGCAAAATTTGCCAAATTTCCAATTTTTAGATTAACATTTGGATCATAACCATTAGATATAAAGAGCTTAACAAGCTTAACACTATTAGTGTTCACAATCTTTCTGAATATTTTCGCATTACTTTCTGCATCAGAATTATCTTTGAAATTTTCAAGAATAAATTTATTTTCAATAAAAAAATCCTTCGAAATATAGTACTTCAAAACTTTTGCTCTATCAACATAATGTGTCATTCCATTGTTCACTAAGTATCTTAACAATCCGAAGTATCCATAATCAACGGCGTTTTCGTAAAATGGTGTTTTTGTCAAACCGTTTTGTAAACAAAAATAAAAAGCTTTAATATTGAAATATTGCAAGCACAAATTTGCATCTATTTCTTCACATTTGTATTTCATGAGTAGATAGTCTGATATATCATTATGATGTGTTGCAATACTGTATTCAAGACAGTTATCAAATTTTATCTTATTCGCTTCGAGGTTTTCAATTAATTCAAGGTTCCCACCGAATACTGCGTATGGTGCATGCGTAGAGTTGATGTCGAAACCATTTAGAATCATGTATTGGACACAATTTGTGAATCCTAAGACTAAACAGAGTTTAATGAGTCTTCCTTTGGTATCGTATGATATTATAGAGTAAGTATCTCGCTTTATTATGTTTTGAAGTTGTTGGATGTTGTCGTTAGGGAGATCTCGAAGTAAAGTTCTGTCTAAGTTGTTTAGTTCGTAAAGAGTGTTGTACACGTTGTCAAATTTGATGTTGTAATCTTTTGATAGTATTTTGATCAGCTGCTCGTATCTGTCGTCCATGAACAAGTTTTTGAAGTAACTTACGTAGTTAAAAACAACAGATATCGTTGTTTCATCTTCTTTCATTATCTGTGAGAGTGAATTTATCGTTGCTTCTAAGTTTTCGATGCTCAAATTCTTAAGTAAATCTTCAATTTTTGCGTAAACTTGAAGTTCTTGAGGCAAATCGATATTATTTATGGTTGATACGGAAAGATTATCAGGTAATGATCTTGTAAATGTAAGTCTTTTTCCTTTCGTATAATTTACGTACCCAGGAGCCCAGTTACTCATTAAATTTTTGTAAACCTTTCATTTTAATAATATTATCATATACATAAAATAATCTATAATTTAATCAATAAATTTATTTGTGAGTAAAAAATTGTCATTTTTTTTCTTGATTCATATTTCGGAAATAGCTAAGTACTGGCATTAAGTTGCCAGCTTAAAGATTAACCAATATGCTATCAATCGTAATGAGTCGTTATATCAATCATTATTTTCATATCAAACAAAAAAAATTTTCAGATTCATTTGTTAAATTTCTACGTTATCCATCCTATTTCACATATCTTTGATTCCAAACAAAATCATCAAACAATCTCACATTATTTTATTAAAAACTGAAGGATGACGAACAAATGGTATCTGGACAAAAATACAACTAGTTCATATCTTGTAAGAAACGAAGATTATGATATCATTGATACACGAAACGGCCTTCATTTACAAATTGATATTGACGGTGATCGAGGTGGTCATACTTTGTATCCAGCAAATTCTTTTACTTATCAAGATATTCAAGTTACACTTTCTGCAGAAAAAATTCCAAATTCAGATTACATTAACATACATCATACTGTTTCAAACAAAGGAACTCAAACGCATATAATAAATCTTCTGGTGAATTCTAATATAAAAATAAACGGAACAGAAAAATGTAATCAACATAACATTGAAGGATCTAAAGGAGTTGAATTTCAAGCAAATCCATATGTTAGATTTATTCTTAGGAACTCTTCTAATGTTACAAATGTTGACACTTACTCATATCATCAATGTGGTTCATTTGGACCCCGAAATAGTTGTACTGATTGGATTGATAGAAATGCAAATGCTAGGATTTATTTTTCATGGCAAAATCAAATAATTCAACCAAATGCTCCTCAAAAAACATTTTCATATAGTATTGGAACAGGTGAATATCCCAAACGAAAAGTCATATGTAATACTCAAATTGAATCACGCTATGATACTTCAAGTGTAATAGCTCTTTCTATTTCAGTTGAATCAATAGATCCAGGCCAATTATTTTCCATTTCCAGACAAATTTTTGATAGTTTGAATAAACCTCTTAGAGATAAAGAAGAAATTTCAAATCAAAATGATGATGGCACCAAATTTACACATGATGACATAGTCACTCTTCCTAATAAACCTGGTAATTATATAATCAGATACACAGTGAAAGATCCATATGGAGAAGAAACAACAGATGTCCCTATCTTTGTGAAGTTAATTCCAACAATTGAATTTATTTCTGCAATAAATTATACCCAGAAACCAAATTCGAGTTTTTCTTTCAAAGTCGAAATAACAACTGATATATCATTTAATTTCTCCGTTATTGATGATAAAAACTCAGAAGTATTTCATCGTAGTCAATCAATAAATGTTAAAGAAACAAAGGAAATTACAGTTGAATTTAATTTAGCTGGGTATTCAGAAGGACCACATCCATTCCGTCTTTTGGTAACTGATGATATGGGATACACAAATGAAACTACATTCTCAATTTCTATCAGCAAAGTTCCGACACTTATATTAAATACTGATTTTAAAAAATTCTACATGCCCAATGAAGAAGTTGATTTCTCAGTAACCATGAATGATGACACGAACGCTACTTTGTGTGTTAAAAGCGAAGTTAATTCCTATTATTTTTTCAAGAATTATTTTTTGAATAATGAAGAAAAAACTATTAATAATAAGTTTCAAATTAAGGACTATGAAGTTGGAAGCAATCATACTTTCTCTATTTATTTAGTTGATGAGTTCGAATTGATCAGTGAAATTTATAACCACAGTTTTACTGTGATTGATGGCAGTCCAATGATTAAACTATCAGATGTTATGCATCCTATTTCAATTGAATCACGAAACATGAAGATATCAGCATTCTATTACATTTGGCCAGGTTCATCCAAAGCAACATTTGTTAGTACAATCAACAAACTCACAAACATCACACTCCAACAAGTTGAAGATTTTACAGTTGAACAATGGAATCCAATTGAGCTTAGTGTTAGTGATACATACTTAGAAAGAAATACTAACAACAATATTTCATTCTATGCTATTGATTCACTTTCACGCATTTCCAACACTGTTGTATATACATTTGTCTTTGGAAATATAAAATGCGACTATACAAACTTTTATCGCATGTCTAGCTTTGCAGCTATTGCTGCTATGCAATCAGGAAAGAGGTAAATAAATATATTTAAAAGCGCTTTTTTTAAAAAAAATTAATCTCTTTAAATTAACAGCCTATTCTATGCCTTTGATTTTGTTTTACACTTTCAAATACAATAATTCACATCTTTCTTGATGATACTTTTTTTCTTCAGATTGTGGTTTTATTATGATTTCTAAATTTTTAGATTTTTAAATCATCTAATACATCACGGATTTTTCGTTTTTTTTTTAATTTCTTCCGGAGTAAAGCATGGCTACGGAAGAAAAACTGATCACTCTGCTTACAACTGTGTAATCATATTTGAAATCTTCGAGAAAAATTGAAGAATTTAATGTATTGGAAACGTTCAAAAGTGAGTTTATGACAGAGATGGAGATATTATTCATAGTATTTCTATAAAGATATTTAAAACTAACGCTAAGAATAATTGGATTCCATTGATCAAATATAAAATCTTCAAATTGTTGGAGGGAGATGTTTGTAAATTCGTTGATTGTACTAACAAATGTTGCTTTGGATGAACCTGGCCAAATGTAATAGTATGCTGAGATCTTCATGTTTCTTGTTTCAACTGAAATAGGATGCATAACATCTGAAAATTTGATCATTGGACTTCCGTCTCCAACTGTGTAACTGTAGTTATAAATTTCACTGATCAATTCGAACTCATCAATTGCATAAATAGATATGGAATGATTGCTGCCTACATCATAGCCAGGAATATGAAATTGGTCATTTATGATCTTCTCATCATTATTAACTTCGTAAAATTTATTGAAAACTTGGATTGAATCATGTTTGATTGTTATATTACAAAATGAATCATCATATAATTTTGCATTGAAAATTATGTCCGAATCCGGAAGATAGAATTGATTTATTGTTGAAATCATTTTCAAAATCGGAGAATTATTAATCAATATACTTATATTTTCAATTTCACTTCGAAATCCAAACTCATCTTCAGCAAACACAGAAAAGTTTTTCTTGCCAACTGAATACTTTGATAAATTAAATTCAACTCGAACATTCTGTTCTTCTCCATCACATTTAATCGAATCAGTTTGAAATGCAATTTTGTTTTCATTATCAACTACTTTTAAATAACATGATCTATCATCTGTTATATTAACTTCAAAACTAATATTTGAATTTGATGTGTAGTAATAATCAACATCAGAAATAATTTTTATTATTGGAACTCTAGTTATAGTGAATGAAATATACTCAATTTCACTTTTATATCCAAATTCGTCAATTGCATAAATTGAAAAGTTTTTCTTTCCGATCGTATAATTAGTAAGGCTAATATCAAATGGAATACTCATTTCTTGTTGTTTGCACTGGATTTTATCTGTTTGAAACAATTCTATAACAACAAACTTACAAAGTCCTCAAGGACGATATTGTAAACTAACCTTAAACACAATGACGACTAAAGCCTGTTTTGCTCTTTTGACACCAGAAGACTTTATTGTTGTGAATGGTAAAAAATACTCCTTTGAAGATACTTACTCAGATATACCACCAACAGGTTTTGTTGACTTATTTAATACTTTAAGTACGGGTGTAACATGTGCTGCAACTAGAGCAGGTTTCATTATGTTTGGATGTCCGACTGAGTTTACTATAAACGATATGAGCTATAATACAAAACTTATTTCTGGTTTTTACTACCAACAGTTTCCTATAACAGGAAAAGGTGTCATACAAGGAATGTCTATTCCATTGACATTAAGCACACCAATCTTATATATTGTTTCAAACTTAGGTTCAAAGTGTTATTCGAATGTCGACAGAAACTATTATGACCAAAAGATACTTATGCGTATAAACAATACTTTCTCTGCTGGTTTGCCTATTGTTCATTCGAATGCAGAATTTTCAACCTTAGTGAACTCAAACACTTTGGCAAGTATAACGTTGACATTAGTTGACGCAAACTTTGTTCCTGTAAAACTTTTATGTCCTATGTATTTGTCAATGACGGCAGAAAGTTTCGAATTGGAAGATGCAACTGGTGAAAGTATTGTATTACAAGAACAACTTCAACAACAAATAGCTCAAGAACAACAAATGCAACAAATGGAACAACAAAGTCAAGAATAAAAAAATAATATTTTTTTTATTTTTATAAAAATGTACAGAATAGATGTTTCAGATTTTTATGACTTCCAAGCATTCAGAAATATGTGTCCATTTAGAGACTATAACAAAGCAGTCGAGAATTTGAAACGTTTAGTCATTTATGTTGACTCTGCCCCAGAATGTTATGTCATGAAAGAATGGGATGTTGTCTTTAACAAACCAAGAGCAACAATAGTGTCTGAACAAGAATGTAGACAGAAACTTAAGAAAATAAAAGTTGTACAAGTTGGAATGAAGATGTTAGATGCTTGGGATATCTTATTGTCAAAGTTAGAAGATTTTTCAGTTCGAGGTATAAAGTTCTATACACCTTCTCCAAACTTCTATTCTATCTTCACTGGATATAAATACGAACAAGTAGAATGGAAAGAAAATGTTATAGAAGCTTGGTTAGACCATGTCAAAGAAATTATATGCAATGGAAACGAAAAGGTTTATGAGTATATCTTATGTTGGTTTGCAAACATCTTACAACATCCAAGTGCTAAAAATGAAACTGCTCTCATTATAATTGGAAAACAAGGAACTGGTAAGAATACTTTCTTTACAGATATTTTGTGCAAACTGTTAGAAGGTTATTCGAATCCGAATATGACAAACTTAGAAAACATCTGTGGCAAGTTTAACTCCTCAATAGAGAATATGAAACTTATAGTTTGCAATGAACTTCAAAGTATAGATACAACAAAAGTTTTGAACTCAGATGCTTTGAAGAGTCTTATAACAGACAAAGTTGGAGTTGTTGAAAGAAAGTATAAAGACCAAAGAGTTTGTGAAAATGTTGCAAACTTCATTATGGTTTCAAACAATGCTGTTCCGATGAAGTTAGAAAGTTCTGACAGAAGATATGTAGTTGTCAGAACGTCAGATTCTCATATGCAAGATACAGAATATTTTGACGACTTAGCAGAAACTTTGACATCTGACTTTTACAACCACTTGTTCTCATATTTCATGACATTAGATATTTCTAAGTTCAATCCAAGACAAATTCCACATACCGAAGAGAGACAAACATTATTAGAAGCAAATAAGAGTGAGTTAGTATCCCTATCTTGGGTACGGCGGCACTGCGTTCCACCTTACCCAAGATAACGGTTTGACACTTTACAAAACCACTGACGTATATTTTACAACACAAACGACAACACTAACTTAACCTTAAATATTTACAAAACCGCCAGCCACTTCACCTCACTAACATTTTCGCTAACGACTTCACTAATGAAAAAATAAACGTTCTCACTAACGTTCCCACTAATGTTCTCATTTACAAAAGTATTGCAGCGCTTCCCATTGCTGTGCTTCGTTCGCATTAGTCCTCATAATTTGAAAGACATGCAATTCAGACTTGTTGACATTCAAGGAGAGCCTGTAGAACTGAAGGCACCAGTGCGAATGACTGTTGAAGTTGACTTTTTAGAAAATATTAAATGCAACAGCTTACAAGAGAACTCAGAGCTAAAAATATAAAGTATGAATGTTATGTATTAGGTCATGAACTTTGGTTGTTGCTGTTTGATGAAACAAATGAGTTAGTTATGTCAGTCAAGAGAACAGAAAAATATTGTGTTAGTGAAAACTGCACCAAGTCAATAAGATTAGGTTTGCATTATGAAGATGAGTTCGATACTGTTGAAGAAGTTTTGGATAGATATTACAAATTGCTAACTTGAAATTTTTTGACTGACGGCGCAAAGCGCCAAGACCGAAGGTCCTGACTGCTTTAATTTACTAAAACATATTTCAAGCAAAGTTTATAGTCAGTAGATAGTTTTGTATACTCGTTCGAATATTTATACTTAAACTCAACTCCTGTAGTTCCTGGTGTTTCAATGATGCGGATGTTACCTATTTTCATGAATAGTGGAGTTTGACCACAGCATTCGATTTCAGGGTCGAGATAGTCAATGACACATTGTTTCCCTGTTATTCGTGAGATAACATTTTCAAGGTCCTCCTTTGTTAGAATTATTTGGTTCTTACTTATAAGATTTGTCAAAAGCTTCTTATCGTCTTTGAGTAAAATTGTTTGGTATAACTGAAGAAGGTAATGGTCTACGTTATCTGAAGGGTTTGTTTGAACATTTGTGTAAGGGTTGTCGTTGGCTTCTCTTGAAAGAACTTGGTCCAGTGGTGGATACTCTAACTTAACATCTGATGTAGCGTTAGCGTTTGAAGCTGTGTTTAAATTCACCGACTTAAGATCTGGTTCTTTTTCTTTCAAACACTCCGAACTATAGTTCTTTATGACAATATTGTTTGTCGTTCGTGAGTCAACATTTGATGTTGGTTCAATTGGAACATTAACGGCACCAGCTAAGATGGATTTGCTTCTCATTTCATATAGAATAAAAACCTTTTATATGTATGAAATGAACAATATACTCGACAAGGGTTTGAATGTAAAGCTAACGAATGAAAATATTGTTGAATTCACTGAGACAGGTGCTGTGTATAAAGATGTAGAACTACTGAACAAAAGAGCTAAGGAAAGAAGCAGGAACATGAACAAAGGGTGGAAGCCTATAAAAATTTATGTCAATGATGGCTCAGGAGGTTCAAACATAAAGTATGCAGAAAGTTATAGAGTTTATGCTCTCAAAGGTGAAAAGCCTTCATTTAAGAACAGCTATTCTAACGCATATCCTCAAAAGCTAACGGATGGAGAAGTGGATGATATGAATGACAGCAAAAATATTAACAGAAATGGCGACAGAGATGCATGGAATTTGTTTACCATCAGTCAATTGAAGGTTAAACTTTAAAACAATGTTGGTCGTTCCCATGGAATATTTTTGACTTTAATGGTATTAGTCATGATATGAATCTCAAGGTATGAACGAGGAGAGATGAGAGACTTATATGCTTCCCAAATTTCTTCAAAAGGTAATGTTATACCTGACTGTTTCCAAATGAGTTCAATATCATAACGTGAGAAACCTTGAAAGATAACGAAGTCAGTTATGAGACGTTTTATGTTTAAAGCTAAAAACCTCCATGTTTGCATAAGTATTGCTACAGTTAAAAGGTAATGTCTGACTTTAGTAATGATGTTAGCTAATGGTGAGTCTGGTTTTGACACTAAACCTTTTCCGGCGAAGTCGTCGCAAACGAGCAGAGTATTTGAAGGATATTTTTTGAAGGGGTATTTTGAAAGTTTTGATAGAATGTAGTTTGTAAGTCGTTTCATATCGTAAACTCCTGAGTACTGACGTAAGTGGTGTTTGTCAATAATTCTTTCCATCTCCTCAGAAGTCTTTTGCATTCCTGACTGTATGAACTCTACGATGGCATAATATTTCCTCTTACGTCGAATGTAACGTTGAAGAAATTCAATGAGTTCACTGTCTGGAACTTTAACGACAGAGGCTTGAACTTTTGACATAAATGTTTTCGCTGTTGAATCCATAGAGTCTGAAGTTGCTGATATAATGATTTGGTCATAGTAAGAGTCGTTTCCTAAACGCTCTGTTATGAGTATATGACGAATGAGGTTAAATGTCTTACCTGAACCCATCTTTCCACAATAGAAATACACACCATTTGAACAGAACTCATAATCTTTGCTGAAAGGAAGAATAAGAGAAGAGTTAAGTTTGTCTGTAGTTTCATTCATGTCTTCATCTACGTCATGTATTAAATGCTTCATTTTATCTCCATTAAAAATGCAAGTCAGAAATATTCAGAACATAGCACCGAGTCTAACTGACAAGAGTATAAAGATATACTATGAACATGTTATGATGAAACCAACCAAAATTCAAGAAAAGTCAGTATACTTATGAATATCCAAGACACTGGGTAGAGTATGTAGGAGGTGAGAAAGCTATTGAAATCAGACAGGTTCGAAGTATTCCAGCAGGAAGAACAATATTATTGAAGAACTTTAATGTTTTGAGATATAATGATGAAACAAAGAAGCAAGATAGTTTCCCTGTTGCTGTGTATGTGAACCTAGACACAGGAGATGACATGAAAGTTTTTAACACAAAGCTTCAAACGGTAGTGAGAGAACAACTGACTGCGGAAGGGCATCCATTACCTTCAGAAGTTACCATAGCATATAATTTTGAAACAAACTCAATAGATTTTAAAGTCATCTCTGCAAAGAAGTCAGGATTTACATTTAATGAAGCAGATGTATATTCGAATGAAAACTTCAAAGCTATTGCATGGTTAGATAATGACGATTGCTTTAAGAAAATCTTTAAATTCAGTGACTCAACGATGTCAATAGATGACCTTCGTGGAATGTTACCATCGACGTTTACAGTAGAAGGTTCAGCAGGATTGCTTACAAGATTGTCAATTGGTGGTATTTGGTCTCGTGAGAACATTGTTATAAAATCCAGTATAAGTGAATTTGCTGAAGAATCTATATTATGTCTTTCAAACTATATGTATTCGCCGCCAAAGCATTATAGTATAACAAACTTTGTCAGTAAGTTTAACATAAGACTTGTCGAACCTTCTTCAATGAAAGATGTTGTGCTACCTAAAGATGGAAAGGATGGACTCATTATTGAGATGATTTTAATAGCATATTAAATGAGCTTGTTCTTGAAGGTCATTCATGATGAAATAACTGTTGTAGAAGATGTTAGCAATTGTTCAGACTTTTGAAGCGTATAGATGATATAAGAAAGAAGTTAGATAGACCGCAAAGCGGTGAGGGCGAAGCCCGTGAGAACGCTTATGTTTCATTGACTTTCTCCAGTAACGAGAACTTTTATGAGATAATATTGAAGAGAGATGATTTTAATATGGTGTAAATGGTAGCTTGGGCAGCTTTAGGCGCAATGGGAACAAAAGCATTAGCATTTGGAGCAAAAGCACTTGGAGCTTATGACGCAGTAAATAAAATGAGTGGAGGAAGGGTTTCAAAGACATTAGATGCAAATAAAGGAAAGATTGGAGGCTGGTTGCAAAGAAGTTAAGATTAAATAAAATAGGGCTCATAAATAAAGCATCCAATTTGGTTGCGACTGAGTCAGAAAATGCTTTAGGAAAGGACGATGAGTTTGCAAAACACGCAAAAGACTTTAATGACCAGATGAAAGGTGAAACAATGCATTTAAATAGAGTCGATGGAACTAAAGAAAATGTTTCTTCTCCACCAGTAGTTCTTCCGTCCTATGGAATGTATGGAAACCCTTACGAAAGACCATTTGACCCATTGACTGGTGGAAGTAACTGGTATCATTACGGCCGAAGAAGAAAGACAGTCAAGTTGGAGACAGACGTGAAGAAAGCAACTAAAAAGAAACCAAGGAAGAGAGTTATAAAGCAATGAATTCAACAGACCCAAAGGGTCAGAGCCGCTTTGCGGCTAGGGTGAAAAAAGAGGTGAGATCTCACCACTTCACCTAAATCTATTTTTGTGCTATGTTTTCATACGTGTGAGGGTGGTGATATCATTTATTTTTAAGTTTATTTTATTTTTACTGAAAATTTTATTTGGATGTAAATGACAGAACAAAAGAACTCATTCGAATTCCACAGTATAACAAACATACATTTAAAACATTTATTCTTCCTTCCTGAGCATAACATGTTCTTTTCAAATACATCCGAGACCAGTTGACTTTTCATTGACTGTGTATAAAGATAGAAATAGTTATATCATTAAACCATACGATGACGAAGGTAAGTTATGTAAATTGTACGTTAAGAAGTTAGAGAAAGTTTATGGCTTCAAGTATGACTACAATAGGGTTAACACTGATGATGAAGATATTGAGGAAAATTTATGAGAACATTAGTGAAGTCGTTAGTGAGAACGATAGTGAGAACGTTTATTTTTTTACATTAGTGAGTTCGTTAGTGAGGTGAAGTGGTTGGTGGTTTTGTAAATATTTAAGGTTAAGTTAGTGTTGTCGTTTGTGTTTGTGTTGTAAAATATACGTTAACGGGTTTGTAAAGTGTCAAACCGTTATGTTGGGTAAGGTGGAACGCAGTGCCGCCGTACCCAACATAACCATACTAACTAGTATAACGTTTGCGGTCAATGACAATAGCTAATGGTCTGACATACTGACCAAACTTAGATTCTTTCACAAACTTCTTGTTAAAGATAACATTAACATTTGAAGCATTATTGAACTCATTCTTGATGGCATTAGCGAGAGCATTGTATGAAAAGAACTTGCAATCTTGCATGTGTTTCATTAAAATAAAAATATTAAATTATTTTGAAAAATAACTTTAAAAAATCTAATCTAATTTTTTCAAAAAAATATTTTTTTATTTCCTACTAAAGATGTATCGGAAGTTGTCTAAGTTAGAACACTCGGAAATAAAACAACTTCTTACAGAAGCTAATATAGATGTTGCAAAGCATTACGCAACAAACAAAAAAGCACTCGCTGACATCCTCAATGACTATAATGGTGCAATAAGTTATGATAGAATTCATGAGTTCATAAAGCCGCAACGCGGGCGAGGACGAAGTCCATGCAAGAGCATTTCCTTTAAATGACGTTGCTATTGACTTATATCATAGACGTTCAGTACCTCATGAAGTAAGAAGAGAAATGTTTGACATAACAAATGCAAAGTTGGTGAAACAAGAAGAGAGACGACACACTGAAACAACAGAGAAGAGAGATGTTTAGAGCGCTATAGAACAAGTTCGCAAAGCTAACGATGTCATTCGTTCCATTGACGACAAACCAAAAGAAGGTGAGAGATGGTTAAAGAAAGATGAAGAGAATAGGAAGAGAAATGTGAAGTCAGGGCAATAGACTCATTGACTTTAACATCGAAGCTTTAGATGAACCAAACAGAGACTACTTACACAAACATTTCGGTAAGGTTTTCATGAGACTCTTAGAGAAGATTAAAATAAACTCCAACAAGATGGATGGTATGTTATAAAACATGGTGGAAAGTATGAATGTTCTACGTTAAACCTCAATAATATTGGAACATTACTACATCAGCTCTTGAAGGAGAACTTTATATCAGAGATAGAAGCAAATGCTGCAGGTATTGTTGAAATGCACTATGACTTCTTCTTGACAAACATAAAGAATCTTACTGAAATAAAGATGTATGATTTAACAGAATATGAAGGCTTAACGATGTCAGATGTAAAGAAAGGCAAACCAAAAAAGAGACCATATAGAGATGGAAAAGCACACTGACAAATGACCAGAAAAGCCATTTTGGAAGCTCTTAACAAACAGGAAACCCAGCACTTATAGAAAGCTTTTGGAAAGATAATGGTGAAAAGAAGTTTTATAAGAAGAGAAGCGGTCAGTTCTGGAAGTATCTTTGCACATTACCTATAAATCTTGAACGCTACCAAATCTTCAATGAACTGAACAAAAGAACTGCAACACTTATGACAGAAGATAACTGCTTCGTTTATGCTTGCATTCAGGCTGGAGTAAATGAAGAAACTATTGACCACATGAGAGAAGTCATTCGTGTTAGAGACTTTCCTCAAAGTAAAGTACAAGAAATTTCTGACGCAACTGGTATAGCATTTAATGTTACCATTGGTTATTTCAATGACTCAAGACATAATGAAATAAAGAGATATATACCAAAAGAATGTGAAACTGTTCGAACTATTGACTTACTTTTTGTTGAAGACCACTACATGCTAAATGAAAGATTACCAATGACAACATATTTCATTCGCAACTATATAGAAATCTTGAAGGAGTGTGGTGGAATGAACATTGAGAAACAGATGAAGATTTATACAAAGAGAGAAGATTAAATATGTAGTTCGCATGGATAGAACTACACCGCTATGGGATGTTATGAAAACATTGTGGGAGTGCAAATATTTCGAACCTATTTCTTATGGAGAACTTTTCACATATACGACTGACTTATATAAACAGAACCTTGCACCATTTAAAGATTTGACATATGCTCCAAAGTATTGTGTACAACTGAAGAAGAAAGCAGAGTCAAAAGAAGTAAATAAAGCTAAATGTAAGTTCATTCCTGAGCAGTTTTCTTTGCTGACTTTGAGTGTAGCACAGACGGCTTTCATAAAGCTTTTAACATCTGTTACGACAGTGAAGATGGTTCAGTGAGTGAAAGCATATGGGGTCAAACTGTGCAACAGAATTTTTGGAACGACTTCCTGACAAGAGTTTAATATATTTCCATAACCTCAGTTATGATATAAACTTCATCTTAAGACACATGACAGAAGTGAAAGGAACTCCCATCATTAAAGGTTCACGAACAATGCAAATAACTGGCTTATATAAAGGAAGGGCAATTATTATAAAAGACTCTTACAGTGTTATAAATAAGAAGCTTAAACTATTTCCTGCTATGTTTAACTTACAAACAGGACCGAAAGAAGTATTTCCATACAACTACTACAGCAGTGTTTTGTTAGCAAATGACAACAGAACTGGTGTCATTTCTGAAGCATGTAAGTTTATCCGGGATGCAGATACATTTATGAAAAACATAGATTCCATCAAAGGTTGCAGAATAGATGAAAACCATTTCGATTTAGAAAAATATAGCACATTTTATTGCAAACAAGATGTAAGAATTTTAAGAGAAGGTTTTGTTAAGTTCCGCAATGACATATTGAAAGAATTTGATTTAAACGTTTATGACTACGTTAGTATTTGTTCAATTGCTAACAAATTGTTTGAGAACAGAGTGTACTTCCCGAATGGAAATTTATATGATCTCTCAAATAAACCAAGAGAATTTATTTCACGCTGTATTCAAGGTGGAAGATGTATGCTGTCAGATAACATTAAACAAAAGAGCGAAAAGAAACTCATTGCTGACTTCGACGCTGTTTCATTATATCCATCAGCTATAGCAAGACTTTATACTTTAGAAGGAATTCCAAAGGTTATGAAGGATGAGATGTTAAGTTCTGAATATTTGTTAAAGCATTTATTCGATGACGACCAAAAGGAACCCATTGGTGAAAAGTTTATGTCTGGCTTCTTTGTTCTCATTAAGATAACAGAGATTGGAATACATAGACACTTTCCTTTAATAGTTTGTGACCCTGAACTAAATCCAGAACTTAACGTTCCCAGAAGTTCAAACACTTGCTGTTTAATGTATGTTGACCATATAACATTACAAGACCTCAAAATATCAAGGTGTCAAATGTGAAGTGTTGCAAGGATACTATTACGATGGAAACAGAGATATTAGAATAAGAGATGAAGTAAAGAAGTTGTTTGAGTTAAGGTTAAAGTATAAGAAAGAAGGAAATCCTTTGCAAGAAAATATAAAGCTCATTCTGAACAGTATTTATGGCAAAACTATTCTATCTCCTATTGAGTCAAAAATAACCATAGTAGATGACAAAGATGCTATAAGATATGCCATCAGAAACTACAACCATATAGTGAAGTTCGAAGGTTTGGATGGTTCAGATAAAACTATTTTCAAGCTAACGAAAAGCATTTGCAGACACTTTAACTTCTGTCCACTTGGTGTTAACATTCTGTCTATGTCGAAGAGAATAATGTGTGAAGTATTCTGTACTGCTGAGGACTTAGGAATGGACATCTTTTATAGCGATACGGACAGTATGCATCTCTACATGAAGATATCCCTCGTTTAGCTGAAGAGTTTGAGAAACGTTATGGAAGAGTTCTCATTGGTAAAAACCTTGGTCAATTTCATAGCGACTTTGCAGAAATCACAAAAGATAAACAAAGTTTAGCATACAAGTCAATATTTTGTGAAAGAAGACTTACATAGACTTACTCACGAATGATTTAAATGAAGTTGCATTTCACTGCAGAATGAAAGGCGTGAAGCAAGATGTTATTGCTTTAACCGCTAATGAAATGTTTCCTGACTCTGTTCAGTGTTTCTATGATGAAGATAAAGGTTTAATGGTTCCGCAAGGAACATATGACAAAGACTCTGAGTTCAGTTTAATGAAACTTTACAAAGCACTTTATGACGGTCAGAGATTGGATTTGACTTATGTAAGTCATGTCAACCTTGCTTTGAAGAGAAGTTTAACTTCTCAATAACGACTAAAACAAGCTTTATTCGTAAGTTGAAGTTCTGAGGTCATTTATTTTTGTCAGTAATGAGGTCATTCGTGATAAAAATAAGCCGCTAGCGGCAAGGGCGAAGCCCATGTGGTCATTTACAATACTGCGATGGTAGAGTTTAAGAGTTGTGCTTCAATGTAGAGACAGTCCTTATGGTCTGGAGGTAAGAACACTGGGCAGTTATGGTCATGAGTTGAGAACATGTCTATCCAAAACTCACGATTGAAGCCAGTTAATTTATAATATTTAGGGTTAGGAAGTGGTGAAGTTCTTGTATGACCAATGAACTCATTTTCAACTCCCTTACTTAAGTTTGAATATAATATAGCTTGCTTTCTATCCCAAATGCCAGGTGTTACAATCTTTGAAAATTCATTTTTCCTCGGAAGCATTGCATAATAATTGAAAACATTCTTGAAGTCTTCATTGAGTTCAGAGATTTGAAATCTTATACGTAATGGATTTTCTTTCTCTTTAGCGACTTCATTGAATGGTGAGAATACAACAAACTGACAGTCATGTGTTCCATCTTCATTTTCATTAAATTCATAATGAAAGTCTATAAGTTGTGGCTGACTACCTTCTTCTTTCAGTTGTGCAAGAAACTCACGTAAAGGCTGTAAAGTTTGTACTTCAATGTTAAACTTTTTCTCGAACATTTTCATTAAATGAAATCATACATTGTTGCAATGTTGTATCGTCTTTAAAGTATTTGTATATGTGAATGTTTTGGGCGCTTAAAGACTGTTCGTCATTTTCTATCTCGACTTGAAGTATAAAGTCAACCTTTCTGAAAGCACGTGTTATATACATAATTTGTTATGCCAATGTACTTCTCTTCATTTATGTTCACAATCCAGTCTGTTGGAAACTTAAACGTTACTCTGTTCCCCTTTATTTTGACGTCAGGGTTTTCACTACTGAACGCAACAGATAAAGGTATTTGTCTATACATTTAATTCGGATAAAAATAACCATTTACTCTTTCTTGCTTCAGCTTCTTCTCTAGCTTTCTTCGCCAGCAAACGTGGGGTTCTTTTGTCTTCCAGCAGCTAATGCAGCAAGTTGTTTTTCACTAAGTTTTCTCTTTGGTCTTCTTCTGGCTTTTGTTCTTGTTTTTGTTCCGTCAGTTCGGAATAAAATTTGCTCACGAATTTCTTTCTTCAATGCTTCAACATCTATGACCCCTTGGGTCTTGTCCGTAGGGCTTGTCTGAGTCATTTGACTGCAGATAAAAACAAAAAAAACTTTAACCGATGTAAAATGAGCTTGTCAAAATCAGAGCGAGAGTCTATTATATTAAATGACGCAAGAGGAATACAACATCCTTTCTATTACGTAAGTCAGAGTAAAGATGGTAAAATATACGTAAGAAAAAGAAAGGTTCCATTAGCGAATGCAGAAAGCGACAACATTAAGGTGTGATATGGCAAGGATGAAGTCCATATAAAACCTTCTGTTCAAACTGAGCCACCAATAGAACAGAAGAAAGAAGCCAGATGTTCTTTCAATAACGAACCAAGCTTATTGCAAAGTTCGTGAATTTCATTGAAAAGCAAACGAGTCAAAGAACCCTGACCCACCAGTGAAAGAAGTTGAGACAAAAGAGAATGTACAGTTCATTGAAAATGTCAAGAAACAACTTCCACCACGAATGCCAAGAAGAGAGTGAGAATAATGAAGTAAATAGATATTTTTATCTGAAGTAAATACATGCAGAACGAACAAGCTAAACGCAATTTACTCCAGCAGAGCATATTCATCAGATTCGCTCATATTTCGATATCATAGACAATGCAGTTCAAATTGGTGACACTAATAGAAAATATTTCTGACGCAAAGATTCCATCACAACCTGGAACTGCTAAAGATAACACATGGGTAACATTCAATCTCTCACCTCCTGGTGAAAATATGTTGGACCTTTACAATACATTCATTACGTATAAAATGGAAGGTCAATTTATTGTAGATAAAGAAATTGGTTCAGGTTCCAATAAAACAAACCCACCAGGATTTTGGATTGGTTTCGATGACGCTTTCTATGCAGTTGCTGGATATCAAATCCTTGCAAATGGTCGTATCGTATATTCTCAAGACAACGCAAGAGAAGAAGCATATATAACTTCAACTCACAAACTACCGAACAAATAAAGAAAGTAGATGTTTTCTCAAAGACTCGACATGAAGATGTATGGAGTCATTCGGGAACATGCAGAACAGGACAAATTGTTAGTGGTCCAATTACAGCAGGAAAATCATTTGATTTTAAGCTTCGTTTAAGAATTCCTGTTAGAAGATTCCTTCCATTAGAAGCTATTCGATTTATTCCAGCTTTTGGAGGAAACGTTCAGCTTAAAGTAAAGTTCAGTAGCGACGCGCTTACAATGCACATCTATATCTGTAAATGATATCATTGCTTTCAATCCAACTCTTAAAGTTGCATTTGCTTCAGATTCAAATCCACCGACAAATAAATTTGTTCCATGGAATGAACCATTCACTATGAAACGAAGGCAATAGAAGCTAGTGGAACATTTACTATTACAACTGAACCCAGCAACTATTTCGAATAAAGATGGATTTTAATGAATGTTTCATTCATCCAAAAATCATTCTCTTTAGACCCTAACATTTATACAGAACTTGTAGAACATTATACAAACGAGGCTTTATGTTTTCCTGTTAAAGTTATGGATTGGATTCCTATGGACGGTTCATTCTCAAAGAATACAGATAGTTCAAGTGCAACATTTACAGCAGCTTATACGCCTATTAATGTTAAAAGTATTTGGGCACTATTTAGAAAGAAAGACAACTATTATGTTAATTTTGAGAACCCTAAGTTTAAATATCTTCAGCTTTCCATGGGAGCTTATGGAAATATGCCTGCAGAACCTGAAAAATCATATGGACCTGTATTTTATGAAATGGTTTGCGAACGCTTGCAATACAAACAATGATATGATTGGATTTAATGAAGATGTTATGAGGTCATTGGTGGATGATGGTAGTGTGGAACATAAATGGGATAGCTATGACAACACACATTTCTTATGTGGTTTTTCCAACAGAAGTGGACTTTTGCTTCCAGCAAGGTCAAACATCTACTGCTCCAATAACATACAAATTGTCTGTTAAAGGACCTATTGAACTAGCAACTGAAAATGTACCAAAGCCACTTATTGGATTTATGAGGGATTGTTGCTTTGCCATTCAGGTGCGTGCTAATGGCATCCCATAATAAGATTAGATGACTATAACTTAGCTACGGACGACAGTGAGGAATAAAGGATGAACGTTTATTTTTAAAGCTTATAAATGAGTTCTTCATCAAGCTCTCGTGAACCTTCACCATCTATGAAACAAACTTTACCAAACGATTATGGAGCACCTATTGAATATTTCTTACGAGCTGCACAATGGCAAAGAGCAGTCTCACCAAGGTTAGGTGTTCCACCAGCTCCTGTCAAAAATAGCATTTGGTCAAGTCCTTATATAAGATATGGTCTCCCACTAGGTTTGCTAGCTACAGCAGGAGCAGTTATGATGTTGAAAAGAAATAAAGCAAATGTTGTAAATAATACTGAAGTAGCTGAAGTTAAACAAACTCCAACACCTTCGCCAAAACCAACGTCAAAACCAACGCCTTCACAAGCAAAACCTTCAATGACTCCTGAACCTATGGAAGTACAAACTCCTATTCAAAAGTCAACTCCTAAACCGACTCCAACGTTTAAACCAGAACCTACTCCTCAAATAAATCGTAAAACTCCTGCGTTTCCTTACTGAAAAAAATAACGTTATTTTTATTTAATATTAAAATTTTTATTTGATTGAAATGACGACTAAAGTCACTGAAGCAATGAAACAAAGTTTTTGGTAGAATACATTAAATCAGGAACTATTCCAGAAGGTTTTTACATTCATACTATGAAGGATGGTAGAGTTCAGTTTAGAAAAATAAAGCAACCATTAGATAAAGAAGGAATTTTGAGAAAGATTAAACTTCATGAGGACAACATTGCTGAACTTAAGAAGAAGCTAGAAGAGTTGGAGAAAGCAGACGACAGTGAGGAATAAAATATTTCATTAGTTTTATTTTTACTGAAAATTTTTATTTTTATATAAATGACGAAAACTAATGAGATAACAAACTACAACGGTCATGAGTTCAAGAATTTGTTCTTCGTTCCTCGTGAAAATACATTCTATCAGATACGAGGGAGAAAGGGTAAAGTTAGTTTGAGCGTTTATGACAATAAACATAATGGGAGATATATAAAAGCAATAGATACAAACGGTAAACGTGTTTCATTACATTTGTCAAAACTTACTAACATTTATTTTGACAGCGACTTTGACTCAGACGATTGGAGTGACAGCAGCGATACTGAAGAATATGAACTATTGTGTGAAGCACAGCAATGGGAAGCGCTGCAATACTTTTGTAAATGAGAACATTAGTGGGAACGTTAGTGAGAACGTTTATTTTTTCATTAGTGAAGTCGTTAGCGAAAATGTTAGTGAGGTGAAGTGGCTGGCGGTTTTGTAAATATTTAAGGTTAAGTTAGTGTTGTCGTTTGTGTTGTAAAATATACGTCAGTGGTTTTGTAAAGTGTCAAACCGTTATCTTGGGTAAGGTGGAACGCAGTGCCGCCGTACCCAAGATAGGGATACTAACTGAGTGTATATGAACTGTTCATAGATGAAACTGACTTTGTGTCATTAGATGAAAAGTCTTTATATGATGAATATAAACAATATTGTCAAGAATATGGTTATATGGCAGCTTCTAAACGTACATTCTTGGCAAATGTCAAAAGTCTTTTAGATGTTCAGAATGGTGTATATACAAAGAAAATTTTTTCTGAGTAAATTTTAAAAAAATATTTTTTTATCCGATAGAAAAGATGACGAAATATATTTCAGTAAACAAGTACATGTCAGGACTTAAAGAAGAACTAGACCCATTCACATATTTGAATGTTTACTTCTACCATTTTGAAAAGTCTTCATTCAGCAAAGTTTGGAACATCGAACCAGTTAAGTTTGCTATTGTGACTAAAAATGGTGCGAAATTTGAAGACTTAGACATAGAAGGTTTGTTAACAGTCAAAGAAAGTTTTGACAGAAGGTTCTCAAACCTTAAAGAAGGCAAAGCATACAAACTTGTTATACCTTATGAACCAAAGAAGACAGACGACTATGAATATTATGAGTCTAAAGTTGTAGAAGTTCAAGGTAAATTGGGTAAAAAGATTTTAGAGTCTAAGCCAGTGTTTACTCCTAAAGAGGAAGAGAACATTGACATTGACCCAGAAATGTTCTAAAAATAAAATTTTATTTTTACATGTCAAATTTCTTTTTCTCTGGAACTGGTTCAGGTTCTTTCTTCTCTTCTACTTTTTTCTCTTTCTTTTCTTTCTTCTTCTTCTCTGGTGGAGATATGTCAAATTTCTCAGAACCATATCTATGTAAAAGTTCTTTGTCCTTTAATAGCTCATCTATTCTGTTTTCTATTTCATCTTTAAGAACAGCGCATGTGTCTTCTTTGCATTCTAAGAACTTTTGTTGGACTTCATCTTTCCAATCGGCGTCATCTCTGTCAACAAGTCTGTCATTGACAAATTTTAAGACTGCTCTTTGTAATGTTTTATGGTTCTTGTCATATTCCCAGAAACAGAACTTTAGAACAAATTCACCTTTCTTGTTTACACTATGTAAGATTTTATGGTCTACAGATGTTTTGCTGTCAAAAAGCTTGTCTCGAATATAGATAGCGAAATCGCTAGACATTTTCTAAAAGATAAAAATTTTAATTTTTCTAAAAATATGTTAGAAAAAAGTTTGCTGACATTGACAAGAAATTTGAGAATGTTTTAAATAAGAACAAGAGGAAGTTAGAAAATGCTCAGATAAAGCCTATACATGACAAGTTCTTATTTGCTCAGAATGGTATAACAGGTCTAATTGCACCACCTGGGTCTGGTAAGACTTTCACTTATCTTAAAATGGCTGCACAACAACAAGAACTAGATGAGAAGAACCCATTCTATGAGTTAGTAGTCATTTGTAGTACTTCTGGTCAATTTGACCAAACCGTCAATTTGTTCAAAGATATTATAAAGAAGTCTAAGTTAGTATGTATAAAGGATACTGAGTTGTTAGATTGGATAAAGAAGTACCAAAGAAGAGTTTTGAAGTATAATGCTATAAATGAGTATATAAATTCGAAGTTTAAAGACCCAAATGAGGAAATGCAGAGAATATTAGAGAAGAAACACTTCAGAAAAACAGAAAGAGATAGAATACATTTCGAAGAAATTGCAATCTTACGATTGGAAGACTTACCCTCATAGATGTCTTCTTATCTTAGATGATTTCGCCTCTCATCCTTTGTTAAAGAACAGAGAACAAGATATGTGTCGAATTCTTAAGAAGCTCAGACACTTTAACATCTCAGTTGTCATTTGTGTACAGACAGCAAAGAGTTTAAGTAAGGATGTTAAAAGAATACTTACTGACATAATACTTTTCCCCGGATTGTCCGAAGACGATTTCATGGAACTTATGAAAGAGTCCATGGCAGGTAAGTTTGACAGACATGAACTATGGGAGAAGTACAAAGTCATACAAGACCCTCATACTTCTTTCAGAATTCATATCTACGCAAACAAAGTTCAAATTGTATGAATTCAAGCTTGAAAAATCATTATTTTTGTGCTGAATTCAATAAAAATAATTTTAGGGTAGATGGGTATATCTAACCCGATTTCTAACCTCATTTCTACCCTCATGAATTTTCATGAATTTTATATATTAATGTTTTCGTTAAGCCACTTTGTGCCGTCAGTCAGTTAATGAAATTTACACCAAAAATATATTTTAGGGTAGATGGTTAGATCTAACCCGATTTCTACCCCAGTTATTTTATAAACGTTTTACATGGTAAACGTTATTTTTGGAATTTTGTGAAAACTCAACGGTTTGACACGTGCCCTAAAAATTATTTTACTCAGAATTTTGTGCTGAATTCAATAAAAATAATTTTAGGGTAGATGGGTATATCTAACCCGATATCTATCCTCATTTCTACCCTCATTATTTATAACCGTTTTACATGGTAAACGTTATGAATTCGTGAGACTCTAAACAGTTTTGTAGCTTCTATTTCTTCGCTGAGGATATCAAAAATGTTAACAATGCCGAAAGTTTCTTTATACTTCTTCTTGACGTCAGATAGAAGGAAATCGTCAGCAGTTGGATAGTTTTTGTTCAGAAATGCTAACATGTCCATTTTATTTTCTGCTGGTTTCTCTGCTTCTTTCTTTAAGTCAGCATAGTCGTTTCTCATTCGTTCTATCTCTTTGACGGAGTAGTTATATTTCCTCATTGCTGCTTTACATTTAGAACATTGCGGATTCATTTTTGCGTTATACATTGAAATAAAACCAGCTAGAACAACCAAGGCGTCAATGGTTTTCTTTAAATCTGAAGCAGTTGGTTTTATCTGTTCATTCCATACCTTACCTCTTCTATCTTTATCTCTTATCTGCCATACACATTTTGCAACTAATGAAACAAAGTTGTCGTATGTCTTAAACTCCCCCGATTTATATATGTCAGAGATGTTCTTATATACCATGTCGCAATCTTTGTCCATAACTTTATGGTTGCAATGATATCCTAGAAACTCATAATTTACCTTTCGTATGAACTTCTTTATTTCTACTGAGTCAGTTGGTTTCACTTCTATTTCATCGAATTCATGAATAGTGAGCTTTTGTTGTTGGATTTCAGGCAATTTGGGTAAATGGTCAATAATGTCCTGCATGTCATAAAGATATTCTTCATTTTCTTCATCCTGTGCGGTACAGTCTAAATTACTTGTTAAAAGTTCCTGCTTAATTTTTTGTATTTCTGTTCCAAAACTATATGAAGAAGGAATGAAGTTTTTCATCTCTACTAACATAGATGTTGGATTCATGACTAACGAGTTTGGTGCTGTTGTTGTTTGAATTGTTGTTGTGCCGATTGTTGAAATCATATCTTTTATACAAAATAAAAAAATAAATAAAAATAAAGTTAGTTTTATTTTTTATTTCGGGAAAATTCATGAAAATTCAAGAGGGTAGAAATCGGGTTAGATCTAACCATCTACCCTAAAAATTATTTTTGCTGAATTCAGCAACAAAATGAACGAGGTCAGGATGTATGTAAATACCTTTGAATTCATTTATAACGCCCTTAGTAAGCTCATAAAATGCTTGTTTTGAGGTCGAGCCACTTTTGGCTCCACCGTATTCTTTCAACCAAAACTCAAGAATTTCCTGCATGAATTTTGTATAAAAAGCAACAGTCCGAATTCCGGCGGTTGCTATATTCTTCACAAAATGCCTTATAATACTCTTCCCAGGACTTATTTTCCAACAACTTTCTAAAGTCTTTCCTAAACTGCTGACACATATTTGTTGCATTAATGTAACTATCCTTGTCTCTACGTAAGACTTCAATACCGTTATAAGTGCCTTTTGTGAATGTTTCGCCATTAGATTTGTTCGTGAACGTTTTTGCTTCGACTGACATTACTGTTCTTACATACAAAATAAAAAAATAAATAAAAATAAAGTTAGTTTTATTTTTTCTATCTTAAGGAAATTCATGAAAATTCATGAGGGTAGAAATGAGGGTAGATATCGGGTTAGATCTAACCATCTACCCTAAACATTATTTTTTGGTCCGGGAACAACTTTCTCTCAATTGGAGCTGTAGCATACTCTTTGCGTAAGAGGTTCAGCCCTTCTTCGAAGTCTTGGTCTCTCTTCGATTGAGATTGGAATTGGAATTGCTGGGGTGGAGCTTGCTGGAACAACCAAGGGTTGGGGAAGTAAGGCATAGGCTGAGGAGGGTAGTTCGGGAAGCCTTGTGGTGGGTAGTAACCTTGAGGTGGAAATTGGTAGTAATTCGGAGGTACTTGCTGGAACTGAGGTTGCTGAGGAGACTGTTGTGGTTCTGCAGCTTTCGGTTCTTCTGGCTTTGGAAGGCATTCAGGAAGAGGAACGTCAGTCATCCGTTTGTGTCCTGTCGGAAGGAAAAATTTTTCCTGTCGGAAGGGAAAACTTTTCCTGTCGGAAGGAAAAACTTTTTCTGTCGGAAGGAAAAACATTTTCTGAAGTTCGACCAAAAAGTTCTCAATTTTCGAAAATTTGAATGGTTTACGGACGGACAACTGGAAGAGTTCTTCCTGTCGGAAGGAAAAAATTTTCCCTTTGTCGGGAAAATATTTTCCTGTCGGATGGAAGAACTTGGAATGCAAGAAAGACTTGACGAGGCAATTTACCTCATTGAACTTAACGAGCTTGTTAAAGACTTCCTCAGGCAGAATGTAAAAGGCAAGCTTGTTAACGGTTGGTTGTCTGGAAGAGGTGCGCTGAAAATCGAAATTGAAACCGGAATTCCAATTCAAATACCAGAAAACACTCCTGTAGACGACATAAAGGACGCCAAAAGAGAAGCTCTTGTTAAGTTCCTAAACAAACGTCCTTGGATAAAAATACCAAACAAGGAGAACCCCCTACCCCATATGAAATTGGCAATTCAGTCTCTCCTTCACTTCTCTGGTCAGCCGTTCTACATAACCTCAGAAGGCGACATTCAGCCAGTTCAGTAAACATCTCATTTTAACTCACTTTTTTTATGTTTTTTGTGAAAGTGTCAAAAATAAATTGTTTTCATGAGTTTTCTACGATGTTAGAAAAAATGTTATTTTCTAATATCTTCACATTCAATACTTTTTCAGCACTTTTCCGTAGTTATATATGAAAGACAATTCGAGATAAAAGTCATAGTACAATGGAATAATATGTTGCACACCATTTGTTGTGAACCAAACTTGAAAGTCAGAGAAACTGTTACTAGGTGGTTCGTAGAATTTAGAAGCAAAGTCATAAAGGTCCTTACCAATACATAGAAAACTATTGTTGCTTGAACTGAAACTTGCATGACACATAACATTTTGAGGGTCAAACACGTTTCTATAAACCATCAAATCTGCTGGTGGAAGTATAAATTTAAATGGACCATCTGGTGGTAATGGTTCGTTCTGGTTTAGTAACCGAAGAAATTGTGCCCAAGAACGTTTGTCTACTTCCCAAAATAAAAACTCTGTATCTCTTGGAGGGTTAATTTCAATCTTTTGAAATGAAACGGTGGAGTTCATCTTGTCATATTCTAGTTTCAGATAGTATGTTACATTTAGTAAAGAGTCGTATTTTTCTTGAAATTCCCAATAATATTTGTTCATTTGAGTTTGAAAGTCATCTAGAGTTTTCTCAAGACTTTCGTCTGAACGAACTGTAAAGATTTTCATTTCGTCAAATTTGTCTATTAGACCATCAGGACCTTCATACTGCCCATGAAAATATACTGCGAACATAAATGCGTTAGTTCTATTTGAAAACAAAACTCTTCTAAATCCTATTGCCTTTGCATCTGAAGGACTTTGAAGCCAACGAATTGGATAGTCAAACCTGTATGCTCGGGATGAAATTTCTTCATCTGAAATAGTCCTACCAGCATTTGTAAAGATATAGTCTAACGGTTTTGTATCTGCTACTTTTGTTCTTCGTTTTTCAACCTGAAGCATTTAATATATGTAAAAATATATTGTTTTAAAATGGTATGCCATATAGCTTCTTGAATTTGTTAAGAAGTATTTGAACGTATTTTCCATCTGTATCTCTAGTGTTTACATAAGCATAGCCCGACTTAGTAAAATATACTTGTAATTTCCTATAGTTTACGCCGGTATAAAAGTAGAAAGAGTCTTGTTCTTCGCTATAGTAGTAAAACTCAAACGTATGCTTGCCATAGTCTGTAATTTCAATTGTTTCATCTTCTAGTTCGTCGACAAATTCGAATACAATATCTCCAAATTTGCCTTTGTTCTTATTGTTTTCAGAACGAGTGACCCAACGTAAGTTTTCAAGTCTATTGTCGTTTCTTATATGGTTTATATGGTCTACAAAAGGTAAATTGTTAGGATTCAGTATAAAATGAGTTGCAATGACAACATGTTTAAGATAGTGTTTTCCACTCATCTTCATAATAGCATATCCGTCATTTCGCTCCCATTCGCTTAAAACTCTTTTTGTCTTTTTGTTTCTGACTTCAAATGACTCACAACAGTGAATTTCATATTTCTCATCTAACAAACAAGTTTCCCAACGGTCTTCTCCAACAAACTCAGCGTACATTTCAAATAAAATAAAAAAATGTCACTTTTTAAAAAATAAATTTTTTATTTCATGCAATGTTTTATTTCTGTGCCGTCTTCAAGTATGCCCCAGTACTTACACTTGGAGAGGACATGAACTTCGGAAAATACCTTATCTAGCTTAAAACAGCCCATCTTTTCACCGACCATTCCCATTTCAATGAGTTTGTTGTATCCTTCTTCGTTCGTCATGAGTGCGTCAATGTTCTCATAGTAAACCTTGACTTTCGATTTGACTTCCGAGAAGAACTCATTGTAGTTGTCAAGGACTGCCTTTGCGAACTGAGGGTAAGACCAATGTTCGACAATAGGTTTTAATGTGGTTACTAAGCCACTTTGACCTTGAGTGAATTCGTACTTCAAAACAAAAGGAGAAAACCTTTCAACAAAGTTGTCGACCTTCTCATAATGTTTACTCTTCATCTCTTGAGGTTTCTTAATGGAATATCCCCATGTCGAATTCATAAGCAATTTGAGTGTCATTGCAAGTTTGGGGTTTGAAGCTTTCCTAATATCATACAGTTGTTGTATGACTTTTCCAACTGTATAGTTCCTTCCCGGGAACTCACCATCTTCGTTTGGAATTCCAGTCGGAATATATTGGACAAACCTCATGTATGCAGCGTTAAGGTCGACATAGTATATCTTTTCATCTGAGTCGAACTTGTCGCAACCAATTGGTCCAGTTTGTGGAAATTCAAGTGAGTCTCTTATCTTCTGAGAAACTTCTCCTGTTATCTCATAAACATCGTCGAAGCAACCTGTTTCATATAAAACCTTCTGACCTAACTCAGATGCTCTCCAATACAATTTGACGTTAATTGGATGTCTCAATGGAAGTTTGTTTATAGCATCTTGAAGTTCTTGCAACCTCATTGGAAGTTCTTCTGGTTCAGGTTGGTATCCGAACATACCAACCCCTTGTGGAATTGTGTACTTCTTTTGTACTAGAACTTTGTCTGGAACAACTTTTGGTCTTGCTAACAATGAAAAGTTTGTTTCGTCTTTTGGTACAAAAGTTTCTGTCAGCTTGTCATCTGGAATTGGTTCCAACAAACCTTTCTCGAAAAGAATGTTTACAGCTCTGACAATGTTGCACTTACTTTTACCAAAGAATGGGTTTGTAAGACTTTCGTTCAACATGAAGTGGTTGTGGACAATTACAATCTTCAACCATGGTAAGTCTTTGTCAACAACATAGTCATCATGTGAAGAACCTTTAGCTGTAGGTATGTTGACTCGGATATTGACATTTGCCAACGGTGCAATTTTTGCCAATTGACCTCTGAGAATGTACCTTGTCTTCACACATGACTCAAGATACTTCATCTTCTCATCTGTAACAAGACCAGAGTTCCTGAGACATGTAAGAATACAAGGTTCATTGACAATTGTTTCAATTGAATTGTAAATTCCATACCTTGTCAAGTCAATGTCAGACTTATTTATGAACGGGAAGTATCCAGCATGTTGTCTGACTGCTTGAGGGTTAGGTTGGTACCATTCGAACTTGACACTTGCAATTCCTTCAATTGCATTCAAAATGTCTGAGTCGGAGTCAACCATTTGTTCTCTCTTTGTAGTCTTGAAAGCGTCAAGAAGTTTTGCGGCTGTTTGTTCATTGCTATGTGCATAGTAAATGTGACCATCCAAATCTGTTATGGTCAATCTGAGATTGTGTCCTTTCTTATTTCCGTCTTGAATTGCAGCAAGTACTCCCATGAACCCTTCTTTGTTCTTTCCTTCGTCAAAGTTTACTGTAAAGGTTCGACCAGATGTAATTTGACTTCTAACTTCACGATACTTTTCATATGCATATCTTGTTCTTTCCATGGGAGCATGTGCGTCTTCACCTTTTCCTTTTTTCCTTCTCAAAGGATGCAATTGTTCGTCATGTTTCCAGTAGAATCTGGCAAAGCCGTCGTGTCCTTCAACTTGAGGTTCACTAACATCGAAAGGCATGTCCATAAGACGTTCTTCTTCTAACCTCTCTAGTCTGTTTGGATAATTGGCACGTGCTGTTTCCAAATCCATTTCGTAGCGAAGACCAGACAATTTGTCATAGACTTTTATGTATGGCAGTCCCAACGGGAACCGCGGTAATTTACCGAGGTTTCCGCACACCGGTTCCTTTTTTTAGGAATTTTTTAGATTAAAAAATATGCTTTGTAAATCATTTTTTGTAAATCGGCAAAAATTTGGAAATATTCTGACGACAATAAATCTGGGAATAGTATTTTAAATACGAGAACAACCTATTTAAAAGTGTTTCGCTCGATTTTGTATAATTTCAAATTTTCGCATATAGCTTTCCGTGAATTACCGTGATTTTACCGCCACATCAATAGTTTACGACACTTTTTCCGTAAATTGAGTAGTTTACTGCACTTTTTCCGTAAAATTGAGTTACGGGAATCCGTAAGATTACCGTACCTCACTTCTAGTTGAAATAGCATTAGTATATAATAAATAGATATATTATTCATATTTTTGATTTTGAATTACGGAAAAAGTGAGTTCAGAACTTCCAATTATTATTTGATTAATTATGTTAAAAATACTATAAGGAATTAAAATACATAATGTTGAAATTTGAATTACGGAAAAAGTGAGGGTGAAAGTGAAGTGAAAAAGTAAGATATTTTTTGTTGAAATAATCATAGTTGTACAATTTTGAAACTATATGTAAAGCTATAAATTGAATAAATTCAAAAACAAAAATTGTTTATTCTTATTAATAAATTTATATTAATCAATATTTGAACAACCCGTAATTAAAATTGAATTCCTCTTAAAATTTAATCCATACGTTAATTTTTAATTTGCTCGGCGAATGCCGAGCTTCCTACTTCTCTTGTCATTCCTTCAAAAACTCTAATCTCATCGCACTTACAAATATCATGATTTGATGTATTGTCGAGAAATCTTAGACTTGTTTTCATTTGATTATAGCATTTGAAAGTCATCTCGAAAATCGATTAACAAGACAATTTCCCAAACATCTACATACAAGTAGATGATGGTAAACCCATTAGAGTTGTTTTGCTATGATTCCTCCAATCTTATGATGAGAAAAAATCATATCAAAACAGCTCTAATCGAACATTTTACACAGCTTAGCATCCAGCTAGTTCCAAGTAATGCGATTACAACATCAACGGCCAAAGCCTTTCAGAGTCCTTTAATCATTTCTTCTCATCTCAATGTGAAGTGGCCCCAAACGAACTACAAGCTGACGTTACAACGCATTACAACCCGGTTAATACGAGCATATACATTAGAGCTGCTTTGTTATGATCTCCCTCATCAATTGATGAGAGATCTCATTATGAAGCAGCTCCAATCGAACTAAAAACCTACATACAAATGAGTGAAAACAAACTCATTAGAGTTGTGTTGCTTTGATTTCTCTCATCAGAAGATGAGAGATACCAGAACAAAACAACTCTAATCAAACTTTCTACACAACTCAGCACAGTATCAATGCAAAGTAATGCGTCTGTATCGTTAACAAGCAAAGTTGTTTCGGGTCCTTCCATTTTGGAAGAATTCGGAACAACTTTGCGAATTGATAGTGTAAACCCATATACATGAAAGCGTGCATGCATAAAGACAGGTATTGTCAGCAATGACTACCTGCCCAGCTATGAGTGATCAGAGAATTACCATCTCAGGCTTTTTGAGAACGTTTCAGCCAGGACCCTCGTATGTTGACTGTGAGAAAGGCATCCTTTATCTGAAATAGATGCTTTTCCAACAATCAAATTCGAAGATCTTCGACGTTGTTGTAAAAAGAGAAGGAGAAGGAAAGAAGAGGAAGGAGAGGAAGAAGGAAAGGAAAAGAAGAAGAAGAAAAAAGAAAAAAAATAAAAAAAAGAAGGACAGATAAAATATAATGCGCACTTAATAGTGCCGAGGCGGCGGAGCCGCCGAGGCGCGATTTTTTTGACCCTATATTACCGCACGGCAATGTTTTTCTCGATTTTGTACAGCCCTACTTTTATGGGTCTTCCCTTCCTATATTTAAAATTCTTCGAAACTCTCCAACCATATCTTTGTAACTCTGCTTTTATTCTAGCAGACTTTCTATCCATTCTATATGGGGGCATTTTTATAAAAATAAAAAAATATTTTTTTCTTTACTTTACATAACCGCCTGCTGCCATAAGTCTTTGACGCCAACCCATACCAGCTAATGAAGGTTGACTTGGTTTAGTTTGGAAACTAAACTTTGGTTTTGGTTTATCTTCAGTTTTTGGTTTTTCTTCTTCTATCGGTTTTTCGTCACTTTTCGGTTCCTCTGACTTTACTTCACTTGCAGGAACAGTTGTGTCGTCAACATCTTCATAAATATCATATGCCATTTGTTTTTTGTTTTCCTTTCAACTTTTGTGTTTGTTGTAAAGTTTAGAATATTTCGACTCTAAGTCAATGAGATGTTCAATAATGAACTGTTGGTCAGTGAAGTAAACTTTTCCATCTGTTGTCTCGAAAGCTCCTTCAGACTTCAATATTTTATTTGTGAGAGTCTGTTTCTTTTTTGAGATACTAGCCGTTCCATTTTTATGAAAAGTGACTTTATAGTTAGGGTTTGTATTTCCAGACCTGGCACTTTCTATTATTGAATTTTTCTCTTCATCTGTAAGTTCTTTGACAGGTTTTGACAATGGTTCTGAACTTTTTGTTTGTGGTGTCAAATCTACCGTTTCAACTTCTTCGGTCATTTCATCTCAGTAAAAAATTTTAATTTGGTTTGTTTTCAACTGGTTGTTGTTGTGGAGGTGGGATGGTTCCTTTAATAATATCATTCAGTTTCACATGCTGACCTGACTATATGGTATCGGTTTAAATGCTGGAAGCCGACAAATCCATCTTGAACTCATTTGTCTCAATGCTGCATTGTTCATTTCATCTCAATAAAAAACTTTACATTCCCCACGTTTGAGGCGGTTGAGGTTGGTTATTGTTTACCCACTGTTGTGCATGGTTATATCCTCTGTTAAAGAATCTTTCACCTTGGTCCATATAGTGTCCTGCTTGTTATAGTAGTCATTTGCTTTGTTATAATAGTTTCCTGCTTGTCTTCCTACATTGTCCATCCATCCTTGAACTTTTCCTCTTGTTTCAGGATTTGGAATAAGATTTGTTGCATCTCGTGCTACATCCCAACCTTTCTGTACAGTTTGTATAATAGGTTGTGTTTTCTCTTTCAGTATACCTAATGTACTCAAAATCTTCCTTCCAATTCCAAATGCACCTCTGGCTATTGTTCCCACTGCGGGTAAAAATCTAGATGCGACTCCTGCTAATGCGCCAAATAAACCCATTTCTTATAGGGTAAAAAATGACGAATCCGAACAAGGACCCCTATGTTTCTTAAGCGACAAAGAAAGCACTCATGATAAAAATCTTTAGTTCAACACCAAATGCTTGGTTTATGGATATCTTGAAAACATTCCGAGGTATAGAGAAGATGGACCACCATACTGGTTAATATTTGTTGGTCAAAACACAAGATACTGTGAAGCCATACCATTACAGTCCAAAGCTATTTTAGATATCTTAGCAGCTTTGACAATATTCGTTGACAAATACCATCCAACAAAACTGACATCTGACTGTGAAAGTTCTTTCAAATCAGATGATGTAAAAACTATCTGCGTTCAAAAATGTAAACCAATATTTCATTGTCGACCAAAACCATTCTGCTCTTGGTGTCATTGACGGATGTATAAAAATGTTAAGAGACTTAAACCAACCACAAGGTGGTGAAGCAAATGAAATGTCATATGACGACAAGTATAGACACTTCTCCATGGCAAAGATGAGACAAGTTTTAAATATTTACAATAACCGTAAACAAAAAGGTTTGGGAAACCACTCCCCGAAGAAATGAAAAACAACCCTGACTTAGAGAAAGACTATATATTTAATAATTTAGTCAAAAGAGACAAACAAGAAAGAATGCCGGCTTCAAACTTCAGAAAGGTGACAAAGTAAAAATAGAAATACCTAAACGCGACCCATATGAAAATACTATTGACTATGACAACAATGGGAACCCGACAGGTACTCACATTCGTGTTCGTAAAAATAGAAGAAAGTATACAAGAGAATATTATGAAGTTTTAGGCAAACATGGCAAAATGTACAGACTGCAAGCAGAAGATAAAACTACTATTGCCAGACCTCGTTTCAAACTTGTCAAAGTTCAAGGTGGTATACTTTCAAAGACAGTTCCTAACAAATATAAGACAACTCCAGACGAATATGCTAAAGAAGTTGAAAATGACGACTAAGCAATTCTATACCATGCGTAAACTGTCATGTAAGGTGGCATGTATTCTTTACTTTGTCCCGTTGTTTGCGTATATCCTGAAACGAATGTGTATGGTTTCCTTCTCCCTGAGTGTCACTCCAGTAACAATTTATAGCAAACTTAACGTCGTCTTTAACATCATATCCTTTACCCTTTTGTCATTCCTGACCAATCCCAATATCTATGCTTATGCCAACCTGCTTGAGATGTACTTAAATCTATGTAATGACTGTGTGCAGGTAAATTTTCACCTGAAATCGTTTTACTTCCACCTGTTTCCTTTGAAGAGTTTGCACAATACAAAAACCTGTCGACTATTTGTTCCCATGCACCAACACCAAACATTACTTGAGGACCTCTTGCATCCATAGATGTATAAATAGAACCTACTGGGTTCATTAAATCAAACATATGAGATATTATAGGATTGTCTCTTTTGAACTTAAAATATAGTGCAACTATTTCAGGTTTTTCTGGTTTGTGTCAGAATATTTTTATAATATAATCTTATGTTTTCAGGGTAGGTAAAATCTTGACTATAATATTTATTTCTGTCATCTGTATAATAATATACTATTCTCGTTTTTTCTATTGCATTATATCTTTTATATCTATAATAATCTAAATATAATGTTAGCTTTTGTTCATCTACATGTGGTGTTCTGTCGTCATCTCCATAGTCATAATAATGTGGTGCTGGAGCTGGGTCAGGCAATGTCATATCTGCCATTTCATAAACTCTTAAATATTTCTTTTGTTCGTCTCCATATAAGTTTAAGTAGCAGTTGTTGTCTAATGGAACTTTAACTTGTGTACCATCATTCTTTTTATAGCTTACATACATTTCATTGTTATTTTTCGGAATGAGTTTATACCGTGTACCATTTTCTAAGGACTGTACCAACTGCCATCTAAAATATTTATTTTCTTCATTGACAGAAAAGTCACCAACAATAGTTTCAATATTTTTTGTTCCTATCAAACTTTGGTATATTTCATTGACATATGTTTTATCTGCTTTATTTTCAAGGCTAACGTTTAAGTCTGTTATTTCAGAAATGTATGTGTATGTCCAACGGCACTTTTCCTGTTTAAGGTTTCTTGTAAGTTTGTAATATTTGCAATGGTATGTGTATGTCCAACGGCACTTTTCCTGTTTAAGGTTTCTTGTAAGTTTGTAATATTTGCAATGGTATGTGTATGTCCAACGGCACTTTTCCTGTTTAAGGTTTCTTGTAAGTTTGTAATATTTGCAATGGTATGTGTATGTCCAACGGCACTTTTCCTGTTTAAGGTTTCTTGTAAGTTTGTAATATTTGCAATGGTATGTGTATGTCCAACGGCACTTTTCCTGTTTAAGGTTTTCTTGTAAGTTTGTAATATCAGATATAGAATGTGTATGAGTCTTATCTGCTTTTGTCTCTAATGTTTCCTTAAAGACTTGGTATTTGGTTAATATAATGTATATGAGTCTTTTTAGAATATTCGTTTTCAGCTCTTGTCACTTCACTTGACATTTTATTGTCAACATATGTTTTGTCTGCTAGTTCAGGATGAGTATGTTCTTTTGTTGCATAAGCATTGTTAGCTCTTTCTTCTTCTTTTGCTATTGCATCGTCTACATATTCTTTGTCAGCTTTGTTGTCAACATCTGCTTTCAAAAGAAGTTCATTTATAGGTTTCTCGTTTAAAGTTCCTTCTGTTGGATTTATACAGACAGTATTGTTCTTATTGTCTTGAAATAGAAACTCATCTGTTATAGGGTTTATTGTCAGTTTTAAGTCACCCCCTTCAATGACTCAGATATCTTAGAAAAGTTTGAAAAGTTTGTTGTGTTCTTATTTAGAGCTTGCATAATGAGTTGTCGGTTGTGTTGTATTTCTCTCATAGACGCTGTTTCATTTGACATTTTTTATTATAGATAAAATATGCTTCCAATAGAAAAAAGAAAATTCTAGAGTTGCTACAACTAAACATTAGATGAACTTTTTTACTAATGTCGGTCAAAAGTTTGAGACAGATACGTAAAGCATGAAGGCTATCGTTTTGACTACCCATTAAGATGGCTAAGAGACCCATCTGTCACAAAAGCTATTGGCTTTCGAAGAATAAAGTTTGTATCTGTAGAAGATAAAAGTTTTCCATTTATTGTAAGGTTTCATATAGATTATACATCTGAATGGCAACGAAAAATGTGGGAAGAAATTGAGCTAATACAAGTTGACCTCTCATCTTCTCTACAGGCTGCATTAAAAAATATAGAAGATAAAATAAATTCATGTTATGCAAAATATGCTGATGAATATGCGAATACGATAGCACACTTTATGTGAGAATTGGTATATGACAAACAAAATTCACAAGTGTCATTTCAAATCTACGAAGACAATCCAAATAAAGACGAACAAATATATATATACAGAATTCACTGCAATGTCATGGTATTATTTGCAAAGAAATGTAAATCAGAAAGTTGAACCTCCTTTAGCAAATATCTACAGTCGATATGCAAGAGATGAACCATATTTATTTAAAAGATGTTTTCGACCAAGATGCTGTGATAGTTCATGCTTCATTTTTCTGGCGCCCAAACTCTTTCTTATGCTTGGCAAATGACTTTTACGAAAAACCTACAAAGTTATACGAACCACCAAGTGGAAGTATTTCAGACTTTCAAGTATGGTTTACTACAGATGGAAGAAAAAGAATAATTCCATTATACCATGCGTTTACTTAGAACTTAGTTTCATATACAACTACTATCGAACGGTAAAAATATAATTTTTTTAATATACCGTTGTGGTTTGCCAACTTGACTGTGGTGCAGGTTCAGGCTGTTGTATAACAGGAGCTTGTTCTTCTGGTTCAGGGTCTTTAGTATAATACCAACAAACTGACCTACTCTTTTACCAAATATTTTTGACTCCGTTCCATACTCCTCTTCCGACAGATTTTATTCCATTCCATATACCTCTTCCAACATTTCGAAAGAAGTTTCCTATCTTACTGAAGAAACCCATTTTACTATATGTAAAAATCTAATGTCCGCCTCGTCTCTTACGTTTCCTGTTGAGTTCTAGCATTCTTTAACTGGAGCTCAATACATTCTGTTTCTCCTCTGGTAGAAAAATATTCTGGGTCAACTCCTGTGTTCGCATCATCTGCAGTAAAGTTGTTTATATCCCACTTCAGGTTTGTATAAAACTCTTTCCATCTCATATTTGCATACCATTGTGGCAAACCTACGCAGCGTCATTTGACATGGCAGTTTTGCATTTGTACATCTGTTGGCACTTGACCATAGTTTGCCATTGCAGTTTGTATTCTACTTCATTTGGAATATTCTCTGGGTTTTGGTGTCCAGGTTGCTGTGCATTCGCTAAGTTCTGTGCGTCCATTTAATATTAGATAAAAATACTCTTACGAGTACATATGCTGAACATTTGCAGGCATTGGTTCATCTTCATATTCTCTGTACTTTTCTGCCACGTCAAATAAATAATGACACAATGGAAAAAACCTTAAAACAAGTAGTCCTATTTCAAACACACATTTACTTACTAATAAAATTTCTTTATTGTGACACTTTCTCCAGTTTATAGGACCTCTCTCATATTCTATTTGTCATATATAAACTCATAGTCATGTATGTCCTCTAACCATCTCATAACGGTTTCCAAACCACTTTTATCGATGTAAAGTAAAAGCATGGATGGTTATAGTATACGTCTAAAGTTTCTAAAGAGTCTCTCAAAGTCCAGTCTACTTGGTATTGGAAAATCCCATGTGTTATAGAACGCGGGTCCACTATAAGAAACATTTTCCTTGTCTTTATATTTTTCATACAACTCTGTCCAATGACATCTCACAAACTCTATACCCTCAATATATTTTTCTATGTCCTCTTTGAAAACATTTGTATAGTTAAGATATAAAACTTTTGACATAAGTGTTTCAATGTCATGAACTCTTATAGCACCACTATATAATAATCTAGCAGATATACTATCCCAGTCTATATATTCTGCTTTTTTCAAAACCTCTCTCACAATATTTTTCTTATCTAATGGTATACGTTCCATCTTACCTATAGGTATCTTTTCTTTTAACTCTTTCAATATATTGTTTGTGTCTGGAATATGTTTGAGACGGTCCATATAGTTGTCGAAGTCATTGCATATAATCTTTGAGTCAGGAAATACGGTATGACATAAATGGGATATATAGAAACTTCCACCGAACAAATCTACAAATGTTAGACCATTCGGTAGTTTCTTAAGTTCTCTCAATATAATATCTTTACATCTACTCTTATTTCCAAAGAACGGTAACGGTGGTTTTGTAAAATTCATTTATATATAATAATAAAAATGTTTTTACCCAAAAAGTGACAGAAAAGTGACAAAATATGAAAATATATATAATTTGTGAAAAGTGACATAAAAAGTGATATTTAAAAAAGTGACACCATTAATATGATGTAAATAACAACGGTTTTGGTTTTGTCACCGGCTGGTCGGCTGGGGTTCGGTCCTCCTCTTGGGTCTTGGGCAAAATTTCTTATGGGCTAGAGGGCGCAACGCGCCTGGAAGCCCTCCGAATAAAAACTTCATTTATACTAAACATCTTCGGGGCTAGAGGGCGCAACGCGCCTGGAAGCCCTCCGAATAAAAACTTCATTTATACTAAACATCTTCGGGGCTAGAGGGCGCAACGCGCCTGGAAGCCCCACTACCTTTTTTTGGGTCATATCAAGAAATACATTGCTTGCTGCCTATGAAAAATCCGGTTTACAAAAACCGAAAATTCCCAAAGGACCCAAACCGGATGAACTCGATCCCAAAGATATTCAGATGGTATTAGATCAGTACCAAAAATACCATTGTGGAATCCAAAAAATGTACTGGCGTCTCAATATGGATCTGTCAAAGTACTCAATTTCCAACAATACGGTTAAACGGATTTACTCCCTCTTAAATTTGAAGCAAGAAAAATCTGATCGTCCCTCCGCCAAATATTACACGCCTTACGAAGCTGTATTGCCAAACACTATTTGGCATGTTGATATCCATTTTTTATATGGAGCTCAGCATCTTCCAGTTTACGGAATAATCGACGATAAAAGTCGATTTTTAATTGCTCTCAAATTATTACCGTCCAAAAGTTCCAAAGAAACAGTTAAGGTTGCTCAAGAAGCAATAAGCCAACACGGAAAACCGTTTTGTTTTTGGTCGGACAATGGCGGAGAAAATAACGGATTATTTACATTGTGGCTCTCAAGAAATTACATCGAAATTCGCCACACATTACCACACATGCCACGCCAGAATGGCAAAATTGAACGTTTGTGGCCAACCCTCGAGAGAAATATTCCACATTCAGATAACCACCAAAACATTCAAAAGTTATTGGATGAATTCAAAAATTTATACAATTCAATTCCTCACAAAACTCTGCCATCAAATGGTTTTCGCCCAATGACACCACAAGAAGTTTACACAAGTATACCCAAATGGAACAGAACAAAGAAGGCCGAATGGTTGGTGACAAGAAACGGTCATCAAACTAAACAAGAAATTCCATCCCATTAAGGGTGCACCCGCATGTACGTTTATTTGAGAGTAGGAGGATTACCCTCTCAATTTTGAATGCTTCGTTAGCGCAATATCTCGATGAATATTGTATTAAAATTGAATTTGCCCATACCAATATATCTGATACAATATCCTTAAGTTTTACTAAAAAGAATTTTTTAAAATCTCTGCAGATTCGGGGATTTTTAAATTTTTTGATTTTTTTCGCAAATTTTTCGAAAAAAAATATTTTCAGAAGAGCCTTAACGGCTAAGTTTTATGTTTAATGTTGAGTATCAAAAAGAATAGGCGTCTGATATAGCCATCATATATCCCAGAAGCAAATAAAAATTCTGACCTTTTAAGCATAAAAAAATGAAATTTTATTTTTTGCAAAAAACAGGCCACCCGGATGTACGTTTATTTGAGAGGAGGAGGATTAAATTTTTGAAAGCAGTAAAATTTGTAAATATTCTAGTTATATAATAATATGTATTATTTTAAAAAATAAAAAATTAAAGCACGTTAAATTTTTTTTTGATGAATTTTTACAAAAGCTACTTAGGATTGTTGCATGCTAAGATCAGTCATAATGTAAACCTCTCAATTTTATTGTCGTGGGAAGTATCTCAATTCCTTCAAAAAATTGAAAAACTATTTAATTTTAAAAATATAATACTTTTAATTAGTTAATTAATTGGAGATATTTTTTAAAAATCACTTTTGATAATACTTTTGAGAACTTTAATTAAAAAAATATATTCAAAAATATCCAGGATATCAAGAGGGAATTGTTCCTTATGAGGTATATAGTTATGATGTATACCTCATAAGGAACAATTCCCTCCTTAAAACGAGAAAACTTGTTCGAAATTGTTTATCATTTCGAACAAGTTTTCTCGTTTTTAATAAGAAACTAAAGGCTATGAGGCATTGATTATATATTAGTGCCTCACAGCCTTTAGTTTCTAATAGATAGCTGGGAAACTTTCTCCAAATGATAAGTTATTCAGAGAAAGTTTCCCAGCTATCAAGAGGGAATTGTTCCTTATGAGGTATATAGTTATGATGTATACCTCATAAGGAACAATTCCCTCCTTAAAATCGTAGACATTTTTATACTTATTAATCAACCATTCAAAATCATATTCCTCTGAAAAGTTATTTTATTAAAAATTTAGAATTTTAATAAATATAGAGTTTGAATTTCATACAATACCTATATATTTTCAATAATGGAATTTGAAAACCATTCTCAAAAGTTCTCAGAAAACCTTTTTTTCATTAATTTTAAGAAATCTGAGTATTAAATTAAGTGATAAATTCGTTTGACACTACTTTAATTTTTAAATTCAAAAAATTATATGTGCTTCTTAAAATGACTCAAAAAAATTTTATTATAAAATAATATATAATATTAAAAATCCCACAACATTTTTTACTTTACATAATCGTACTTCCTCGACGATTAATTTCCACTCAATTTCTATCGTTGACCGAACTTAGCATGCAACAGGATTATGCAAAATATAGTAATTAAACATAAATTTCAAATCAGATTTTACTTATGATAAATATTTTAAATTTCCGAAAATTAAGTTCAGATCGACTCGATACGTTGTAATTACTAAATAAGGTGCCAAAAACCTATTAAACAGTATCAAAACTATCAAGATTGTAATGTTTTTGAAGAAAAATTTATAGAATTATGAACTTCAAACAGATATTATGTAAATAAAAATAATATAATGGATTTGTTTATTCGTATAATAGCAGCAATAAGTCGATTATTCACTTCTACTTCTGAGATTTGAATTTAATTTCGACAGAAAAAGAGATTCAAGAGGAAAATACTAGGGAATACAAACTGCCACCATGACAGGATTATTATGGAGCCAAGTTGTACTTTTTGATATTTTTAGAGTTTTACTACCTATTTAGGTACCAAGTAATTGCTTAAAAATTAAGGTTCTAAATTCTGAAGTTTACATGATCCTCCCGGGCGCACCCTTAAATTCGAATAAAATTTTAATTTTAATTTTAATTTTTTTTTAATGTGTAAGATATTCATCGTTTAGTGATTTGAGATTCTTTAAATAAAGTGAAAAAACAAGAAATAGAATAAATTTGTATAAAACCGAAATGAGATTAATTGAAAAATATTGAAAGATAGTATTGAAATCTCAAAAAATCTAAAATTTTTAAAAATTGTGAGAAAAAATATGAAGTTGGGAGCTATGAGGCGCTGATCTAGAATCAGCGCCTCATAGCTCCCAATTTCTCCTATAAAATGCTTATATTTTGCTTTAAATATGCAAAAATATGAGGGAAGTTTCCTCGCTTTTTTTCTGTAAATTGCTCCATGTTAAGCATGTGTATCAATTATATGCTTCATAAGGAACATTTTTCATTTACAAACTCTAAAGCTTGGGCGTAATGCTTTCAAATTGCGTCTGAATTTTTGAGTTTGTAAATGAGAATCCGAGTCTGCGAGGTACTGAATCTGGTTCAGTACCTCGTAGACTATAATTCCTGGTGGAAATGGGAGAAACTTTAGGGAAATATGTTGGCATTTCCCTAAAATTTCTCCCATTTAGAGTCGGAATTGGAGGGTGGGAGGAACATAGATAGACTTTGTATCTCTCACCCTCCAATTCCCTCGGGAAAGTCCGAAAACTCGGTCGCAATCAGATGCAATTGCGACCGAGTTTTCGAACTTTCTATTAGGAATAGGAGCCTACAAAGCACTGATTATATATCAGTGCCTGGTAGGCTCCTATTCCTTCTCTGAAGCTGGGAAATTTTGTCTGAATAGTTTAACATTTGGACAAAATTTCCCAGCTTCAGAGAGGGAATTGGAGGGTGAGGGGCATATAGGCATACTATATACCTCTCACCCTTTAATTCCCTCGGGAAAGTCCGAAAACTCGGTCGCAATCAGATGCAATTGCGACCGAGTTTTCGAACTTTCTATTAGGAATAGGAGCCTACAAAGCACTGATTATATATCAGTGCCTGGTAGGCTCCTATTCCTTCTCTAAATGGGAGAAACTTTGTTTGAATAAGATAACATGCGAACAAAGTTTCTCCCATTTAGAGTGGGAATTGGGGGTGGGAGGTACATAGATAGACTTTGTATCTCTCACCCTCCAATTCCTTCGGGAATGTTCGAAAACTTTGGTGCAATCACCAACGATTGCACCAAAGTTTTTGCGTTTAATTGAAGGAATTGCTCTTTATGATATATACAGTTACAATGCATATATCATAAGGAGCAATTCCTTCCAGATATCTGGCAAACTTGCTCGCAATGGTTCACAATTGCGAACAAGTTTTGTCATTTGTCAAGAGGAATTAAACCCTGCGAAGCGCCAGTTCTAGACTGGTACCTCGCAGGGTTTAATTTCTCATATTGGTAGCTTTTTATGTTTTTATATTAACAATAACTCATGAAAAAGATTTGCTTATATAAGAGGAAACTCTCTATCAGAGGTGCTGAATTCATGCATTCGCATCTGATAGAGAGTTTCCTTTTATATAAGCAAATATAAGAGAATCTATTTTTTTTTGGAGCGTATTCTCAAATATTGTATACTTATGAAAAGTGTTTTTTTCTAAAAATCTCAGAATATATTTACAATAGTAAAATAAATAAGATATTTAAATTTATTTTTAAATGCTTTTTTTTATATGAGATTCTCAAAAGTTATATCAAAAGTCTGTTTTTTCTAAAATCTAATATCATAATCTATTTCTCATTTTAACTACATCTTAATTCATTTTATTTTCTATATTTTTTCAATATTTTTGAGGGAATTGTGTTGCTTCCTCGATGAAAAAAATTGAGAGGTTTACACATTGACACTACTTAGCATGCAACAATTGTGATTTATTTGCTCTGTAATAAACAGAAATTCATCAAAAGTGACAGCTCTCAATTTTTTGACATTTGTAAATTCTAAATTGAATGAGAAAAATGAAATAATACTAAGCATAATACAATATTCTAGATTTAATTATAATTAGGAAAAAGTTAGTTTTGAGAGTACTTTTCATAGGCATATAGAATGAAATCTTCTGAAAAATAATATCACATAAACTCATATTATTTTCTAATATATAACTATTTTATATAAAAATCAAATTCAATGATCTTAAAAGCGAAGGATAAACCTCAAAATTTACGAATATAATGGGTGGGAATATAATGCTTATCTATCATAAAACCATATGAAATATCAATTTTTGCTTTACGCCTAATTTTTGACGACAATTAGCAAAAAATGTTAAATGTTAACACTCAGTCCATTTGAATATGAAAAATAAAATTGACTTTGATTAAATGTTTTTATTTATCATGCAATTCTTCTTGCGACCAAAGATTTGAATAAAAGTTCAAAAAATAAGATAGCTTAAAAAATAATATACGGTAGTGTTTACTAATAGATGAATAGTATATAAATTCTATTAAAATGGATTTGATCCAAAAAAATATATAAAATTTGATCATAAATAAAATCGTTTTAAATTACTTCTTCATTTAAATTATAACAATTATTTTTGGTTTTATATTTTTTTGGATCAAAATCCATTTTAATAGAATTTATATACTATTCATCTATTAGTAAACACTACCGTATATTATTTTTTAAGCTATCTTATTTTTTGAAATTTTATTCAAATCTTTGGTCGCAAGAAGAATTGCATGATAAATAAAAACATTTAATCAAAGTCAATTTTATTTTTCATATTCAAATGGACTGAGTGTTAACATTTAACATTTTTTGCTAATTGTCGTCAAAAATTAGGCGTAAAGCAAAAATTGATATTTCATATGGTTTTATGATAGATAAGCATTATATTCCCACCCATTATATTCGTAAATTTTGAGGTTTATCCTTCGCTTTTAAGATCATTGAATTTGATTTTTATATAAAATAGTTATATATTAGAAAATAATATGAGTTTATGTGATATTATTTTTCAGAAGATTTTGTGTTCTTCTTCAAAATTTTATTTTTTTTTATTAAAAAGAATCTTTACAAAATATATATTTACTTTAATTAATATTTAAAAACGTGCTCTATCAAAAGTTCCAAAAATTCAATATTTTAGCTTTTCTGAGGTGTCACTTTTGATGAATTTCTGTTTACAACAGCTCAAAATACATTCGAAAATGGCTGAAAAATGAAAATATTATGCAGTTTTTGCAAATTTAATTTTTTTCTTTGGTTAAAATTGTTTCGTAACCATATACTTTAAAATCCAGTTAGTGTTATAATTAGTTTGAACATCAAATTGATATACCTTATTTTGAGAAAAAAATGAATGGATTTTAATTTACCGTATTGATTTAATGAAACTGTAATCGGATTTGATCTGAAGACGATAAACTTTGCCAACTCTGACTGTCAAAACGCTTCTTTTGAATATAATTCAAATGAGATCTAATTAAAATAATTGCATATGTCATTAACTAACGATATTGATCGGTTATCTTTTCAATGACTAAATCTATACAAACCGTCAAGATCAAAAATTTAAATGCTCGCCTTTGTTGCTTGCATTAGGACAACCTATCCATATAGGTATCCAGTTTATCGCTATGACTTAAACGAGGAAGAAGACGAGAACTGGAAGAAGGTCTTCCATACAAGATATGGTGACTTCGAGCTCGACTTCGACTGGAACTCTGCTGAAGAGGAAGACGAGAACTGGAAGAAGATCTTCCACACAAGATATGGTGACTTCGAACTTGATTTTGACTGGAACTCCGCTGAAGAAGAAGAAGATGAGAACTGGAAGAAGATCTTCTATACAAAGTATGGCGATTTCGAACTTGACTTCGACTGGAACTCTGCTGAAGAAGAAGAAGACGAAAACTGGAAGAAGATCTTCCATACAAAGTATGGCGACTTCGAACTCGATTTCGACTGGAACAGTGAAGAGGAAGAAGATGAGAACTGGAAGAAGGTCTTCCACACAAAGTATGGCGACTTCGAACTCGATTTCGACTGGAACGGCTACGAGTACAACGAAGAAGAGTACGATGATGACAACCTCAGATTCGGCATTTACTACCACCTTCCAAAGGGCTGGGGCAAGCTCGGTCTCTCATATGAACGCAATGAAGAGGAATATGATGACGACAACCTCAGATTAGGCCTTTACTACCGCCTTCCAAAGTCATGGGGCAAGATTGGCATCTCATACGAACGCAATGAGGAAGAATACGACGATGACAACCTCAGACTCGGCCTCTACTACCATCTTCCAAAGTCCTGGGGCAAGATCGGTATCTCCTACGAGCGTAACGAAGAGGAATACGATGATGACAACCTCAGATTCGGCATTTACTACCATCTTCCAAAGGGCTGGGGCAAGATCGGTCTCTCATACGAGCGCAATGAAGAGGAATACGATGACAACAAGTTCGTTCCAAAGCCATGGATCATCCCTCCATTCGTTACACCATACTACGCCGAGTACAACGACTACGAGGAGTACGATGATGACAACCTCAGATTAGGTGTCTACTACCACCTTCCAAAGTCCTGGGGAAAGATCGGTATCTCCTACGAGAAGTGAAGATTAATTAAATAATTTTTCTTCAATAATTAGGTTTTTATTTCTTTTTTAATCATATATTTTTAGTCTCGTGGTTTTTCTTCTTTAAATTTATTTTTTCAAGTCTCTCTGACGAAATGCTTTTGTTCCACATGCTTGTTTATAATTTGTTCTTTACGCCTCATTACGAAATTAAATGAAATCTTTTCAATCAACAATGAAGCATTTCCTTAAATGATCCATATCCAGATAAAAGACCATCAACCTCTGAACTTCTTGATAGCCTTAATAATGTTATGAACGAACTCAATATTTCCAAGCACCTGTTAAAATTTATTAGAAATCAGTTCCAGCAAGGAATCTTATTCTATCTCTTACTAGAAAGATAGTTACTCCTTTTAAGCTTAGAAAAATCGAAGCTCTTTGATTAAAATTTGAATGTTTATTGTATTAATTCTTGATTGATATTCAAATATCAATGTATTTCTCAAATACTCTAAGTTATTTTGAATTACGATTTTTAATTTTATATCCAAACTGATTTATTTATTGGCAATTAAATAAGATACAAGTAAACCATTAGTGGACCAATTTTCAGGATTTTTATCACTGAAAACCAAGTATATACGATTTGCTGCAATTCCGTGGGATACAAACCATTCTGTGATTGCTTTGGCAACTTTCTTATTGTTTTCATTGTTAACACCACCAACTGCATTGATTTTAACAAATGCGGCATTATCTTCCGATCCTGCAAATCTTATGGACACATCATCTTCAAAAACAATCATTACTGCGTTCTCAGGCTTGTTTTGCTGAGCAGTAGGGTTGTACAAACTGGCACGCCTGCTGGCACACCTTTTTTGGCCAGCTGGCACGATTTTTTTAAAAAACACATTAAAAAAGTCACTTTTTGCCCCATCTAATGAGATTTTTTTTTACAATTTTTTCCCCTTATTTTTCAATTTAGATATGATTTTAAGCTCTCCAAATTGAAGTTTACCTGATGTTTCTTAGTTTTTATGATAATAAAATGTTGCAAAGTTGAGTTTGGATTCAATAAATTTAAGAAAATTTTATTTTACAATGAAATTATAAGAAAGGATGTTTTTATCCTATATCAAAGAGAATACATTTGTAGATCCCGACTTTTGACATGGTTGAAAATTCCAAAAAAAAATTCAAAATTTAAAAAAAAAATTAAAAAATATAAATTTCATGTTAAAAAATGATTTTTGAAATTTTTTTGGAAAAATAGAATGTCATATTTTTATGTTTTATTGCTATTTTTTACGAAATCAATAAAATATTTGTTAATTTGGCTGAGATTATAAATAAAATCTTTCTAAATCTTGCAATTGATTGCTAAAATCTGTTTTATGTATTAATTGGCATTGAGATTCGTTATAAAAGAATGCGAATTATTTTGTATGAGTAAACGTATTTTGTAAAATTTCAAATTCTCTTCTCTCATTACTTACCTTAGATCTCTCGGCTTTTAGCTCTCAGATTTCGCTCATAGAACTCAGGTTTTAGTTATGTACTCATAGATGTATCATTACTGCCCGCAGATCTCTCATTACTACCTTACTAACCAGATCTTAACTCTCATTACTACCTTACTAACCAGATCTTAACTCTCATTACTACCTTACTAACCAGATCTTAACTCTCATTACTACCTTACTAACCAGATCTTAACTCTCATTACTACCTTACTAACCAGATCTTAACTCTCATTACTACCTTACTAACCAGATCTTAACTCTCATTACTACCTTACTAACCAGATCTTAACTCTCATTACTACCTTACTAACCAGATCTTAACTCTCATTACTACCTTACTAACCAGATCTTAACTCTCATTACTACCTTACTAACCAGATCTTAACTCTCATTACTACCTTACTAACCAGATCTTAACTCTCATTACTACCTTACTAACCAGATCTTAACTCTCATTACTACCTTACTAACCAGATCTTAACTCTCATTACTACCTTACTAACCAGATCTTAACTCTCATTACTACCTTACTAACCAGATCTTAACTCTCATTACTACCTTACTAACCAGATCTTAACTCTCATTACTACCTTACTAACCAGATCTTAACTCTCATTACTACCTTACTCACCAGATCTTAACTCTCATTACTACCTTACTCATCAGATCTTAACTCTCATTACTACCTTACTCATCAGATATCTAATTATTTACATATGATTTCTCACATCTCACTCAAGTCTCATTACTTACCCTATCTTTTTAACCTTTTCTGATAATTACTGAAATAACTAAATCCTTTTTTTAGTTTAATTCTGATATTAAATTTTTAAAATCTCTTTAATTTTTTGAACTACGCCTTTAATTTGTAATTGCCGATTTCACAGATTTGAACCATTTAATAAAATAACATTATTCAACTTAATCATATCAAACATGGTAGTTTGATTTTCAGATCTACATTTTAAAAACCTCTTTATTATCTTGAGTTATACTTTTATTATATAATACCTGAGTTCATAACTGAAAACTCTTAATTAGAGTACAATATTCAACTTAATCATAACAAGATTTGTTGAATTTCAAATTTGATTTATATCTTCCATCACTTAAAACTCTCACAGCTTACAATATAAGCTAAAAAGTATATTTTCATAGTAATAAAATTAATTATTAAATTTTTTACTTTTTCCTTTCCAAAACTAGAAAAAAAGGAAGGGAAAAGGGAAAAAGAAGAAAGAAAAGAGAAAAAGAAAAAAAAAAAGAAGAGAAAAGAAGAAAAAATAATAATGAGCATATTATATAATTGTGGTCATAGGCCGAGTGGCGTGGAAAGGATGTCACCCTTCGGGCTCCACCCTTTCCACGCCACGAGGCCCGATTTTTGGCCACTTTTTTGATTTTGGCCGCGTGCCAGCTCCTGGCAGGCGGCCCGCAAAATTGTGCCAGTTTGTACAACCCTACTGAGCAGCAATGATACTAACAAAATCTTTCATGGCAGCACTCTTTTCTTCTTTGGTGAATGCAGTATTGGTCTTTATAACCAAAGCAGGCATGCTAAAAAATGAGGTCTTTTTTCAATTAAATTTTCTGAGTAAAATTCGATACAATTGAGAGGATTATTCAATATAAATTTGAATTTTAATCACACGTTATTTTTTTTCATATAACCATACTAAGAAATGTTAAAAAAAAAGTAAAATCATGGAGAATCGGATGAGGAATATGAAATATATTTAGATGTAAATAAGTAATAATGTTACGATTTTGGAAATGATGGCCTAGAATTTTCAAAATTGAATTTGATTTAAGGTTCTTTCCTTCGAAGCTGTATCTGTTTTCGTCTTTAAAGTTTAATGTAGATACTGATCAACAGCCTTGATTCTTAGACTAACTATAAATAAGTTTGTAAGTATAATGAATCGAATTGGTCCGGTCATATAATGAAAAACTTATGATTGTATAAAAAGAAATAATTTATTTAGAAATAAGAGGGCCAAACAAAAACATTTTGATCTTTGAAGACGATTTTTGCTTCACGTTCTTAACTGAGAAAGCAAGGAACTCAAAATTATGGAAGATGTGATTAGATTCTTTTCCAAGATTGTTGATTCCAATAATTTTCATCTGATAAAAACCTTGTTCATAGCCATTAATATTAAGATCTATTTGATAGCTATATGACATCAATGTTTGTGTGATTTTTGCTGTTGTACTTCCAATTTCTGTGTTATTAATTGAAGCATGAATTGTTACATCATTTTCATCGTTTTCTTCAGCCAAATAATCAAGAACATAACCAAATACATTCATTTCATTTTGGAGATAATAGTAATTTCTCATTGGATTAACTTTAATTTCTGGAGGAGGATTTTCTGCCTCAACAATTATTGAAGAACAATTGCTCATGTTGTATTTGTTTGTCGCGCAAATTTTGATTTCATTCGATCCAACATTAAATTTTGTGGATAAAGGAATTTCAAAGTCTAACAACTCTAATGATTCTGAATCTATATTAAGAATAGTCCAATTAAGAATATCTCCTTGATAAGTTGCTGTTACATTAACATAACTATCTTCATTCTTTTCATAAACTTTGCATCGACAAATCAAATGAGAATCTTTGTATCTAGTAATTCTTGAGTTGTATTCTAAGATATCTAAATTAGGAGGAAAGTATTCATACTCACTATAAATAAACTCAATTTCTTTCGTTGTACACAGAAATTCTTCATAACATGTAGAAAAAATAAGTTTGTGAGTGCCAAATTGAATTGTTTCTGGAATAGGAATTTCTTCGATGAATGAATAGATTTCGCTTTTATGATTCAATGTTTTGAAATTATCTGGTTTTGAAACATTTGTATTATCAATATAATAATAAATAGAAACATTTGATTCATCAATTTGACCTGAAATGTTGTATGAAACAATAAGTTTGTCATTGTAGTATTGATAAAGATGATGCTTTTGAATTGTGAAATTCATATCTGGTTGTGATCCATAAATTTGAACAGAAATATCATCTTCAGAAAACTTATTTTCATCATTCGCTGCTGATACTCGAAATATAATTTGATTTGTACCAATATCAAAATTTTTAGTTATTGGAACTGAGATATTAATATCATCTTCATATAATGAATCTTTTGAATATGTTTTTTGAATGATAATGTATTGCTGTTCATTCATGTTGATGATATCATCATAGAAAAGATAAACGTTGATATTGATTTGCTCATAATAACAAACATGAACAACAAGATCAATTGATGAATCAACATATTTCGTATAATTTCGATCAACTTCATTCACATGAAATATTGGTTGATTTGGAAGCACAACAAAACTAAAATTTGCACTTGTTTCTTTATCATTATCGTTTTTGGCCCATGCCATTGCAATATAATTACCAACATTCATTTCTTCAGGTATAAAACCGAATGATTCAGTTAAATTTTCATCTTCATCAAAAAAACTATATATTCTACTAACAGAAGAAAGAAAACTATTAGTTTTCAAAGAATAAATAGAATAAAGAAATTCACCTGATGTTTGTTTATCGCCAATAAATAATTCTAAATAAGTGCTGTCTATTTCATTAATGAAAATTATTGATTTTGATTGTTCGGTAATATATAATACTGGATTTTGATAATCATATACAAAAGGGAATTCATAATATGTGAAACCAAAATAATCAGAAATATTGATTGTTAAAAGGTGATTTCCGATTCTAACATCCCTATAAAAATACATTCATCCGAATTATCACAAGTAAAATTGATGGAATAATTCACTGAATCAATTATAGTATCATTTAATATTAAATCAAATCCTGGATAATCTTTAAGCCTAATATCAATAGATGAATCAATATAAGTGTTGAAAATAGGAGTTCCTCTAATTAAAATTCTGTAATCTGTATAAACAAAGTATTTTTCTTTGATTTGCGACTCAAATACAAATTGCGGTTTAAATCTAAGAACTTCAAATTCTTTTACAACAGTTTTCACCTTATTTTTTGAATCTGTTGCAACAAATTTCATTGAATGTGTCCCATTTTTTAATGGAGTTTCAATTAAATTGTGCATATAATCATGAAAGATATTTTGAGGATTGCATTCTTGAACATCATCAGAATGCGAAAAACCTAAACTTAATTTTTCTGTGTCAATAAATATATCAACGTGCGTCTCTACTCCAACTTCTTTGCAAATTGTTAAACTAAAATTTAAAAAATCACATTTACCAACTTCAAACCAATTAATATTGATTCTAGGATTATCTTCTAGTGGGTACATATTTATTTCATTTTAAATTATCAATTGAATGAATTTATTGATTTTTACATCCAATTTATATATTAGAGTAAAGGATATTATATTGTTAACTTGATAATGATGCATTAACACTTGGTTTCCGATGACTCAATATAAAAATCGAGTCATCTGAAAAAAATTCTGAAAGTAAAAGTGACAGAATCTGCCAAATCTTAATTAATTCACCTTTTTTCTAACATTTTTTAATGGAAAAGTAAACCAAGTTATTTTTTTCGCTGACTTTTTTCCCCGATACTAAATCGATTTCAACTTACAATGGATTCAAATTAATATTTCATGATCGATTTATATTTTAAACAATTCTAGGATTCCGAATTGAAATATAAATAGTGACAGATGTTTAGTTTTCTAAATTAGTCGATTTTGATTGCAATCATCGACATTTAAATAGAGAATGAAAATAAGAAAAGCATGTGAATTAACTAAAATGCTTTATTCTTCTCTTCGAAATAGTTGAAATACTTTGATTTTGAAAATAATATTCTGGACATTATCTTCTTTTATTTGGAAAATATCGGAAAATTGGTTTTGATGTTGAATATTTTATCTTCTCTCGCGAATATGTGAACTCAATCTCTTTAGTTGTACACAGAAATTCTTCATAACATGTGGAAAAAGTAAGTTTGTGAGTGCCAAATTGAATAGTTTCTGGAAAAGGAATTTCTTCTATGAATGAATAGATTTCATTTTTGTGATTCAATGTTTTGGAGTTATCTGGTTTTGAAACATTTGTATTATCAATATAATAATAAATAGAAACATTTGATTCATCAATTTGACCTGAAATGTTGTATGATACAATAAGTTTGTCATTGTAATATCAATAAAGATGATTCTTTTGAATTGTAAAATTCATATCTGGCCGCGGCCCTTCAATTTGAACATAAGTGCTGCCCTGAGAAACTTTACTTGTATCATTCGCTGAGAAAATTTGAAATATAATTTTATTTCTACCAATATCAAATTTGTCAGTAAGTGGAACTGAAATATTAATATCATCATCATATAATGAATCTTTTGAATATGTCTTTCTTGCAATAATATATTTCTGATGCCTTATGCTGATGAAACCACCAGGGAAAAAATAAACGCTGATATTGATTGGTTCATAAAAACATACATGAATAACAAGATCAATTGATGAATCAACATATTTTGTATAATTACGATTAGCTTCTTCCACATAAAATATTGGTTGATTTGGAAGTACAGAGAAACTAAAATTATAACTTGTTTCCTTCCCAAAATTATTTCTTGCCTGAACCTTTGCAATATAATTTCCGATATCTAAATCATCAATTAGAAACTCTAACTCAAACAATTTATTTTGATCTTCTTCAATTTCTATATTAGTTATAGCACTTCTTTTTATTTGATTTATTTTTTCCGAAAATATTGAAATTGTCATAAAGCATTCCCCTTCTCCATTTTGATCACGAATATAACCTTTGACAAAACCTTTTGTGTTATTTTCATTAGCAAAGAATTTTGATTTTGATTGTTCTGTGATATATATTTCTGGACTGTGATATTGATATTCAATAGGAAATTCATAATATGTGTAACCAAAATAATCAGATACGTTGATTGTTATAAGGTGATTTCCGATTTTAATTTCCTCCAATGAAATAGAATAATCAATGTCAGAAAATTCTCCTTTTTCAATAACAAAATCTGGATGATCTTTAAAATAGAAATCAAAAGAAGGATCAATATGACATGGTTCATTATGATAAAAGTATTCGTTGAAAACAGGAATTCCTTTGATTAATATTTCTGTATCGGTCTTATAAAAGTAAATTTGCTTGATTTCTGATTCAAAAACAAAATGAGGTTGAATTCTAACAACTTCAAATTCTTTTCTAACTTTGGTAATTTCTTGTTTTGAATTATTTTTAAGAAAAATCATTGTGTATGTTCCATTGGATAGATATGGAATATGAAACAGTTCTGTAAAAACATCTATAGGCAAATGAACTTCTTGATTTATTGGGCATTTATTACCCCAGCCATAAACTTGATTTAAATCAGGAAATGAATCTATGTAGGCATACAATTCCATGCTTTCCTCATTTTCGCATGCATTTACGTTATATGATAAATTATTTTCTATGAAATCGAAATCAACGTCTAGATATTTAGATTGATATTCAAAAGGAAATTCATATAAACTATAGCCAAAATCATTTGAAATATTGAATTTTAATGTATGATTTCCAAATCTAATTTTGCTCAATTCCATTGAATAAATTTCATAATTATTATCATAATCATTAAAATCTGGAGACAAATCACTAATACCATCGATTTCAGCCTCAAGTCTTGGAGTAATTTTTTCTTCATTGTTTATGATTTGAAATACAAATGTAATTTTTTGATCAATTTTGTATAAATATTTTTGTTTGATTTCTGGTTTGAAAATTAAATAAGGAATTTCCCTATAAACTTCAAATGTCTTTTCAACAACTGTTTCTCTGTTCTTCGAATCTGTTGCTACAAATTTCATTGTATGTGTTCCATTTTTAAGTGGAGGTCTAACTATATTATCTATAAAATCTTTGAAACCATTTCCAGGGCAACACCCTTTGCAAGGTCCAAAGCCATATCCCAAATCTATTGTATCAATAAATAATTTAACTGTTGTATCAAGTTCAATTTCGTTGCAAAATGTAAAACTATAATTTAGATATTTGAATTTATCAAAGTTAAACCAATCAAAAATGATTCTTGGATTATCTTCTAAGATATTTTTACCGAATTGATTGGAATTAGAGGTAAGATTTATTGAAATTTGAAATATGTCGATTTGTGTATCATTTAATAGGTTATCATGAAGAGTGATTGAGATATTATTAAAATTGTATTGCGACTTTTCTAATTTTAATCGAAATTTGATATTTTGAATTTTATTATTTTCTGAAATATTGAAATTTATGAGTGGTTGTTCATTATTTGAATCTTTTATGTATGATACATGCAGTGTGCGTCTTTCTTGCATTGAAAAATTAATTTGGTAGCCAAATTGGATCTCAAAACTTTCTTCTTGGTCAATTATTTCAGCCACTGGATGATGTAACACTGAATTGGTTCGAAAATTAATAGAATTGACAAGGTCAATCTTTAATTTTGGCCTATGCGGATTGAAAAAGCAGAAAAAAGTCATCATTGAAATAAAATCCATTACAATTTTTATCAAGAAAAATAAATGATTTGCATTATTCATGCAATATATGCTTTTATTTTGTATTCTGGCTTTATTTGACATTTTATTTTTTCGTTTCCTATTCAATTTTGTATCTTTGACGGATCTCGTTTGGATAAATAATGGCTGAATTCAATAACCCCATTAATTTTCGTTACAATTTGATAAGAAACTATCTAAGAATGATTTTGATTTCTGATTTTGGAAATTCAAAATTCAATTACCAATTTTAAAGTTTCTACAGTCCGGATTCTTAACTTATGGACAATATCTATCATATTTTTCATATGATTATTAAAAAAAATACAAATGAAAGCATTTGTTATTTTATTAAAATTTCTAAATAAACATCTTAAACACTTGTGTTGCCATCAACGCCAGCGACAGCCTTGGCATCCTGAACGAATGGGATGAAGTCGATATCCTTGAATTCTGGAACTGAGCAGTGTTCTGCCTGGAGATCAAGATCTGGCTTGTTGTAGTCCTCGTTTGAGTGGTTCTCACTGAGCATGAGTTCTCTCATGTATGGCTGAAGAACCTTTGGAATTCTGATACCTGTTGGTGTCTGGTAGTTCTCGAGGATGCAGCAGAGTGTTCTCTCTGTAGCGCAAAGTGTAGCGTTGAGCATGTGGACGTATTCCTTCTCACCGTCTTTGTTCTTTCCGTGGCCGTATCTGATATCGAGTTTACGTGACTGGAAGTCCTTGCAGTTTGAAGCGGAAACGAGTTCACGGTACTGGTTGTATGATGGGAACCATGCTTCGATATCGACTTTACGAGCTGTTGAGTAGTTGAGTTCGCCAGAGACGACTAAGACAGCGCGGAATGGAAGGCCGAGGGATTTGATGAATTCGCAGGAGTTGTGGACCATTTGTTCGTGCATCTTCTGAGATTCACCATTATGTGGTGATGTAATGCAGAACTGTTCAACCTTTTCGAATTGGTGGACACGGAAGATGCCCCAGTTATCCTTGCCTGAAGCACCAGCCTCTTTACGGAAGCAGGATGAGAAGCCGCAGTACTTCTTTGGTAATTGTGAGTCATCAAGGGACTCGTTGAGATGGTAGCCGCAGAGTGTTTGCTCTGATGTAGCGATAAGGAACATATCATCCTTTGGATCGTTTGTTGGAGAGTCGATGTGGTATAATGTCTCCTGGAAGTCTTCGAGTTGGCAAACACGGGCCATAACTTCACTCTTCATGAAGAATGGTGTATGGATGGCTGTGTAACCGTGGGCTTGGAGGAAATCAAGACCGTATCTGAAGAGAGCCTGGTTCAACTTGAGAGCCATGCCCTTAAGATAGTAGCCACGGTGGCCAGCGACACGGGCACCACGTTCTGGTTCGTAACCATCGATCATAGCAAGTAATTCGTTGTGTGGTCTGAAGTTTGGAATCTCTGGGATCTTGCCGCACATCATGATGACCTTGTTGTTAGCTTCATCGAGTGAATCTGGGACTTCTGGCTCGATCATAACACCAACTGTGGATAATTCCTTCTCGACCTTAGCGAATAATTCATCACGCTTTGCTTCGAGCTCTGAGATCTTAGCTGTAAGTTGACGGCATTTCTCCTTGATGGCTTCGATTTCTTCTGGAGCTAATTTGACACCACCCTTTGGCTTGAGAGAAGCTTGAGCTTGGTTCTTCTCCTTCATTGTGTCAGCAACAGCCTTAAGAGCAGCACGGTATTCTTCATCGTCCTTGACGATTTGGTCAATTAACTCTGGTGGACGATTTCTCTTTCTTTGGTTTTCACGCCAAACTTGGAGTTCTTCATCGGTCTTACCACGGAAGTTCTTGATATCAACACCAGCAGTGAATACCTGAGCAGCAGATGACTTCTTTGCAGCAGACATTCTTTGTTTAATGAAATGGCCAAATTTCTCTCAAATTCCAGTACTTGATAAAAAATTGAATGCTTCAATGAATTATTCAGTTCATTTAGATAGTATTATATATGCTAAGCAATATTACGACTATTGGGAAAATTAATGAAACTCAAATAACTTTTGGATAAATTGTTAATTTTACTTGTTATCATTAAATGATATTTTTCTAATTTTCAACAGAATTTGATAATCATGATATTTTGCAAAACGCATTGATACCTATATTTGTAACTATCAATAAAATTATTCTTATTGAAAATTTTGAAAGGAGAGCGTTTTCATTTCAATGTTAACAGTATTAATTCAATATGAAAACAAATCACAATCATTAACATGCATGAATATACGTTATTTTAAAATAGATATTTTGATCGGTATTCTCTTTCAATTTTACTTTATTCGGAAAATATGACCTGTTATCACACAAATAATACAAATATCTTATTTTCTTAATCTAAAAAGTTTGAAAAGATATTCTATCGGCTCACAAAATTCACCAAGGAAAGGCTTAATTTTTTCATATGAACATCGGCCACTCAACTTTCACATATCAGTGAGTGTCATTTTTATAAAAAATCCATCTTTCATCCTACCCTTTTCGCGGTTGCATTACTAAAATTATAGTAATTTTCTTCCTTCATCAAATAATAATTTTCATTGTTATTTCTTTCTATTTCGGACAAATTCATTTCTGAATATTATTGGACTATCCTTTCTTTCAATCATAAGAATCAGAATTTATACATCGAAAAATTGATCATACACTGAGTTTTACAGAAGAATTACGTAATTTGAATCATGAAATCCAAAATTTATGGTTTTATTGTTCAATTTCCTAAATCGCAACACAGATAGTATGTGCCAAGTCGAAATATCTAGTTAGGAAGGTGTTCTTTTAAATTTATTTTTTAATTTCTATTAAAAATTAAATTTTATTCTATTTTATAAACTTTAACACAATGTAATCTATTTGTTATCATATTAAATACAGCTAATTTTTAATTTTAGTTTATTATCCAAGAAGAAAAATCAAAATCCACAATTTTCCTGGGAAAATAAGACCAATATATATTTTTGTACGAATATATAATATTGATAAGATTATGAGTTGATTGGTTAAATATAATATTTTTTCTTAAATATCATTCAATAATGTGGATTGAAATTCTCTATTTCCTACTTATATATCATATAAAATCATTTTATTATCATAAAGTAACAAAGACATCTCATATTTTGTGTAAGATTACTTATTCATCTATTGTAACAATATCAGATCCTCCTCTCCAAAGTGGGTTAAGTACAATGACGCATTCTTCTGCTTTTGGAAGCTGAGCCTTCTCAATATCTATAACATAATGCTGTTTTCCATTATAATTATAGTAATTACTATTGTTAATGGCCGAATCTGATAAATCATCTTTCTGGCAACAATCATCACAAGGACAAAAGCAGCATCCTTTGCAAATTGGTTTGCAACAGCATTTGAAACATTTGAAGCAGCAGCAACATTGTTTCTTGCAGAATTTGCAACAGCAACAACAGATAATTATGATCAAAATTAAAAGGAGCAAAAGTCCTCCACCTAAACCTAATCCAAGGCCAAGACTTGGAAGACTTGGAGTTTCATCTTGTTGTTCCTGAGATTCTGTTGGTGATGGAGTTTTCTGAGCTGAACTGCTTGGAGTTTCTTTTGGAGTTGCAGACATCGAATTTGTTGGAGTGGGGAACATAGATGGAGAAGGTGACATTGAAGGTGTTGGTAATAAAGAAGGACTTGGGGATGGATAAATCGTTCCATATGGAGTTTGAACTACAGTTTGAAGAGGACTTTGATATGGTGTTTCTATTGCTGATGAACCTGGTGTTTGTTCCACTGTTATAAATGGAGTTGGGATCGCAGTTAAGAATGGGGTATTAAATGGAGTATGTACTGGTGTTGGATCTGGGGGGTTGAAATAAAGATAGCACTCTCTTTCATTTGGAATAGATGTCTTTATTTCTCCATTTAGTTGAACTATTAGGCCTTCGATTGCATTTACCGTATTGTATTTTGTTGCAGTGCCACAGGTACAGCCCTGAATATTAATTACAGTGTTACAATAGAATCTCATGAGCCTATCCTCATTACCAGTATTGAAAAAACAAGAATCATAATTAACTCTTATTATTTCATTATTTATGTTTTCAAAATAAAATATTGGTAATGATATTTCGCTTTTGAAAACAGAATTTTGGAAAACAGGATTATGAATGTTGCATATTCCAATTGTAGAAGATATATCAGCTGCAGTGTTATCTTCAAAACGGCAATTGTTAATAAGTAACGATGAACTATTGACACATAGTGCACCAAATGATGTAGTTGCTGTATTTTTGGAAAAATTACAGTTTAAAATATTTGTCTGAGAATTTGACATCGACCAAATTGCACCAATATCACGTGAGGCGGAGTTTTCACTAAAAATACAATCAGATATGTACAATGATGACGATAGTGTTGCTAATGCAGCTGCGTAAACCGCATAATTTTGAAAGTAATAACATTTTGAAGAATTCAATTTAGAATTGGTACAGAAAACAGCACCACCAACTTGAATGTCCATCCTAAATCCTACAGCATAGCATCTAATGAATTGGCTATTCTCTAGATTAACGCTTTCAGAAACACTGTAAATTCGATTTGATGGAGATAGTTCTGAATGAAGAAGAATGCTTCTGCGTAGTCTTGAACTATCTGTGAAGTGTCGTAATGCCATCAGTTTTAGCATTTGGCGCTTGAATAACTACTTGAAGTTTTTGATTAAATTTTGTGAGAGAAAAAATTGAAAGAAAAATGCATCAAATTTAAGAAGCATTCAATTAAAATTTTAAACGAAAAGACTTTCTAATGGTCATTTAAAATTAATTTTTATGCTTTGACTTTTAAGTTTTTGAGATAATGTCATAAATTTAGTAGATTTGGATTTAATTTTTGAGTTGGCTTAAAATATTAACGCTATAAATTCTTTCCAATGTGTCATAAATTATTATTAATTATTAAAATGTTCAATTTCAGAAAGAATTAAACGAATTGCCAAAAATATCTACTGTTTAATGTTGTAAAGAATAATATCATTATTAATCCTAAGAATTAAACTTATTTTCTAGTATTTTCAGTGTTGTAATGGAAATATTCAAATTATTTAAAATTGAGTGCGAAAGAATATTAAATAGAAAGGGATGCATGTAATTATTTCTATTGCATTTGTATTACTCTTATTAGATATCAAAAATATCAATTTTTCCGCAAAAATTTTATTAAAATTATTACAAATGTTAATACTAGATATAGACAACATTAACAGATTGAGAAGCTTCATCATTGTTGTTGCAACCGTTATTATCTTGCTGATTGCTTGTAGGATTTTCTGCTTTTAGAGTTTCTTCTTGAGATGAACTATATTCATCATCATACACATCTTCTTCACATGACTGAGGTTCATCTTTTTTCTTGTTTTTGCAGATTAAAAAGATAATTACAATAACAATTATTATAATTATCAAAGCTCCAGCAACCGAAGAGGCAATGATTATTGTCTTTTTGGTACTATTATCTGGAGAGCTTTCAGTAGGTACGATTGTCTGACTAGGCTGAATAATTATTGAATCATCAGAACTAGAGGAACTCGATGATGGGATATCTTCTTCTTCAGATTCTATACATGATTCGATTGGAATAAAGTCAAGTCTTATGTAATCATTATCACCAATTGTTCCATACTCATTTGTAAATTCATCGTCATCCTTAGGAGCGAATTTATTTATAAGAGCACTTGTAATCTGGAATTCTATTGGAGTAGAAACAACTTTTATAAAATGATTATTTGCAACGGTATTTCCAATTAACACACTGTTTTCTATCAAAATACCCGATCTTCATTCAAATAAGATTAAAGGGTTCTCATTTTTTACTTCATTTGATAAAAAATTGCAAGTAGTAATAGTAGCACTATTCTGACTAGATTTTATCAATGAATTGGCTGAGTCACATTTGGCGAAACACGTAAAATCGATTGTATAAGTTGAAGTTCCAATCACAAAAATATGATCAGCACTAGAAATCAACTCTGTGAAGTTACATTTTGTCATTTTGAAGTTGTTACTTATCTGGGATGAATAATTTGATGATTTTGCATTATAACAGGTAATTTCTCCGATTTCAACAGAGCTTGGGTTTAAATTCCATATACCGCAACCACGTTCTGAATGACAAGAATTCATACATAGTCTTGATAGAGTAAATTCGGAACTAGCTTCATAAAAGATTAAAATTATTGTATTTGCATCTGCGCCTGAACACGAATCAAAAACACAATTCTGAACACTTCCACTATGTGAATACGTTAAACTTTCAGCACGGAAGTATATTGGAGCTTCTCCATTTTGTATGTTCATAAATCTGCAGTTTAAAATCCGAAATTCTTCATCATTTTGTAAAATAAGGCTTTCTGTGATGTTTTTATTTGTTTCAACTATGGACAATCCCAAATATGAAAGCAAATAAAGCATATGATTTATGCGAAGATATAAAAATAACCCTCTTCAAATTTTGAAAGATTATTTGATATTTTTTCAATAGTTTTTATCAAATTTTTTGAATAAATTTTTTATTTTATGCATTTTTTTGATAAAAATGTGAATTGATTTAATTAGACAAGCAGAACTCAGTTTCTATAAGTGATATCTGTTTCATCTGATTAGTATAATGATAAAGTTTGCTATCTTTTACAATAATCTTTCCAAATCAAAGAAACAGCTTAAATTTAGTTATATTATTAACATAATCAACAATTTAAAGATAATTATATATCGGCAGAATAGAAATATCCAATTTTTATGTAAAACTTATTTGATTTTACGTCATTTTTATTCCTAGCCTCTTACAAACCTCGATAAACTTAAGGGTTTCGTTTTGCTAAAATTGTCACTTTTATAGCATATTTGTTTTTGGATGTTTTGCGAAACCAAAAAAAAACTATGATATACAATGTGTGTGTAAAGAAAATACTTTATTTACTAGTTAAAAAATCATTTGGTATTGATCAAGTTATTTTTTCTGGATAAGATATTATATGGATAATTGGATAGAAAATACAATTATATAATCTTGTACCTGGTTTAATTAAGCTAATTGTCATCAGAAACTTGTAATTTTTATGAATTTCAGATTTTCTTTTCATTACTGCTTTTCTTAATAGGTCAAGTTCTTATTTACGTTATAAAGTATGATATTTACAAATATCAAGTTATCGTGTTTTTTGAGAAATTATGAGAAACAAACAAAAATGAAAAAGATAGGAATAGCAATGAATAGTGATGTGGGTATAGAAAATGTAAGAGATATGAATGCAAAGCAATCAGTATTTAGGACATTGACCATAGATTTCGAAAAAAAATGCTGCATATTGAGCGAAAACTATGATTATATTATAAGGCTGTCATTTAAAGCATAATGAAACTATTCCCTTTTCATTTTAATTGAATAAGATAGTAAAGATTTTTGAATTAGCTAGAAACTGATGAGATGTTTTCACAAATCAGATTTTTAATCTCTATAATGCATAATTCACTCAATATCTCAATTTTGATATTGCGAGATATTTTTGCTATCGGTTTCGCAATTTTGACACAATAGCAAGTGGGTTCTATAAGCATTATTATCAACGTAGAATCTGAATATCATATCAGAAAATGTCGCAAATCTGACATTTACCCGACCAAATAGCAAAAATAATTGAATACTTTTCGCAAAAACTTTTAAAATCGATAAAAATATGAAATATAGATATTAAAGAGACTTTTTATATAATATTCATAAAGATTTTCCAAAAATATGATACCGCAAAATTAAAAAAGTGACGTCTTGAGTGGAGTCAAAGGTCGAAATTGCTAGCTAAATGTTTTTTTAGCGAAATTGCGTATTGTACGTTTTTTTCGCAAAACGAAACCCTTAATAAACTATACCAATTTCACCATACCTCAAGCCCTGTAGTTCAATTTCATTGGGTTCGGACATGAGATAGAGAATCATATTTTTTAACCTCATTTTATGATTTATGAATATAAATGTTCAATTTGATATAACATCATAAAAGGTTGATTAGAATAAGAGATTCGTTAATAAAAATAAATAATTCAATTAAAAAATTAACAAAATGTAAGAAATCTTTGATCATTTGATAGCAACCATCCACATGTGCTAACTACATTGGGTTATAAGATATTATTAAACTGTTTTGACAAAATTCCCGAACAAAAAAACTTTCTCAATATAAAAATCATTAATATAACATCTGACTAAATATGATTTTCCAGTTTTGAAATAAAACAAAGATTATGGGAAAGATATTAAAAATTATTTAGAATTTGATCACAAATAGCGAAAAGTAACCACAATTAACTTTCCCAATGAATGTACCCAGCAGGGGGCAATTTTATCATTTGATGACCCAAGCTCTTGCATCTTATAATTTAATCTAATTCAAAAGTAATGTTCGAAGACTTTTTTTAACAAGAAAAGTTTTAGCACATATAAAATAGAAAATTATGAAGATTTCAATAATCAAAGTTAAAAAATGAATTTAAATTGAATAATTTTTTTTATTAAAAATAAAACATACAAATACAAATATATAGATAAATATTATATATTACCTGATATCATGTTGAGGGCGAATGATTCGTTCTCTTCTTGTTTGTTTGGATGTCTAACGAAATAAGTCTTTCTGTTTCCTTTTCCTTTCAAATAAACTTCGCCTCTTTCTTCGATAATGAAATCAGATGATTCAATCAAATTTTTGGTTTCTTCAGATATCTGGACATTTCCAGGGATATCTGTTGATTGTAATCTTGCTGCAACATTGATAGGATCTCCAATGATATCGAATGTAGGTTTATCAGTTCCCAAGACACCTCCAATCAATGGACCTCCTGAGTTAACACCAACTCTTACTTCCAAAGAAGACTCGAGATTTGTGTTGATATCTGTCATCGATTTGATGCATTGCAAACAGCAATTTACTGCTTCTGTTGCATGATCTTTCGCTGTCTTCTCATCAGCATTATTGAACAAACCAGCAGCTGCCATGTAAACATCACCAATCAATTTGATTTTTGTGATTGATTGATATTTTGACACATTTTTGTCAAATGTGGCAAAAACTAATGACAAATTTTGCATAATTTCTGACGGACTTAAAGTAGCGGAGTAATTAGAGAATTTAACAATATCGATGAAGAATATTGTAGCTATTGGGATAGAGAATGAAATATCTTTCTCACCTCTATTGAGTCTTACAACTATATCCTTTGGCAAAATTTGATACAACAGTTTTTCTGACTTTGCTTTCGCTTGTTCAGCATCATTTCTCTTTTTGATTTCTTCTGTTTCATTTGTGAGAATGAAAACAATTGAGTTGATTTCTGTGTCATTTTCATTATCTTTCATTCCTATCATAGTCACAGAGAAAGGAACAGTCTTTCCATTATCATTTATCATTTCAATGTGATCTTGCCAAACTAAAGATCCTTGTCCATTCATCATCAAATCAAGCTGTGACAAAATCTTTTGTTGGCTTTGTATTGAAACGAAATTGATGATTTCTTGACCAAGCATTTGATCAGGAGTTAATCCAATGTTTTCTGTAATACTTGGATTAATTATTTCAACAACAGCATTTTGGTTTGTGATGATAATTCCTTCAGATGCTCCATAAACAATTGATTTTGAAATTGGCATTTCTTCGGAATTATTTGGAGCTGTTTTTCTGAAGAAACTAAGTATTTCATGTCTTGAAGCAACAATATGAGGAGGTAAATGTTGGAACAAAATGAGAACAAACTTAAAGTTCTCAATCATACTTGTCTTATATGTAAATGCCATTAAAAAGTTGACAACAGATAAAATCAAACCAAAAATCAAATACAAAGTCATTTTTGAAATACCATTTTCGTATTCATTGTTCATTAAATTATAAATTTTCTGTTGAACATTAACAACATTTGGATACAAATGAAACTCAAGCATATGTACAAGATTTGCTGAGTATTCATTATCAAATGTTCCATTGTATTCTTCTGGTTTATTAACAATATCATCAACAATGTTTTTGAACATTGAAATTTGTTGAATCAAATTTGAGCAGCAATACATATCATGAACAGACTTTGGATCATATCCTAACTCACAAACAGACTCTGTTTCAAGAGAATCTAAATCACTATCGAATCCAATTGATGCTTTGTAATCATCATCACCATTAATTAATTTATCATTTACATATTGTAAACCATCAATTAATAACTTAATTCTTTGCAACAAAACATTTGTATCTGGTGTAGTATGATTCAAATCCTGCATTAAAACAAAATTAATAGCATTATTACCTAACTCAGAAACAATTTCCATTTGGATGTTTGCTAAATATAACCATTCATCCATGTTTCTCAAATTTTTGGTGACTTTTCTTGATGTCAACAAAATAAAAGCGAATAATATCAAAACAACAAAAACAACAACAAAATAAAGGAATGTCATTATATCTCTTTTATAAGAGATAACTTCTTTCGCAACTGCAGGAGAATCATTTGAAGAATTCTCGAAATTTCCTATTGTCAAAGGTTGTTTTGCATCTTCTTTTTCTTTTGGAGATAAACTAAGAAGCATATTAAAAGCATTTGTTACTAAATTTCTGTAACTAAATACTAAATAAACTAAAGGAACAATAGAAAAGAAAGTTATTAATACTAATCCACCTCCTAAAAATCTATTGTAATACTTATAATAATCTTTTGATCTAAAACTTGAATAGTTCTTAAAATGTTCTAAAACGTGAATGGAATAATCTAAGATATCAAATGTATTAGCTGTTAATTGGCAATAATCATTTTCATCAAATATGTTTTCGCTGATCAAATTTTGGTTGTAATTTCCTGCTAAATAATTTTCTTCATAAGAATAGAAAACAATTTTATCTGTTAATGATGCAGGAACAACATTATCAACTTTAGAATCAACACATTCCGTTATATTCATCTGAGCAAATAATAATTCTGGTGCTAACTCATAGTTCCTAAATTTGCCTGTATATGTCGACAAAGAATCCAAAATTGTTCTCAATGTTTTTGACACTTTTCTTAATGATTCATAAAATTGGAAAACATAAGAAGAATCTGTTGATAACAAAGGTTTCGTTGTATATTTATCAGCAGATATATTACCTAATGCTTCATTACTTTCATTGTATCTTTTAGTATAATCCAAGTATTTTCTAAGTATGAAATATTGAGCGTAATTTGAATAGAAAACAATTGTTCCAACATTTTCAACATCATTGTGATTTTGTTTTCTCCATTTTTGCAATTTTTCACAAACAATAAAAGTTCCTACGAAAACACCAATCTCTATAATGAAAAACAAACAAGAGAAGATCATTACGTACCTTGCATGTGGAGGTTCTAAATCTTGTATTGAGTTATGGAAAGCTAATCTTAATTTCGAGTCTTTAATCATTTTCTTTCCGAAAAATTCTTCATTTTCTGCATCAACTTCTCCATCAAATGTTTCTTTACTTGAATCATGATTAGAAACTGTGAAATCATTTGTTTGATCTGTTTTCTTGACTCTTGATCCTTTAGTATCATATATTTCATCCTTCAAATATCTTGGGAATTTCTGTGCTAATGATCTAAAACTTACATCAACATTAAAATTGTTTCCATCAACAATTGCATCAGCTTTCATTGCGTAATAAATAGAACTATTAAAATCACAGAGACATTCAGCAAGGAAATTCGCATATTCATTGGCAATCTTGACATTATTTGGATTGTTTATCAAAACAGTATTTGAAAGGTTTACAAGGAAACTGGTCGGACAATTAGATTTATCCCAAAATTGTTGATAACCGTATTTGCAAGAATTATTCATCATATGTAATTTGTTTGATAATTCTAATGTGTCTTTTGAGTTTGAAACTAATCTTCTTGTCTTGATTTCACTGATCTGATATATCAAGAATCTATTGATAAATGACAATTTCTTTTTCGTCATCAGTTTCTTGTATAAAATATTCATTTTGTGGGATTCGCATGGAAAATATGTCAAAATTTGGAGACACAAACTTAATGATTTTTCATCTTTTGTATGAGAAATTATATAGTCTGTTAAATGTCCATCATAAAATAAAGGACAATATTCAGCTAATCCGACAACAATGTATTTCATGACTGTCAAAGAATTCTTACAAACTCCAATTTCATCGAAATAATCGTCATAATTTGTAATTCCATCTTGTTTTTGCAAATTTTGTTTTGTTTTATCGATGAGTTTCAAGAAAATTCGTTTGCAAACAACAGAAGAAACAACTAAAGTAACTAAGAATATGTAAACTGTTGGATAATAAGGAATTGATGGTTTGAAATATTGAATCATCAAGTAAATATCGAGAGCAGTTGTTACAACACCAAATGTAAAACTTGTTGGGTTTCTAAATAATGTATAGAATGGCATATATAAGTTTCTGTAACAATTCATGAATGCAACAAATAAATGAACAAATAACATGACAACATAGAACCAAGAATCAAAGAATTTGAAGAGAGCTGTAAGTATTACGCATACTGTTGTTGTTACAAAGAAAACAAGAACTGTTGGTGGATCATAAACTTGAAATGTTAAATTTGTTAGTACAACTGATCGAGATTTAAGTAAGATACCTATGATGAACATACCTAGTATGATGATGTATGAGAGTAATCCTATGCAGAGACCTCCAACAAGGAGTTTGTCCGATTTTTCATGCAATGCCGCAATGGAATGTGCAACAACGAAGGCAGATGGGACAAGAAAGATAGGTGTGAGGACTTCTAGTATGATTGCTGTGAGATTAAGCATGAAATGAGGAACGACATAGTATCTTTTGCTATAAAAAATAACAAATCTTAGCCATACAATGGAAAATAGAGCAATTGCTAGGGAAAGATATGCTATAGTTCTGTGAGGTCCCGAAAAATCTACCGGATTTTGAAAACAAAAGATTTTTGAAATTGTGATATATGTGTTCCTCCATTTTCCCGTGCAATTTGCAAATGGAGGTGCATATATCCAAAATTCTATTGACAAAATCTGAAATGATAGAAAGATTGATGCTAAGCTTGAAAACCACTCTGGAAATTTGATACTGTACATAATTTGGTCATAGAGTGGAAAGATTTCGTCAATAAACTGAGCTCTAGAGTTGATAAATGCATCCCTTGTTTTCTTATCAATTGTGGTAGATGTTTTTGATGAGGCATTGTTCTTAGAGCTCATTTTAGATAACTTTAAATTGAAAGGTTTATTATAAAAAAATTGAATGTGATCGTAAATTAAGGAAATACGTTAAATATGAAAATAATAGTAGTACAATGTACATCAATTTTTGAACAAAATTGATTTTAACAAAATTTCAACCTGTGAAATTTTTACAAAATACGGGGAAGTTTTGAAATAATATCTCAAATTGATTTCATATATTTTTAATCATACAATCAGTAAGAATTATGAAAGTAAGATTAATTCGATTGGCCGGAATTTCAACAAATTTGATAAGAAATATCATCGAAATTTGAGAGTACAGTCTGGCTTCATGATAATTTTGTATATTTTCTATGCTTGTTATAAAAGAGAACATATGAAAAATCAAATTAAATTGGATAGAATGAGTTCAAATTTTTGCTATGAAAAAAATAACCCAAAAAACGAATTGGTATAACTCATTGAATAATATAAGATTATGGTTAATTTTTTTTTAATTTTTCGAAATTTCTAAGATCTTTCAAAATGATCGGGACATCTGAAATTTTTTCAGTTGGTTTTCCGCAAATGTGATATTTATGATGTATATATATTAATGCGCAATTATCATTTTAATTGTATTAAAATTTAACATTTGAGGATTATTTTGTATTTCTCATAATTTAAACATATTTTTGATCCAATTATATAAAATTTTCGAAAAACAAAGGAGTAGGTGCCAAAAGTGCTTACTCTTAAACAACCGTCGGATTTCCGGGTGAAATCGTGACACACTTTCGTCTTTCGTAGGCAGTGGTGGTTGTTACAAAAGGTAACTTCGAATGTAGCGTGAAATCTGCAAAAAAAATTCTGAAATTTGAATGGAGAACACAAAAATTGAATAGTTTACGTCAATAAAAAAGAGAAAAATGAAGCCAATGTGTCTCGAACCTAGGACTTAGAGCAGCAATCCCACTGTTTATCACATTACACTACACGCATCTCTCACCTCAGTGAATGAGATCAACTATATGATAACTTTTTCCCCATTATATTCTTGTGGAAAAGTGACAAATAGCAACTTTGACCCTCTCTCAAAAACAAAGCCAACCAAAATTTTAAAATTTAATTTGATTGTATGGAAATAAAAATATTATTCGTGGTAGCATAAGTTGCATAGAAACACTTAAATGTTGATAGTGCGAATGGATCGGTAAAATGTCTATCGATTTCATTTAGTAATTATCGAAATGTTTCCTTCTAGAAATCAGGCACTGTCTCTATCAAAACTGATTAACATAGTCTAGAGTTTGATTATTCGAATTTTTATTATTTTTATCACTTATTTTTTAATATTCATTTTTAATAGAAGCAAATAATATACACATTATATAACACTTGTAATCTTGTATAAACTTGTTGTTACATTATAACACTTGAAATAATATGAAAAATTACTTTCAAACGGTAATTCAGACATCAATATGCAAATTTTATATTGTTCTCAAAAGATTATGACTAATTGCTGTTAATTTTTTCGTCATTAGATATAATGTTTGCAAGAATTTCATGAAATTTTATTTTATTTTCATGTAAATATCCTTAACTCTGTATAAAAAGTTTATTACACACTTGACATCTATGAATTAATGCTTTTATTTCATAATATATTAAAACAAAAATTTATCTTCTTCTTAAAATAAGATGTCCTAAACCTATGTTCTCTTTGCATTTTGGTGGTTTTTTCATTTGGAAATGACACGAAAAATCAAGATTTTCAATTGGATATTCTTCACATTTCAAATCAGAATTTTCATCACGGTTAAAAACATTATCACTTAATCCCCATGATTCAATTATTCTAATTTCTTCTTTTGTGGTAAAACATGATTCAGAATCTGTATCTATTGTAGCTCTCTGAATTGTAAGTGTATTAGAAAATGACTTAGAATTATAAAAATTATAGATACCATCATAAAAATACAAGTTATTCAAACAAATGAAATTACAAAAATAAAAAGTTGAATCAAACCCTTCAAAACTTAAGTCTCCATTAATTAATATCATATGAGAGTGTTGAGTATCTATATTTGTGCCTTGAAACCAAAAATTTTCAGTTTCGTTATTAAAAACAAAAAGTTGGTCTGTTGATATTGTTTCGCTTTGTCCAAAATGAATTGAGCGATAGTTTACATCTCCTTTCCTGGAATTCAATGTAATATTACAAGTTTGAATTAATATTTGGCCAAAGAGGGTTATAATTGACTCAGATGCATCACATTTATGAAGGGATCGAATGGACCTTTTTTTATGAAAGTGTAGATATTTTTTGGCTTGTCCTTGAAAAAACCATACCAAGATTGATGAAATCTATGGTGATTAGCAGAGATATGATTATGAACAACTTGTACTATTGCAACGCTATAGGATAAAAAATTCAAACTGATTTAGATTTGTCAGAAATCGTCAAATCAGATAAATCCGAAATTATTTACAAGACTTTGAAGCAAATGATTGGGTAGTTTAAAACACAGATTGGGACATGTATTTAGCGGATTTCTTCTGTACTAGCCATAACAAGACAAATTTATCCCATAAGTTACACAGCTATGGCATGAACTGTGTTAATTCCCAGAATACTGAAACTACATGAAACTAAAATAAATTGAAATATGAAACTAAAATAAATTGAATTTTTTGTTACTTTTTATTCAGTTTTGAATTAAACTCCTTTTTTATCGTAAAGTCTCTTATTCAATTTTTTGATTGAGATTCACTCAATATTGAGGAAGAAAAACGATAAGGAGACTTTAAGTAGGAAAATGGGTTTATTTATATAATTAAACAGCCATAACGTATTTAATTATTCGATGCTTCAGTCTCTTAGATTTGTTAATTTAGTGTGATTTTCATCTCCATTCAGTAAGGTATCAGTTTTTACAATTGAATTTCACTATTTGAAAAAGCATCAGAGTATTGATTCAATTGATTATAGTGATTTATATCACACTTATCATCTTCGTCTTAATATTAATATTGCCAATTTATCACTTTCCTTACATTTTGGTGGTTGTTTCATTTTGAACTTACAAGAAAAGTCGTCACCTTCAAATGGATTTCCACTATAATTGAAATCTGGATTGGTGGTATTTATTGTTTCATCACCTAGAATAAATACAGACTCCTCACCAGTAGTCATTGAATTAGTATTAAATGATGTTTCCGAATCAATAAAAATTCTAGTATTACTCTCAATAATTAAATTATTGACGCTAACGTATGAACTAGTGAATGTATAATGAATCTACAAAAATCAAAATATTGATTAAGCGTTTGAAAACTGAAACTCCCGTTAAATAATATCATATTATTGTGATTAGTGTTGACAGATGTGTCTATAAACCAAAAATCGTTTACTGTGTTGTTATGTAAAACAATAAGTTGATTTGTTGAAGTATGTTTACCTTTGCAAAATGCCAATGAGCAATTGTGAGTGGTATCTGACGCTGAATTCAACGTAATATTACAAGTTTGAATTAATATTTGGCCAAAGAGTGTTATAATCGAGTCTGTATAATAACATTTATGAATGGATCCCGATTTGATGATGTTTCGTTTGCTAGTTTGAGTATATGAGTGACAATGTTTTGTATTAAAGTGGTTTGTGGAATAAATGTAATTTTGGATGATATCGCCGTTAGATGTGATAGATATTGATGATGGATTTGATGAATCGCTGTTGTGAATGAATTGACAATACTCAATAAGAGTGTTAAATTCTGAGTCTGGAACATTGATTAAAATAGGGACTTGTTCGAAGTTTCTAAATGTAGAATATTTGATATAATTATTACTTTCTGTGCTAAACGGACTTTTTTTTGCAAAGATGTAAAACTTATAATCTTTATCTTTAAAAAATTCTCCCCAAGAATGATGTAAATGAGTGCTTGATTCCTGTGTAGAAGGGTTAGTAATCCAACATAAAAAATTAATTACAGTTGGGATGAGCATTCATTCAAAGAAAAAATGTAGCAAAATTTGACACTTTACAAAGAAAAAAAATATAATTTATTCTTTTTTACATAATACAAGTTAAAATGTATATGTCGCATTTTGGTGCATAAATATAAAGCTGAAATTTATTTTCTCTCGTTGAATTTGTTTTTTTTTCCTAAGGTGATTTTGACGAGTTAGTATCACCAACATTCTACCTTATATGCCTCATACTTACATATTGAGTTTCAAATCAAGACGCATGTTGGATTTTTGTTGGACTACCTTTAAATTTATAAGATTTTCATGATACAATCAAAGTTTATAACATGAATACTTAATTCCTTAATTTATGCTCATAAATCTTAAAATTTTGTTGGAAAATTGATGAAATAAATTATTTTCATTGAAATAATCAATTATCTCCTTCTAATAATAAGTTTTGATGAATCGTTATTATTTGGGCAAATGCATTTCTTTATTGCTGCTTTGCAATAATAATTATTATCGAATATAACTTCATTTATATCTTGTGGACCCGAATCTGTTGAAATATCTATCCTTTCATTGGAATCAATAATGATTTTTTCTTTCGTGTTTAAAGTCGTACTTTGAATAGTAATGTATCCATCAGTTGTAGGAATTTCAAAAGAATTAGCCTCTATGAAAGAATTTAGCATTGTTAAGTTTGAATCTACATATATGTTAACATCGTTTTTGACTTGAGCGAAGATTTCCTGTAGAAAACAGCTTTCAGTATTGATAAATAGCGATCCACCTTTAATTATAATAATCTGATCTCAAGCAGTGGAGAATCTGCAACCAAAAGTAGCTTTAAAGAATTTTCATCAATTAATTTTATATCCTTTAAAGTTGTATTAAATCTAGATTGTAAATGCATTTGATATGATTCATAATTGCAATGCGTGATATTAATCGATTCAATGTTATTAATAGAAGTGCATAAATGCAGTTTATATTGTTTGTATTGGTATTTGAATGATAAATAGTTGGATCTAGATGGTCAGTAGAACATATTCGATTTTGAATGATTTTTCCTAGCGTTTTAATAAATATGCATGATAGTTGTGATGGATCACTATTATTTCGAAAATGACAATCTTCAATTAAAGTATGAATAGGAGGAAATTCTGAATTTTGGCTATTTATGTATATTGAAACATTTTGCATGTTTGCAAATGTTGAACACTTGATGAACGTGTTGGTATTTTAGCGAAGGGTCCTTTTTGCACGAATACGTACAAATTTCTTGGTTCGTCTTTAAAAAAACCATACCAAGATTGATGAATATGATGGTTTATGTAAGGGTGATCATTTATTGTACGAATAATGGATACCCAAAATCTAAAAAGATTCAAAGTTAATGAAAAATATCGGCTTTTTTTGCCATTGTGAAGATAACCTTTTTCAATTTCTTCGTTATCTAAAAGTATTGCTTATTACAAGGATGTCGATTTGTCCACTTTAGGGTTTATTTCCTCCTCCAAATTGTAATACTTCTAAATTTTTGTCCCCTATATTTGGAAAATTAGAGTCTCAAAAATTCGGGCGGTTCTAAAATGTCCCCAAATGGCATTCTTACTTATTATGAGTATTCAGAATTCATGTATATGAATAAAGAATTTGATCAATTAATCTTATATAACTTGAAAGCTATTGTCCAAGGATACTATAGTTGAGTTTTAACTAAACTTTAAATATTTGCAACGATCAGATAATAACTAATAAATGATCATTTAATCTGATATTTATTAGTCTAAGAGCCTTATTATTTATAGTAATACTTTAAGAATAAAATATTACATTTTGGTGATTATACAATCACGTTTCAATAAATAGGAATTATTCATTTTGTATGCATAATCAAAATATTATAACTATTTTAATATAATACAAATGGTTACATTACATTTGCAATACAGAGATCTAAAATATTTTCTCTTTTCTTCGGTTTTACAAGGGAATGAGAAATTGACCCTGTTTCAAAAAGATATTTATATATATATGAAAAATATTTAATGATTTCATGATTAAATAATGTGTATATAGAATGCAATTATATTGATTGACTTATTTTCAAGTCTGATCAGATTTGTTAATCAATTATTAAATAACATCAAATTTAAAGTTTTTTGAATCGAAACACTTTATAAATAGCATATGCTAGTATTTGTTTTGTGTTTGATTTTTTGATTCTAACTACTTTGACGAAAAGAAAAATTAATTAAAAATAGTTGCAAAAATTAATATGATTTTCGTAATGCTTAGTAATATTGGTACTTGTTGGACATTTCAATTTAACGAAAAATATGGTTGCTATTGAATATTCAGATTGAAAGGCATTTAAATGAATAATTGATGAATTTTGGAGCTTAACATATTTACAAAGGGGACCAACTGTGCAGTTAATTTTATTGAGAAAAACCGTTATCTCACAATTATATTTCGTTTCCCAAATCTGGGAAAGTTTTATATTTTATAGATGTATGCTAAACTTGTATTTCAATTTATTAATAAAAGTATGATAATTCAAAACTGCCATTGAATGAAAAACATAATGCAAATTTCAATTTTCCTTTCAAAATTTGAATAGTTATTGTTAAATTCTTATGTTTAATTGACTATCGATCATCAATGCTAATCATTTTTAATGTTGTAAAATTCAATTACAAATTTCATTAACTTTTGAAGTTAGATTGTTCTAGTAATATAGAAACAAATATCACCGATATAATATTTCATTTTCGCCTAAAAAAGCTTATCTCAAATTTTTGATGAGTTCATTTTTTTGAAAACTGTGGTTTAAAATGCATTCAAATCTTTAACTGGGTTGCTAGTTTATACTTCTCGTATAGATAATGTAACGGAGACGTTTCGTAATTTGTTTCGTATTAGATAATACTCTCAAAAATTGTGATATTTTTCTGAGCTGCATTAAATCGATGTATTTTTATTTCCTTACTTGATAAATAATAATTTCATTTAACAATAATTTTTCTTTTGAATAATCAAATCTGAACTATTCTCAAAATTTGAAAATCATAGGATAATAATACCTTTTGCAGCTGCGTTCAGCCCTAAAACATCATTTAAATAATTAATTATTTTCCTTTGAAATTCAATTTACTCAATATTTTGATGTTAAATTCCTTAAAAATTGAATCAAATTAGTCAATTCACTTCTCATGGAAGATGCTCTGACATCTACATCAGTAACTTATACCGACTTTGCTTCTTCCTCAATCTCCAAGTATGCAGATCTTATTGACATTCCAATCACTACACGTGTTATCGATTATTTGATATCTCTCTTCAATTACTTTGATATATATGCCCCAAGAATACCATTAATTTACTCCGTTGTTACATGCATTCGATTCTTCCAACTAATTGGAGGTGCCTTCTTCTCTGCCAACACGGATTCTTTCCTTCCAGGTACATTCGCATACAAGGTAATGTCAATCATTACTGTATTGTTCCATATTGTCCCGTTACAGTACAGATTAGGAAAGGCTGCCATCATTTTATACTCGATTAACTCGGTACTGATTGTATTTGTTGTTCACTTACTTGTTACAGCATATTCTTATAAAAAGACGAGCAAAGTTCCAAAGATATCTTGCATTATTTTGTCAATTTTTAATGCAGTTGGTCCATACACGTTAATCCCGATTGTTGCTCAATACTCAGGCCAAACATTATCCGCTATCATACAAGGAACCGTTAAACCTAATCTTAAAGATCTTTTGGCCTTAGTGATTTCGTTTATTAACATCTTTCTCTTTAATTGGATCAATATTAAGGCATATTCTATATCACTGGTGTTTAGAATGTGTTCGTTCCAGTCAATTGAAGGTTCCCCACAAAACAAATTATTTATCACAACAACATTTGTAACGTTAGTTGCTGCATTAACGACATACTTCACCGCAATCCCATCTGCAGCAATGATAGCCATCTCAATCTTGTTCTTTATCTATTGCACGACAACTGTATTTAATTGCGGTACGTTTATTAAACAAAAGCATCAAGTTATGGTCCTTGGTGGTTCGATTCTTGGTATAGAACTATGTATTGCTAACTTGATCATTATATTCTTAAAGAAACCATGGAACGCCGCATTTTTCCTTGGTTTTGGTGTTGCTTCAGTTATAACATTTGTTTTGACGGAAGTTTTCATCAAAAGGAAAGGAAGAAGAGAGTTACAGATATTAGATGAAATTGATGACACAAAAGATATCTCATCCATCAGAACTAAGAACAAATTCAAACAGTTACTTGCTACAGGATTCACTTTTTCACATCCAGTTTGCATTAACTTTAATATTTTCAAATTAGCTGTTGAAGAATGGAAATTGGATTGTGATGTTTGGTCAGTTTATGCAAAGTTCATTTCCATCTATCCAGAGAACACAGGAACATTATGTTTTATTGCTCAGAACATTGTTAATCTCAAGTTAAACACAAACTTGTCAAATATCATTTTGAACTCAGCTGGATACATCATGAGAACAAGAGAAACAAAGTTTACTCCACAGTTAAAGACAAGAATCTCAAAGTTATCAAAGAATTTCAATAAAACAAAGACAAGACTAAGAAATATTTGGGATTTAGTTCTTCAAGGAAACATAAATGAATTGAATTTTGCCATCAAAAGAACAAAAGAATCAGTTGATGATTGCGAAAGAGAAATTGATCATTTAGTCATGACATATCCAAATAACAGATTTGTTGCAAGACAAAAATTAATCTTTTTAAGTGAAGTAAAAGGAGATCCAGTAAATGCAAAGCAATCTATTGATGAAATCATTAAACTTCAAAGAGGAATTGCAATCAAAGAAGATACAATCCATGAGTTAGGAATGATGGCATTTCCTAATATTCCTGATTATTGCAATGATTCAATGAGTACTGGAAAGACAATAAATGAAAACGAGTCAACAACTAATGATGAAACAGTATTTGATGATACGGTGAATTTCGAAGCTATTGAATCAATTTCTAAACAAATTGATAATCATGAAGTTCCAGCAATTCACTATATCTACAAATCAGCATGGCTTTGTTTCATTTTATTGGTGTTCTTGCTATTAGTTTCAATGATTATTGTATATCAATTCTACGCAGAAGCTTATTCAAAACCAATTTACATGATGCAAGGAATTGCAAAACCAAGAAACATCATAACAATGTTGACTGCTTTTGCTGGAAGATTTTTGTTCCAAGTCTTAGATGATCCAAAGAATCCAGGTTCAAAATTAATGGGTCCTTTAGACTATTACCTAACTTTAATATGGATAGCTATGGAGATAATAGAGATACAGAAGCAATCATGAAATTCATAGCTGCAAAAGTTTCATCATCAACAGAATTAATGACAGACATCATTCCTTATAAACCTAATAATGAATATATGGAAAATGTCAGAAAATTGTTATTTGAAAACAACATTAAGTTCTTCTTCTATTTGAACAATACTTATTGGGAAGAATCAACGACAACAGCAACAGAGATTTCCTATATCATTTCAAATCATGTTGGCAAACTATTAGACATGGATAGCGATGATGCGGGAGTCCTGATTCATTGATCATAAGAAATAACAATAACTATCCAACAACAGCGATGAATGAAGCTCTTAAATCAATGATCAATTATTTGATTGCTCTCAATGAGGACTATCAGAAAATATTCATGATCATTATGATAGTCATTATTTGTATCAATGTCATTGTTTATCCTATTGTTTACTTCACACAAATAAAAAAGTTAAGAGAGAACAGATATGAAGTTTTACAGTTAATGACAACTTTACCTAAAACTGTAATATCAGGAATTTCTGCTTCTCTTAACAAAATTAAAGATGAAAAGACAGCAACACAAACAATGACAATAACAAACACATCATCAAATCCAAATTATGAGCAAAACAGACAAGAAGAAAGCATCATTAAATTGTTTACTTCTATTTCAGATGGAACATCAAAAGCATCAATAGAAACAAGCATTTTGAATTTGATGATAATTATTGTTGCTTTATCTTGTGTCAGCTATTATCTTGGAATGAACTGTTTCATGGTTTCTTCCAATAATTTGGTATTTAACTGTCATCATATTAACTATTTGTTTGGATCAGTTACTTATTTATTTGGTGTTTGTGCAAGAATTTTCAAAGTTTCATTAGCAACTTGTGATGAATCATTTAAAGAATCAATATTAAGTATTGATGATGAAATCCAAAATATTCAAAGAATTTTGCCATATTTAGTTAACTATTTCCAGTTCATTCGTCTTGGAGGTGAAGATAGAAGAGAAGTTCCATTCTCTGAAATGAGTACTACAATCAATACTGCTTCAGATTTATTGACATGCACTGTTGGATTAACTCCTCCTAAGACAGTTATGGAAAGTGTTCATTGTTTAACTTCTGCAATGCAATTTATTGTTTCAACTGGATTAATGAAGAAATTCTATAACAATATGCTATATAGTATCTATCCAGATCCTAGAGATGTCTCATTGCAGCAATTATGGCAAATAGGACCCATTGAATTATATCAAACATTTTCTATCCAGCAGAAGAAAAATTAATTCCAATTATTGTTGAAAACCTTCACAGTCAGGGTGATAACTTGATAGAATACAACGTTATCTTCATCATATTGACTTTAATTCTGACAATTATTATTTGTGCAATTGCTTTTAACGAAGACAAATTACTTAAGTTTACATTGAAGTTGTTCATGAGATGTCCAGCAACAACAATTCTCAACAACCAGAGAATCATGGATCTCATTTCAGGCCACTATAATTATAAGAATGATGACAATTCCGAAAAACATGTTTGGTTCACAAATGAAGTTGTAAATAAATTGAATGATGTTGTAATTGTTTGCCAAGAAGAAACAAGTAAAATTATAACAGTTAATGCAGCTTTCGAAGAATTATTCGGCATCAAACAACAGGATATTGAAAACACTCCAATCAAAGATTTCTTTACAGAAGAAAGATTCAAATATGATGAAAATATAGACAGAGTTTTCACAAAAACAACAGATTTAGTTTTTCTCAACAAGTCAGGGAATAATGTTTATTTGGAGTTTTCAACATCAGCGATATCAGGAAGAAGAATTTATTCAGGAAGAGATCAAACACAAATTGTTATGCATGAAAAGCTTATTGTTGATGAGAGGAAGAAATCAGATGCTATGCTATCAAGTATTTTACCACCAATGTTAGTTCCAAGATTTCAAGCTGGAGAAAAGAATATTTCTTTCAGTGTACAAAGTGCAACAGTTTTATTCTTGGATGTTGTTGAATTCACGCCATGGTGTGGTTCTCATGATGCTCAATATGTCATGAGAATGTTAAACATCATGTTCAAAGAATTCGATGCGATAACAAATGCCCATAAAACAATGACGAAGATTAAATGCATTGGTGATTGTTATATGGCTGCTGGTGGTATATTTGATGAAGTAAATCAACCAGCTGTTCATGCAAAAGAAGTTGTTGATTTTGGAACATTAGTTATTAAGAAACTCTTAGAGATCGATGAAAGAGAAAACGAGAATTTAAGAATAAGAGTTGGAGTGAACACTGGCGGTCCAATCGTTGCTGGTGTCATCGGAACAGAAAAACCAACATTTGAAATATTAGGACCTGCAATTAACATTGCACATGAGATGGAAAACAAAGGAGTACCAATGAAAGTTCATATTTCTAGACCTGTCTATGAATTAATCTACGGTCAAAACTTCGATATTAAAGAAAGAGGTGAAATCGATGTAAAAGGAGGAAAAATGTTCACATATATTGTAGAACCATGATAATTTTATTATTATATATCTTATTTATGTTTGTTATATTTTATAAAATTTTTTTATAAAATTATTTCGTAATTAATCAAGTTTTTTAAGTCAATATAATTTTAAAATCAAAAAACTCTTTTTATTTAAAGATTACTCCTTTATTTGCTTTAGAATTTGACATTTTCATTTCAAATGTTTTGACAATTGTGTAAATTTCAAGAAATATATGATTTTCATATTGTAGTATAATTAATCAAGTAATTAGATTAAAAAGTTACATGAAAAATTAACAAAATTTTCGAAAATCAGGAGTTCAGCAAAATTAATTTCAAATGATTTGGGTATATGGACTGTTAAAGGAATCCGAACAACCAACTTTAATAAATGGCCTTTTAATAGTTATCCATTCGAAATGTAAATTTAATAAAAATATTTCAAAGCAACTATTCGATCAAATATAAAAGATAAAAAACAATAGTTTCGTATTCAAAAAAATAAATAATCGTTTTATTGGGGTTGATATTTAAATTAAACACATGGATATGATGCATGTAAGCAAAAACCGAGCAAAGAATTTTTCAGAACAATAATTAACGAATTGTGAATTGTGAGAACATTGAAAAAAATTGAATGCAGGGAAATGGTTCTAAATGGAAATAGTTAGAATATTATGTTGTGTTTTGTAATTTCTATTAATGCGATTCAAGACCAGAAATGGTTATTTTTTAAAAAATCATCTCATCTACTAGCAACTAGTCTAAATATACAATTATCGTATAACCAGCTTTTCATTAGAAATTGAAAATTAAAAACGATAACTAAACAAGTTAAAAGTATTGAAAAAATATTTTCACTTTCTGTAGGTATTATTTGTCAAAGATATCATATATGTAATGTGAGCTATTATATTTGCCATTTTAAAATTCAATCCTTCAAAATTTTGAAAAAGTTCTCAATTTATATGACACACAAATCAGAAACCAATATTTTTCGATAATTAATCGATATCATTAAGAAGCATTAACATTTATTGAAAAATATTTTTATAGATTTTGCTATTTGAGCAATGAAAATTTATTCATATATTACCCTCAATGATTTTATTAATGGGGAGAAGCTTCCTAAACTTTTTAATCCCATAAATATGGTCATTATCTGGAATAAAGAGTTAAGGATACCCTTACATTGCGTAGTTAGAAAGAGAATATGATATTGTCATGATTGCTAAAGTTTTAGGCTCCAGAAATGAATATACATCAAACTGAAACAATTGATAAATTGAATGAACTTTTGAGAGGTTCTCAAATAAAAAAATTATCTAATTTTTTACAATATTACTATTATTTTATCCACATATGTATATATAGTAATTTGAGAAAACTTTTAGGAAAAAATAAGTTTAATAAAAATCTGAATTTTACTTGTTGTGGGATTGTTATTAATTGACACTCCAGACGTATTACTAATAGTTATGCGTATGCAATTAAAGTATTTCTGATGGACAAAATGTGAGATTTATATCAGATAATTCATTTCTACTATTAAGTTATTCATTTATGAGTTTGCACTTATTCGCACTAAATAAATAACTATTAAAAATTGTTTTAATTAATTGACACCATATAATAGAGTGAATTTTGTTTGATCAAACAACAATAGATGATAGATATAAAGCCAAGAAACTTGCTATTAATATGCTCTACTTGCTATTTCAATGTAAGTATGATATTTTCTAAATGTTTCGTTCAGATAACTTAGATATATTAGTCAAAATTTGAAATTTTAATAGCACATATATTAAAAATAATTATTATTCATAAAAGATTAATGAAATAGTAAAAAAATCAATCAAATTATAAAAATACAACATTTAGAAGAATTCTTATTATCCTTCAAAAAGTCAGTATTTCTGCTGTAATTTTCTACAACATTGTAGTTATTGCACTTTGTCTATGGATTTGTATATATGTTATATATAAATTATATATCTAAACTGCCCATAAGTGCAATTTTTATATAAATTGTTTATTTCTTTAACAATTTCATATGAAATATGCTTTTTTAAGCGTATCAAAACTGTGTTCTTAATGTGCATGGATATATCAAGAAAAATGTCGAAAAAAATGTGAATTCACAAATTCACTGAATTTTCACCGTTTTTTGAATTTTGCTACAGCACTAATATTAAATAATACTAAAATCTTCTGTCTTTGTAAAAGAATAAATTCTGACAAAAAGTGCTCGTTTAAATTTAATGATCATCTGTATGACTAAGTGGTAAAAAGTGTTTATGACCAAAAAAGGGTTACATGCTTAGTCTATTTTTCTGACAGGATACTCTAGATTTACATGATCTCTATTTCATATCTCCGTTTTTAGATTCTTCGACAGATTTTATGATAGAAAACCAAGATTAACAAATTTCCGGCATGTTAATGAAGAAATCTGCAGCTACCCTCAATATTATTTCAATAATCAGTATCGTTTCTCTTACAATTTATTTTTTTCTCAATAATTTAACAAGAAATAACAATACACACTTGGTTTTACGTATAAAAGCTAAGTGTCGAACTTAATCAACTTTACTTACTTAGCAAATGAATATTTTTGTGGTTGCGAGTTCTGAATGCTGAAGTTTTAGATTTCTCTATAAATGATATCATTGCACTTACAATGTTGTTCCAGCCTATCGCATAAATCATAGAAAATCCAAAAAAAAAAAATAATATAAAGAAAATTCATGTCATGAAGTTCAAAAAATACCATGTAACATTAAAATTTGTTATGCATAATACATTTTAGCTATTATTGATTTTTTTTTAATTTTCGAGAAATTGAATGGTGAGTCCGATAGAGAAATTTTTAAAAATCCTAGTGCCTCATAGAAGTAATTTCCCTCGTCTCCCATACTTCCAAATGTATGCATATGACATAAACTTTTATGCATTACACAAGTGGCCAATAATATCTATAGAGTAAAAAATTAGAAATTTAATTTTTTTATATGATAGTTATATTTCAGATTTGCGAGCGTAACTTTTTTCTCCATGGCATACTTGTTTTAAGAGCAAATGATCAAAATCGTCCTTCAATTATTGAAGGAGCTGATATCTTTTGAAAATTGAATTGAAAGGGTATTCAATTTTCAAATTTCCTCTCAATTTTGGAAACATATCAACTCTATGAATTAACAATTATGTGCCTTCACAGTTTATCAGTCATATAAGGTGCTTATAAAGAAAAAAGTTACGCTCGCAAAATATGTTTTTATATAGATTTCACATAAAATAATTATGTAATTTCTAAAAAGAATATTTTTGTTCTTGAATATTAAAGTGTATTGTAGTTTAAAAAGTTTTAAATATGTTGCTAAAATTTCAGGTTTATAGCTCATGTCTAGCATGACTTCTTCGTATGCGCAAAAAATCTGACACGTAAGGGTATCCTTAAGCGTCATATGTCACTTTTTGTACTAAGGAAACATCGACTTTATGCGTTATGACTTTTCGATGAGGAAACAAGTGTTCACGTATTATAAACTTCCTTATCCCAATAAACCGGCCCTAAACATAATTAATTTTAAGCATTATAATGGTCTCTTTTCTATGATAACCAAATCAATTTGGTTATCATAGAAAAGCACCAAAAACTAGAATAGGAATCGGCAATATGGAATTATGAAACAACTAGGATAAAATGGATATGGGACATTCATGAATGCATTCACTTTTTTCAAGACTTTTTAATGAATTTCAAATTCCTCAGATTATTTTCAATAGATTTTCCGTACCATATCATTTTTATTAGACAAAGCTATCTTTTCGATGAAATTTTTGCAAAAATACTCTGTTTTGAAAAAGATTTATGTAAATTTTTTGATAAAAGTGTCTTGAATGATTATCATTGATAATACCATTCCAATTGAATGCTGTTTTCGGCTGCTTTTATAAAAATTTGATCATATTGTACTCATAATTTTTTTTGTATTTTGGTCAAAAACTAAGCTAACATCAGCTGTATATTTGCATAAGCCATTAATAAGCTTTGGTATAGGTTATACTGAGTTTAGACGATCATACAATTTAGACTTTTTTCATTTAATTTAGTCTAACAAAGAGTGATTATCTTACTATTTGATTCATAAATATATAGGAAATAATAGTTTTATACCTTAATATGATAAAATTTTATAAAATTTTCCCTTCTCCTTTGGCAATATTAGTCATTAATAGATATATTTAACATGATGGTTCTAAATATATGAATAGATAAAATTTTCCTTTCAATTTTACGAACCAAATTTATTACCATATCCTAAATTTTTTCTATGTTTATAGACCTTTGGAACTTTGTATGAAGTCTAAATATACATGTAGAGTATTCAAACAAAACAAATATCAAAATCTAAACCTTTGAATTACCTTCAATGCTTAACCGAATTACTAGATCTTATATATATGTGTGTACTAATACCTTTTGATGCATAAAAAACTCCAAAAGAGTTTCATTTTTAAAATAGTCGATATCAATTCAAAAAATTGAAACTATACCGTCAACTGTCAATTTTTCAATAGTTCGTTTTTTTAAATGTAATTGCTTTTTTTATATGCATTAATCATTTGATAGTAGTGGGATCAAATTACATATCTTAAAAATGTATTCCGAGTGGAAAAAAAATCAATAGAATTGACCACAGATATCTGTTTAATCCAAAAATATTATTAGAATCATATTTAATAAAAATGCTATGCTTTTAGAAATAAACGGAAGAATAAACGCACTGTTTCAAACCGTCAAAATTGAATTTGTGTCAAATATCTTGAATTTACAATTTTAGCTATTTAGATAATTAGAGAAGCATTTGATCAATTTTTGTGTTAAACAACTATTTTTCGAATTTCTGAGATATGAAAATTAATTCACTAACTTCTTAAAAACATGAATTGAATGAAAACTCTTAGAAGAAATGTTCATATCACTTTCATTAATGGAGTACAAGGATGATTCCGAGTTCTTGGATGATATCCAGAAGTCCAAAACCCGATCCAAGGAAATCGTGAGAATGCAAATGCACTTAGCTTATCTTGATGAATCAGAGCCCGCAAGTGAAGATGAAAATCAAGCACCAGCTAATGCCGAAGAATTTAAAGTTGTCAGAAAGTTTAGCTTACAAAAATTCCTTGAGGCACACCCAATCTTAAATGTCAAAGACCTTTGTAACTTTTCTTTGGATCAACTCTTGTATTTAGTTGATGTTGTTCGCGAGCATGAGTTTTCATCCAGACGCGGTCGGAAAAACGGTTGTGATCCATTAGATGCGTTATTCCTAACATTAACTTACTATTGCACTTATCTTCCATTGCAAAAAATGTCAGGAATTGTTAGTTTGAAACAGAGTTACCTCAGCAAAATCATTAACAAAACAACAAACAGGATGTTCCCAATTTTCATTGCTGAATTCATTCCAAAACAATATTCTCCCTGTGACAAGGAGTTCGATAACTTTCCAACATGTGTTGCTGCAGTTGATAGCTCTACTATTCCTTTTACCGTTCCTCTTGATCTTGCTGAGCGTAAAAGTTCATGGGATGCTAAAAACCATTGCAATGGTATGAAGGTTCAAGTTCTTGTTAATCCTTTAGGACAGGTAATTCACATGAATACAAGTTTTTTAGCTTCAGTTCACGATAAGAAAGTATTTGATTTATCAGGAGCTTCAGATTTTTTACATGTCCAACGTGGAGTTGAATCTGTTGCATTAGGACTTCTTGCAGATAGAGGTTACATCGGTATTCAGAAATACCATCCAACAGCCGTCATTATGCAAAGAGGTGATGACGAAGAAGTTACAAAACGCAATAATGCGATTGCACATGATCGCCAAATTGTCGAACGCCGCTTTGCACGCGATAAAAGTAATTGGAGTGTCTTGGCAATAGGATATCGTGGTGAAAAAGGCAATCTTCCACTTATTGTTCAAGGATTGTTTGCTTTAGATAACTATCACATCGATTCCACACCTCTCAGTGAGAAGGATAACTGCGATTTTCCTTGCACTCCAAAAGATGAAAAAGAAGCTGCAGCAACACCAGAACCAAATGGTTCAGGAAGCCCAATGCCAAAGCCAAGATGTGTTCCAAAAGATCTTTATCTCCAAACTCCAGAAACTCCAATGAAGATTCCATCTCCACTAGCTGGATATGAAAAGATTGATAAGATACTTGTTAAAAGAACACAAAATGCAATCTACAACATCGAAACAAAAATGTCAATTCCAGGATTACATAATGAGGGAGCTACCTGCCATGTCAATGTCGTTTTGCAAGTTTTGTTCTACGTAAATACTTTCAGAAAAGATGTAATGGAGCATTTGGGAGATGTCGGATATACGCCAGTGAAAGCACTTGCCGAAATTTATGATCAGATGTTGCACTACCGCCACAAGGAATACACAATTTCATGCTCACAATTCATCACAACACTCGGCAAGCAATACTTCCAGCAGCAAGATGCCGATGACACATTTCAAAAGATTGTGCATGATGTTACGGAATCAGCAAACAAACCAGATATTGCCGTTACATTCCAATATCAAACTGAGACTCCTGATGAAAGCTTCTATTCGGTTTCGCTTCACATTCCTCTTGTTGCAGCAGGTATTGATCAAGGAATTAAACAAATGTGCACAGATGATTCTCATATCAATGAAATCTCAACATTCCTCTGGGTCGACGTTCAGAGGAATTGGTCTGATCCAAATGTCTTCTTTGACAAATTTGAGATCAAGAAGAACTACAAAACTCAACACAGTGATGGAACGTATGTATTTAAGATACATTCCATTATTGCTTATCATCAAGGTCATTTCGTTGCCTTCGTCAACAAAGGAAGAGTTTGGTTCATGCTCGACGATGAAATTACTTAAATTGTTCCTGATGGTTTGATCAAAGGTCTTCAAGGTGGAGATGTTGGCAGCGATTTGTGGTCATATCTTGGTGGTGTCAAATGGCTTGCAAAATGTGTCATCTATCGCAAACACAAGTTCTATGGAGCTGGTGATGATGATGATTGAAAACAGTTTAATTTTTTTTAATCTTATTATAAGGGATAATTCTCTAAATATATGATTTTTTCTTAAGTTAGTGAATATTTTTCTTGTGTGCTTTTACTTATTTAAGTATTTAGTATTATTACTTAAAAATTTTGAACATTTATTTTATAATATTGAGATTTAAAATAAACTATTGCTCGATTGAAAAAAAAAAAAAAAAAAAAAGGTATTGGGGCTTCCAGGCGCGTTGCGCCCTCTAGCCCTGAAGATGTTTAGTATAAATGAAGTTTTTATTCGGAAAATTGTTAGTCTTCTGGGTCGAAAACATTATATAATGTGTCGCTTTTCACAAATTATATATGTTTTCATGTTTTGTCACTTTTCTGTCACTTTTCAGGAAAAAAACATTTTTATTATTATATATAAATGAATTTTACAAAACCACCGTTACCGTTCTTTGGAAATAAGAGTAAATGTAAAGATATTATATTGAGAGAACTTAAGAAACTACCGAATGGTCTAACATTTGTAGATTTGTTCGGTGGAAGTTTCTATATATCCCATTTGTGTCATACAATATTCCCTGACTCAAAGATTATATGCAATGACTTCGACAACTATATGGACCGTCTCAAACATATTCCAGACACAAACAATATATTGAAAGAGTTAAAAGAAAAGATACCTATAGATAAGATGGAACGTATACCATTAGATAAGAAAAATATTGTGAGAGAGGTTTTGAAAAAAGCAGAATATATAGACTGGGATAGTATATCTGCTAGACTATTATATAGTGGTTCTATAAGAGTTCATGACATTGAAACACTTATGTCAAAAGTTTTATATCTCAACTATACAAATGTTTTCAAAGAGGACATAGAAAAAATATTGAGGGTATAGAGTTTGTGAGATGTCATTGGACAGAGTTGTATGAAAAATATAAAGACAAGGAAAATGTTTTCTTTATAGTGGACCCGCCGTTCTATAACACATGGGATTTTCAATACCAAGTAGACTGGACTTTGAGAGACTCTTTAGAAACTTTAGACGTTTTACATAACCATCCATGCTTTTACTTTACATCCGATAAAAGTGGTTTGGAAACCGTTATGAGATGGTTAGAGGACATACATGACTATGAGTTTAGATATGACAAGATAGAATATGAGAGAGGTCCTATAAACCGGAGAAAGTGTCATAACAAAGAAATTTTATTAGTAAGTAAATGTGGTTTGAAATCGGATTGTTAGTTTTAGGTTTTTTCCATTGTGTCATTTATTTCTTTGACGTGGCAGAAAAGTACAGAGAATATGAAGATGAACCAATGCCTGCAAATGTTCAGCATATGTACTCGTAAGAGATATTTTTATCTAATATTAAATGGACGCACAGAACTTAGCGAATGCACAGCAACCTGGACAACCAAACCCAGAGAATATTCCAAATGAAGTTAGAATACAAACTGCAATGGCAAACTATGGTCAAGTGCCAACAGATGTACAAATGCAAACTGCCATGTCAAATGACGCTGCGTTAGGTTTGCCACCATGGTATGCAAATATGAGATGGAAAGAGTTTTATACAAACCCTGAAGTGGGATATAAACAACTTTATGCAGATGACGCGAACACAGGAGTTGACCCAGAATATGTTTTCTACCAGAGGAGAAACAGAATGTATGAGCTCCAGTTAAAGAATGCTATGGAACTCAACAGGAAACGTAAGAGACTAGGCGGACATTAGATTTTTACATATAGTAAAATGGGTTTCTTCAGTAGTATTGGAAACTTCTTCAGAAGAGTTGGAAGAGGTATATGGAATGGAATAAAATCTGTCGGAAGAGGAATTTGGAACGGAGTCAAAAATATTGGTAAAAGAGTAGGTCAGTTCGTTGGTATTATACCTAAAGACCCTGAACCAGAAGAACAAGCTCCTGTTATACAACAGCCTGAACCTGCACCACAGTCTAGTTGGCAACCAAATCCAACACCTCAACCGTATTAAAAAGTTATATTTTTACCGTTCGATAGTAGTTGTATATGAAACTAAGTTCTAAGTAAAACGCATGGTATAATGGAATTATTCTTTTTCTTCCATCTGTAGTAAACCATACTTGAAAGTCTGAAATACTTCCACTTGGTGGTTCGTATAACTTTGTAGGTTTTTCGTAAAAGTCATTTGCCAAGCATAAGAAAGAGTTTTGGGCGCCAGAAAATGAAGCATGAACAATAATAGCAGCTGGGTCGAAAACATTTTCATATGTTCCATTAGGGTTTTCGACTTCATAAAAGTCTGGGTGTACTGGATATGCTGCAGGCTGATTTAACATCCTCATAAATCTATACCATGCCAAGTTGTTATATTTTGTAGAAATATAAACGTTTTCTCCAAGGTCTTCTATTTTATTGATTTTAACAGTTGCATTTTTCCTGTCATAAATAATATCGAGATGGTATTCTCCTTCGTCAATGTTATACTGGTTTGCATATTCGATATAGATATCGTTTATTTTTTCTTGAAAAGCTTGAAGAGTTGTTTCTAAGTTTACAAGCAAATTCACTTGTAAAAGTTTTCCCTGTTCAAATTTCTCATACATACGTTTTTCTTTGTTATAGTATCGAACTTCAAAACCGACCGTAAATGGGAAACCATGTATGGCTTCTGAAATGAACTTCATTCTACGAAAGCCAATAGCTTTTGTGACAGATGGGTCTCTTAGCCATCTTAATGGGTAGTCAAAACGATAGCCTTCATGCTTTACGGTCTCTGTCTCAAACTTTTGACCGACATTAGTAAAAAGTTCATCTAATGGTTTAGTTGTAGCAACTCTTGAATTTTCTTTTTCTATTGAAAGCATATTTTATCTAGAATAAAAATGTCGAAAGATATTGCTTCCATGAGAGAAATACAACACAACCGACAACTCATTATGCAAGCTCTAAATAAGAACACAACAAACTTTTCAAACTACTCTAAGATATCTGAGTCATTGAAAGAAGGAAACTTAAAACTGACATTAAACCCAATGACAGATGAGTTTCTGTTTCAAGACAATAAGAACCATACTGTCTGTATAAATCCAACAAAAGGAACTTTAAACGAGAAACCTATAAATGAACTTCTTTTGAAAGCAGATGTTGACAACAAAGCTGACAAAGAATATGTAGACGATGCAATAGCAAAAGAAGAAGAAAGAGCTAACAATGCTTATGCAACAAAAGAACATACTCATCCTGAACTAGCAGACAAAACATATGTTGACAATAAAATGTCAAGTGAAGTGACAAGAGCTGAAAACGAATATTCTAAAAAGACTCATACACATTCTATATCTGAAATAACAGACTTAAACGTTAGCCTTGAAAATAAAGCAGATAAGGAATATGTGGCTAGTAAGTTAGAGAAGAAAGCGGATAAGGAATATGTGGATGAAAAAGATAACGAAATGAAAGAAAGGGTTGACTGGTACCATGAATGGACATCGAAGATTTTAAAAACTAAAGCCGATACAGGATGGGTTTCAGGATGTTTAGACCTTAAAGCAGATAAAACTTATGTTAACGATGAGTTAGAGAAGAAAGCAAATAAGACTCATACACATACAAGTTTTACAACTGTTGCTATAGAAAGTATTGAAGGAACGGTTGAAGAAACTGGTGGGGATGCATTATATTGTAAACCTCCTAACTTTCCACAAGGTTTAACATCGGATGACGACATAACGACGATGAGAAACATTAGATGTAAAGATGTTTATGTCATGAAGGATGAACATAATATTAAATTCACTGCTCAAGATTTATATGACAAGAAAGCAGACAAAACAGAGCTTCAAACATTAAAGACAGAAATACTTCAAACATTATATCCTATAGGCTCTATTTATACGTCAATGAACTCTACCAGACCAGAAACAGTTCTGGGTTTTGGAACTTGGACTCAAATAGTCGACAGGTTTTTGTATTGTGCAAACTCTTCAAAGGAAACAGGTGGAAGTAAAACGATTTCAGGTGAAAATTTACCTGCACACAGTCACTACATAGATTTAAGTACATCTCAAGCAGGTTGGCATAAGCATAGATATTGGGATTGGTCAGCAATGACAAAAGGTAAAGGATATGATGTTAAAGACAACGTTAAGTTTGCTATAAATTGTTACTGGAGTAACACTGAGGGAGGAGGAAACCATACACATCGCGTTTCAGGATATACGCAAACAACGGGACAAAGTAAAGACTACATGCCACCTTACATGACAGTTTACGCATGGTATAGAAATGCTTAGTCGTCATTTTCAACTTCTTTAGCATATTCGTCAGGAGTTGTCTTATATTTGTTAGGAACTGTCTTTGAAAGTATACCACCTTGAACTTTGACAAGTTTGAAACGAGGTCTGACAATAGTCGTTTTATCTTCTGCTTGCAGTCTGTACATTTTGCCATGTTTGCCTAAAACTTCATAATATTCTCTTGTATACTTTCTTCTATTTTTACGAACACGAATGTGAGTACCTGTCGGGTTCCCATTGTTGTCATAGTCAATAGTATTTTCATATGGGTCGCGTTTAGGTATTTCTATTTTTACTTTGTCACCTTTCTGAAGTTTGAAGCCCGGCATTCTTTCTTGTTTGTCTCTTTTGACTAAATTATTAAATATATAGTCTTTCTCTAAGTCAGGGTTGTTTTTCATTTCTTCGGGGGTGGTTTCCCAAACCTTTTTGTTTACGGCTATTGTAAATATTTAAAACTTGTCTCATCTTTGCCATGGAGAAGTGTCTATATTTGTCGTCATATGACATTTCATTTGCTTCACCACCTTGTGGTTGGTTTAAGTCTCTTAACATTTTTATACATCCGTCAATGACACCAAGAGCAGAATGGTTTTGGTCGACAATGAAATATTGGTTTACATTTTTGAACGCAGATAGTTTTTTACATCATCTGATTTGAAAGAACTTTCACAGTCAGATGTCAGTTTTGTTGGATGGTATTTGTCAACGAATATTGTCAAAGCAGTTTTCACATCTAAAATATTTTGGACCATAATGGTATGGCTTCACAGTATCTTGTGTTTTGACCGACAAATATTAGCCAGTATGGTGGTCCATCTTCTCTATACCTCGGAATGTTTTCCAAGATATCCATAAACCAAGCATTTGGTGTTGAACTAAAGATTTTTACCATGAGTGCTTTTTTTGTTGCCTTAGAAACATAGGGGTCCTTGTTTGGATTCGTCATTTTTTATCCTATAAGAAATGGGTTTATTTGGCGCATTAGCAGGAGTTGCATCCAGATTTTGCCGCAGTGGGAACAATAGCCAGAGGTGTATTTGGAGTTGGAAGGAAGATTTTGAGTACATTAGGTATACTTAAAGAGAAAGCACAACCTATTATACAAACTGTACAGAAAGGTTGGGATGTAGCACGAGATGCAACAAATCTTATTCCAAATCCTGAAACAAGAGGAAAAGTTCAAGGATGGATGGACAATGTAGGAAGACAAGCAGGAAACTATTATAACAAAGCAAATGACTACTATAACCAAGCAGGACACTATATGGACCAAGGTGAAAGATTCTTTAACAGAGGATATAACCATGCACAACAGTGGGTAAACAATAACCAACCTCAACCGCCTCAAACGTGGGGAATGTAAAGTTTTTTACTGAGATGAAATGAACAATACAGCATTGAGACAAATGGGTTCAAGATGGATTTGTCGGCTTCCAGCAGTTACACAACGTGTTTGTCAAGTTCTTCCTATACCTCAGGAAGTTTTAGACCGACTTAAAAAACAACAACAACCAGTTGAAAACAAACCAAACTAAAATTTTTTACTGAGATGAAATGACCGAAGAAGTTGAAACGGTAGATTTGACACCACAAACAAAAAGTTCAGAACCATTGTCAAAACCTGTTAAAGAACTTACAGATGAAGAGAAAAATTCAATAATAGAAAGTACCAGGTCTGGAAATACAAACCCTAACTATAAAGTCACTTTTCATAAAAATGGAACGGCTAGTATCTCAAAAAAGAAACAGACTCTCACAAATAAAATATTGAAGTCTGAAGGAGCTTTCGAGACAACAGATGGAAAAGTTTACTTCACTGACCAACAGTTCATTATAGAACATCTCATTGACTTAGAGTCGAAATATTCTAAACTTTACAACAAACACAAAAAGTTGAAAGGAAAACAAAAACAAATGGCATATGATATTTATGAAGATGTTGACGACACAACTGTTCCTGCAAGTGAAGTAAAGTCAGAGAAACCGAAAAGTGACGAAAAACCGATAGAAGAAGAAAAACCAAAAACTGAAGATAAACCAAAACCAAAGTTTAGTTTGGAAACTAAACCAAGTCAACCTTCATTAGCTGGTATGGGTTGGCGTCAAAGACTTATGGCAGCAGGCGGTTATGTAAAGTAAAGAAAAAATATTTTTTTATTCGAATTTGAAATGTACGCTGAGTTTGTTAGTGAACCTCAAGTTGAAGGAAACTTGTTTGTTAGATGAGAAATATGAAATGGCATACCATTTTAAAACAATATATTTTACATATATTAAATGCTTCAGGTTGAAAAACAAAGAACAAAAGTAGCAGATACAAAACCGTTAGACTATATCTTTACAAATGCTGGTAGGACTATTTCAGATGAAGAAATTTCATCCCGAACATACAGGTTTGACTATCCAATTCGTTGGCTTCAAAGTCCTTCAGATGCAAAGGCAATAGGATTTAGAAGAGTTTTGTTTTCAAATAGAACTAACGCATTTATGTTCGCAGTATATTTTCATGGCAGTATAAAGGTTCTGATGGTCTAATAGACAAATTTGACGAAATGAGAATCTTTACAGTTCGTTCAGACGAAAGTCTTGAGAAAACTCTAAATGACTTTCAAACTCAAATGAACAAATATTATTGGGAATTTCAAGAAAAATACGACTCTTTACTAAATGGAACATACTATCTGAAACTAGAATATGACAAGATGAACTCCACCGTTTCATTTCAAAAGATTGAAATTAACCCTCCAAGAGATACAGAGTTTTTATATTGGAAAGTAGACAAACGTTCTTGGGCACAATTTCTTCGGTTACTAAACCAGAACGAACCATTACACCAGATGGTCCATTTAAATTTATACTTCCACCAGCAGATTTGACAGTTTATAGAAACGTGTTTGACCCTCAAAATGTTATGTGTCATGCAAGTTTCAGTTCAAGCAACAATAGTTTTCTATGTATTGGTAAGGACTTTTATGACTTTGCTTCTAAATTCTACGAACCACCTAGTAACAGTTTCTCTGACTTTCAAGTTTGGTTCACAACAAATGGTGTGCAACATATTATTCCATTGTACTATGACTTTTATCTCGAATTGTCTTTCATATATAACTACGGAAAAGTGCTGAAAAAGTATTGAATGTGAAGATATTAGAAAATAACATTTTTTCTAACATCGTAGAAAACTCATGAAAACAATTTATTTTTGACACTTTCACAAAAAACATAAAAAGTGAAGTTAAACGTTAAGGTTTACTGAACTGGTTGGATGTCGCCTTCTGAGGTTATGAAGAACGGTTGTCCTGAGAAGTGGAACAGTGCTCTGAGAATTTGTATAATTCGTGGAATTGGACTCTCTCTGTTTGAAGTAGTATCCAAGGACGCTTGGCAAAGAACTTTATAATGGCTTCCTTCTTTGCTTGCTTTATGTCGTCGTAGGCTGTCCCGTCTGGTATTTGAATTGGAATTCCAGTCGAAATCTCGAGATTCAAGGCAGCCCTTCCAGAAATAGTGGTGAACTTGACCTTGGGCTTCATGACCTTGCGCAAGTACTGCTTAACAAGCTCGTTAATTTAAATTAGGTAAACTGCCTCATCTAATGGCTCGATGTTGTCCATTGCACTGCTTCAGAACAATACTTGTACTTTTTCAGAACAATACTTGCACTGCTTCAGAACAATACTTGTACTTTTTCAGAACAATACTTGTACTTTTTCAGAACAATACTTGTACTTTTTCAGAACAATACTTGCACTGCTTCAGAACAATACTTGTACTTTTTCAGAACAATACTTGCACTGCTTCAGAACAATACTTGTACTTTTTCAGAACAAGACTTGCACTGCTTCAGAACAATATTTGTACTGTTTCAAGACAATGTCCGACGTACCACCAACCCAGTCCATTCCCAAACCAGAGGAACCTAAAGCACCAGCCCCTGCACCTCAGTTCCAGCAAGTACCTCCGATTTACTACCAATTTCCACCTCAAGGTTACTACCCACCACAAGGCTTCCCGAACTACCCTCCTCTGCCTATGCCTTACTGCCCCAACCCTTGGATGTTTATGCAAAACCCTGCCCCACAATTCCAATCTCAATCCAAGAGAGACCAAGAGTTCGAGGAAGGTCTGAACCGCTTACGCAAAGAGTATGCTACAGCTCCAATTGAGAGAAAGTTGTTCCCGGACCAAAAAATAAAGTTTAGGGTAGAAGGTTAGATCTAACCTCTTTTCTACCCTCTTGAATTTTCATGAATTTTCATGAATGTTTTGTCATGACTTCTTCGTAAATGTTTTGTCATGACTTCTTCGTAAATGTTTTGTCATGACTTCTTCGTAAATGTTTTGTCAAGACTTCTTCGTAAATGTTTTGTCAAGACTTCTTCGTAAATGTTTTGTCATGACTTCTTCGTACATGTTTTGTCATGACTTCTTCGTAAATGTTTTGTCATGACTTCTTCGTAAATGTTTTGTCAAGACTTCTTCGTACATGCTTTGTCAAGACTTCTTCGTACATGTTTTGTCATGACTTCTTCGTAAATGTTTTGTCGAAACTTCATCGTACATGCTTTGTCAAACATGAACGTAAATGTTTTGTCAAGACTTCTTCGTAAATGTTTTGTCAAGACTTCTTCATGAATGTTTTGTCAAGACTTCTTCGTACATGCTTTGTCATGACTTCTTCGTAAATGCTTTGTCATGACTTCTTCGTAAATGTTTTGTCAAGACTTCTTCGTAAATGTTTTGTCATGACTTCTTCGTAAATGTTTTGTCATGACTTCTTCGTAAATGTTTTGTCGAAACTTCATCGTACATGCTTTGTCAAACATGAACGTAAATGTTTTGTCAAGACTTCTTCGTAAATGTTTTGTCAAGACTTCTTCATGAATGTTTTGTCATGACTTCTTCGTAAATGTTTTGTCAAGACTTCTTCGTACATGTTTTGTCATGACTTCTTCGTAAATGTTTTGTCATGACTTCTTCGTAAATGTTTTGTCAAGACTTCTTCGTAAATGTTTTGTCATGACTTCTTCGTACATGCTTTGTCAAACATGAACGTAAATGTTTTGTCAAGACTTCTTCATCGTAATGAGCGTAAATCAGACAAAAATAAAGTTTAGGTGAAGTGGTGCGATCTCACCTGTTTTTTCACCTCTTTTTTTCACCTCTTGAATTTTCATGAATTTTCCCGAAATAAAAAATAAAGTTAGTTTTATTTTTTTTATTTTTTTTATTTTGTATAAAAAAATAAAAATGTCAACAATCGGCACAACAACACTTCAAACAACAACAGCACCAAACTCGTTAGTCATGAATCCAACATCTATGTTAGTAGAGATGAAAAGCTTCATTCCTTCTTCATATACTTTCGAAACAGAAATCCAGAAGATAAAGCAAGAACTTTTAACATGTAATTTAGACTGTAGTGCGAAAGATGAAACAAATGAACAGTATCTTTATGAAATGCAGGACCTCATCGACCATTTGCCTAAACTACCTGAAATCCAACAACAAAAACTCACTATTCCTGAATTCGACGAAATTGAAGTCAAAGCAACTGACTCAGTAGAAATAAAGAAGTTCATTCGTAAGGTAAACTATGAGTTTCTAGGATTTCATTGCAACCATAAGGTTATGGACAAAGATTGCGACATGGTTTATAAAAATATTTCTGACCTTTACAAATCCGAAGAATTTAAGACCTACGACAACTTTGTTTCGTTAGTTGCTGAATGTGTATGGCAGATAAGAGATAAAGATAGAAGAGGTAAGGTATGGAATGAACAAATAAAACCAGCAACTTTTGAGTTAAAGAGAGCAATTGACGCCTTAGTTGTTCTAGCAGGTAAGGTTTCAGAATATAACGCAAAAATGAACCCGCAATGTTCTAAATGTAAAGCAGCAATGAGGAAATATAACTACTCCGTCAAAGAGATAGAACGTATGAGAAACGACTATGCAGACTTAAAGAAAGAAGCAGAAAAACCAGCAGAAGATAAAATGGACATGTTGACATTTCTGAACAAAAACTATCCAACAGCAGAAGATTTCCTTCTATCTGACGTCAAGAAGAAGTATAAAGAAACTTTCGGCATAGTTAAAACATTCGATATCCTCAGCGAAGAAATAGAAGCTACAAAACTGTTTAGAATTTCAAATATACATCGTACAATTCATGTAAAACGCTTGTGAAAAAACAGGTGAAAAAACAGGTGAGATCGCACCACTTCACCTAAAATATATTTTTGCTGAAAAAAATGACCAAATTTCATTATATAACTGTTATTTTTGACGAAGTGAACTTTGACACTTCGTAAAAAAATCCCTGAAATCATATCTTTTATACAAAATAAATGAAGAATACGAGTACATACAGTTTAACAAACAACTCCGTCTCATTCGTTCGGTCAAAGACGATATGTACCAAATGCAAAGTATTTTGACAGCATGTTTTGCTCCAGACACTAAACACGCAGACGACTGGTTCAAAAACCAAAGCACACAAGAACTTTTGAGTGAAATTTCTCTAGACCGACTTTTTTCGGTCTTGCATAAAACTCATGAAAATCGTGAAAAAATGACCAAATTTCATTATATAACTGTTATTTTTTTACGAAGTGAACTTTGACACTTCGTCAAAAAAATCCCTGAAATCATATCTTTTATACAAGATAGAAAATCTTACTCGCCTAAAACTCATGAAAATCGTAAAAAATTGCGAGTAGGGAAAAAAACCTGGTCGCCTAAAACTCATGAAAATCGTAAAAAAATGACCAAATTTCATGAATTTCCTCATATGTTTGCTACCCGAGGAAAACCGCGGGTAGAGATTCCGTACGAAAATCGTAAAAAATTGCGAGTAGGGAAAAAAACCTGGTCGCCTAAAACTCATGAAAATCGTAAAAAAATGACCAAATTTCATTATATAACTGTTATTTTTTTACGAAGAGAACTTTGACACTTCGTCAAAAAAATCCCTGAAATCATATCTTTTATACAAGATAGAAAAAATAAAGTTAGTTTTATTTTTATTTATTTTTTTATTTTGTATGTAAGAACATATATGACAAACACTGAGTTTGAAACAGTTAAAAAGATAGACAATGACACCAAATTGGTTAGAATAGGTGATTTAAACGTAAGATACTCAAAGAAATACAACAAATATTCTTTGTCAGACATTTTATCTCCATCTGGAAAGAAAACATACCATTGGGTTGGAATTGCTTCAACTCAGAAAATTTTGACAAGAAATCCTGAGCTTATGATATCGGTAAGATTCTATGGAACTACAGCATATCTCATCGACAAAAGTCTTATACCAATAGTTTTGTTATGGTTAGACCCAGTTGTTGGATATAACTTCATAACATATGGTTCATTCGATACGGAACGTTGCAGTGAAGGCTTACTTTACATCGTTCAGAAACCGAAGGACTTCAATACAAAAAGATATAAGATAGGAAGAACATATAATATAACTCAAAGATATGACAGTACAGTCAATATAGTCAAGGTTGTGTTTGCTAATGATATGAGAGCTGCAGAAACAGAACTACTCGAAAAGTTTGAGAAAATGTATGGTGCTCCCATAAAAGGTAAAGAAACGTTTGAAGTAGATGAGATAGATAAAGCTATAAAATTATTTGACGAAGTTGCTGAAAAATACATGTAAAAATAACGTTTACCATGTAAAACGCTTGTGAGAAAACAGGTGAAAAAACAGGTGAGATCGCACCTCTTCACCTAAACATTATTTTTGTCTGATTTACGCTCATTACGAAGAAGTTTCGACAAAACATTTACGAAGAAGTTTTGACAAAACATTTACGAAGAAGTCTTGACAAAACATTTACGAAGAAGTCTTGACAAAACATTTACGCTCATTACGATGAAGAAGTCTTGACAAAGCATGTACGAAGAAGTCATGACAAAACATTTACGAAGAAGTTTTGACAAAACATGTACGTTCATGTTTGACAAAACATTTACGAAGAAGTCTTGACAAAACATTTACGAAGAAGTCATGAAAATTCACGAGGGTAGAAAACGTGTTAGATCTAACCTTCTACCCTAAAATATATTTTTGCTGAATTCCGTATGAAAACAGTGAAGAACAGCGAGTACGTTAAAAAACGTAGTCGCCAAAACTCTATGAAAACAGTGAAATTTCTCTAGACCGACTTTTTTCGGTCTTGCATAAAACTCTATGAAAATCATGAATTTCCTTAAGATAGAAAAAATAAAGTTAGTTTTATTTTTATTTATTTTTTTATTTTGTATGTAAGGACAGATATGTCAACATCAGAGAACACAACAACTGCTATCGTTCATGAAGCCATAAATGAAGAATATGAGTACATACAGTTTAACAAACAACTCCGTCTCATTCGTTCGGTCAAAGACGATATGTACCAAATGCAAAGTATTTTGAATGCTCTTCGTTCTACAAAGCAAGCACATCATTGGTTTGAAAACCAACAGACAAAAGAACTTTTAGAAGAATTTCCTCATATGTTTGCGACCCGAGGAAAACCGCGGGTCGAGATTCCGTACGAAAATCGTAAAAATTTGCTAAATGGTTTGAGAGGCTGGTATGTACATAGACTTCTTGTAAATGCTGTTGCAATGTGGGCTTCACCTCGTTACGCTTGTTATATTTTCATGATGTTAGATGAAATTCATAGACAAGAACGTGAAGAGCTAGAGAACAAGCTTGAAGCAAAAGACAAAAGCATTCAGAAAAGAATACCACGTTCGGTACCAAAAGGAAAGGAAAAGAACTATAAGTATATGATTTATACTGAAGAGATGGAAAATGAAGAAGACAGAGATATGGTTATGTTGCATTTAGTCAGAAGAAACAACAAAAGCTTTTACGACCTTGCTAAGATTTACAAATCTGACAGAAATTGTTCTATCGCGAAAACTTACCGATTTCAATGACCCCAAATGAAGATGTGAAACAAATAGTTCAAGATACGTTACCTCAAACACACTATGATATGAAAGGTTGTACAATACTTACCTTCAAAGAAGATTTGCCATTGTTAAAGGAAAAAATAACAGAGTATTTTGACAACTTCAAACAAGTAGAGTAGATGAGCCATTTATTTTTCAAGCTTGACTTCAGATGGCTCAGGTAGCTCTATAAAGTAAATTGCCTTGTCAAATCCTTCTGGCATTCCGAGTCCTTCCTTCCGACAGAAAAAGTTTTTCCTTCCGACAGAAAAAGTTTTTCCTTCCGACAGAAAAAATTTTTCCCGACGACAGGAAGAACGCTTCCAGTTGTCCGTCCGTAAACCATTCAAATTTTCGAAAATTGAGAACTTTTTGGTCGAACTTCAGAAAAAGTTTTTCCTTCCGACAGAAAAAGTTTTTCCTTCCGACAGAAAAAGTTTTTCCTTCCAACAGGAAAAGTTTTTCCTTCCAACAGGAAAAGTTTTTCCTTCCGACAGGACACAAACGGATGACTGACGTTCCTCTTCCTGAATGCCTTCCCAAACCAGAAGAACCGACAGCCCCAGCACCACAACAGACTTACTAAGACTAAACACTTACATTTTTCAAGCTTGACTTTTTACAATTTGAACTTTGTTTGCGTAGATATGAATTCTGAAAGAAGTATGAGGGTCTTGTATGACTTTATACTTCTCCCATAGTTCATGTCTGTCAAACTTACCTGCCATGGACTCTTTCATAAGTTCCATGAAATCGTCTTCGGACAATCCGGGGAAAAGTATAATGTCAGTAAGTATTCTTTTAACATCCTTACTTAAACTCTTTGCTGTCTGTACACAAATGACAACTGAGATGTTAAAGTGTCTGAGCTTCTTAAGAATTCGACACATATCTTGTTCTCTATTCTTAAGCAAAGGATGAGAAGCGAAATCATCTAAGATAAGAAGACACCTATGAGGGTAAGTCTTCCAATCGTAAGATTGCAATTTCTTCGAAATGTATTCTATCTCTTTCTGTTTGTTTCTGAAGTGTTTCTTCTCTAATATTCTCTGCATTTCCTCATTTGGGTCTTTGAACTTAGAATTTATATACTCATTTATAGCATTGTACTTCAAAACTCTTCTTTGGTACTTCTTTATCCAATCTAACAACTCAGTATCCTTTATACATACTAACTTAGACTTCTTTATAATATCTTTGAACGAATTGACGGTTTGGTCAAATTGACCAGAAGTACTACAAATGACAACTAACTCATAAAATGGGTTCTTCTCATCTAGTTCTTGTTTGTTGTGCAGCCATTTTAAGATAAGTGAAAGTCTTACCAGACCCAGGTGGTGCAATTAGACCTGTTATACCATTCTGAGCAAATAAGAACTTGTCATGTATAGGTTTTATCTGAGCATTTTCTAACTTCCTCTTGTTCTTGTTTAAAACATTCTCAAATTTCTTGTCAATGTCAGCAAACTTTTTTCTAACATATTTTTAGAAAAATTAAAATTTTTATCTTTTAGAAAATGTCTAGCGATTTCGCTATCTATATTCGAGACAAGCTTTTCGACAGCAAAACATCTGTCGACCATAAAATCTTACATAGTGTAAACAAGAAAGGTGAATTTGTTCTAAAGTTCTGTTTTCTGGGAATATGACAAGACCATAAAACATTAAGCAGAGCAGTCTTAAAATTTGTCAATGACAGACTTGTTGACAGAGATGACACCGATTGGAAAGATGAAGTCCAACAAAAGTTCTTAGAATGCAAAGAAGACACATGCGCTGTTCTTGAAGATGAAATAGAAAACAGAATAGAAGAGCTATTAAAGGACAAAGAACTTTTACATAAATATAGTTGCGCCAAATTTGACATAACTCCACCAGAAAAGAAGAAGAAAGAAAAGAAAGAAAAGAAAGTAGAAGAAGAGAAGAAAGAACCTGAACCAGTTCCAGAGAAAAAGAAATTTGACATGTAAAAATAAAATTTTATTTTTAGAACATTTCTGGGTCAATGTCAATGTTCTCTTCCTCTTTAGGAGTAAACACTGGCTTAGACTCTAAAATCTTTTTACCCAATTTACCTTGAACTTCTACAACTTTAGACTCAAATATTCATAGTCGTCTGCTTTCTTTGGTTCATAAGGTATAACAAGTTTGTATGCTTTGCCTTCTTTAAGGTTTGAAAACCTTCTGTCAAAACTTTCTTTGACTGCTAACAAACCTTCTATGTCTAAGTCTTCAAATTTCGCACCATTTTTAGTCACAATAGCAAACTTAACTGGTTCGATGTTCCAAACTTTGCTGAATGAAGACTTTTCAAAATGGTAGAAGTAAACATTCAAATATGTGAATGGGTCTAGTTCTTCTTTAAGTCCTGACATGTACTTGTTTACTGAGATGAATTTTGCCATCTTTCTATCGATAAAAAAATATTTTTTTTTAAAATTTACTCATAAAAATTTTTTTTGTATATACACCATTCTGAACATCTAAAAGACTTTTGACATTTGCCAAGAATGTTCGTTTAGAAGCTGCCATATAACCATATTCTTGACAATATTGTTTATACGAATCGTACAATGACCTTTCATCTAAACACTCAAAGTCAGTTTCATCTATGAACAGTTCATATACACTCTTGTTTGCTTCTAACAATGTTTGTCTCTCTTCGGTATGTGGAATTTGTCTTGGATTGAACTTAGAAATATCTAATGTCATAAAATATGAGAACAAGTGGTTGTAAAAGTCAGATGTCAAAGTTTCTGCTAAGTCGTCAAAATATTCTGTATCTTGCATATGAGAATCTGACGTTCTGACAACTACATATCTTCTGTCAGAACTTTCTAACTTCATCGGAACAACATTGTTTGAAACCATAATGAAGTTTGCAATATTTTCACAAACTCTTTGGTCTTTATACTTTCTTTCAACAACTCCAACTTTGTCTGTTATAAGACTCTTCAAAGCATCTGAGTTCAAAACTTTTGTTGTATCTATACTTTGAAGTTCATTGCAAACTATAAGTTTCATATTCTCTATTGAGGAGTTAAACTTGCCACAGATGTTTTCTAAGTTTGTCATATTCGGATTCGAATAACCTTCTAACAGTTTGCACAAAATATCTGTAAAGAATGTGTTCTTACCAGTTCCTTGTTTTCCAATTATAATGAGAGCAGTTTCATTTTTAGCACTTGGATGTTGTAAGATATTTGCAAACCAACATAAGATATACTCATAAACCTTTTCGTTTCCATTGCATATAATTTCTTTGACATGGTCTAACCAAGCTTCTATAATATTTTCTTTCCATTCTACTTGTTCATATTTATATCCAGTGAAGATAGAATAGAAGTTTGGAGAAGGTGTATAAAACTTTATACCTCGAACTGAAAAATCTTCTAACTTTGACAATAAGATATCCCAAGCATCTAACATCTTCATTCCAACTTGTACAACTTTTATTTTCTTAAGTTTCTGTCTACATTCTTGTTCTGAAACTATTGTCGCTTTAGGTTTGTTAAAGACAACATCCCATTCTTTCATAACATAACATTCTGGTGCAGAGTCAACATAAATGACTAAACGTTTCAAATTCTCGACTGCTTTGTTATAGTCTCTAAATGGACACATATTTCTGAATGCTTGGAAGTCATAAAAATCTGAAACATCTATTCTGTACATTTTTATAAAAATAAAAAAAATATTTTTTTTATTCTTGACTTTGTTGTTCCATTTGTTGCATTTGTTGTTCTTGAGCTATTTGTTGTTGAAGTTGTTCTTGTAATACAATACTTTCACCAGTTGCATCTTCCAATTCGAAACTTTCTGCGTCATTGACAAATACATAGGACATAAAAGTTTTACAGGAACAAAGTTTGCGTCAACTAATGTCAACGTTATACTTGCCAAAGTGTTTGAGTTCACTAAGGTTGAAAATTCTGCATTCGAATGAACAATAGGCAAACCAGCAGAGAAAGTATTGTTTATACGCATAAGTATCTTTTGGTCATAATAGTTTCTGTCGACATTCGAATAACACTTTGAACCTAAGTTTGAAACAATATATAAGATTGGTGTGCTTAATGTCAATGGAATAGACAAACCTTGTATGACACCTTTTCCTGTTATAGGAAACTGTTGGTAGTAAAAACCAGAAATAAGTTTTGTATTATAGCTCATATCGTTTATAGTAACTCAGTCGGACATCCAAACATAACGAAACCTGCTCTAGTTGCAGCACATGTTACACCCGTACTTAAAGTATTAAATAAGTCAACAAACCTGTTGGTGGTATATCTGAGTAAGTATCTTTCAAAGGAGTATTTTTTACCATTCACAACAATAAAGTCTTCTGGTGTCAAAAGAGCAAAACAGGCTTTAGTCGTCATTGTGTTTAAAGTTAGTTTACAATACCGTCCTTGAGGACTTTGTAAGTTTGTTGTTATAGAATTATATGACTCAGGGTTTTTAGTCGTAATAGTATAAACCATTATATCTTCTGCCATTTATATATATTTAAAAGTTTTTCTGAAAGTGGAGAAGAACTTCATCTAAACTTTCACATGGCGTTTCTTGAAGTTTCTCTGTCTAAGAAGTTCAAATATTTTGTAAAGACATAGAACTTTCCTTTGTCTACACGAACAAACAAAACAGGGTCTTTCATATCGTTCAAAAGTGTGTAAAGTCCTTTAGATGAAATAAAAGTCTATATTATTTTTCTTCAAACATCTTTCAAGAAGTTTTGACATTTTTACTTAGCAAATAAATTTTAATGAAATGTTGTGGTCGTCAAATATTTTTATGACGTCTGGGAAACTATACTTTAAGTTCAACGTTTCACCTCCTTTCATAACGTATATCTTGTCAATGACATTATATGAAACACCACAGCAACTAATGTCGGGTTCTATTTCTTTGATGTTTATATCGTCTGCCTCTGTCAAAAAGTT